AGGAGGAGGAGGAGGGTGTTTATCATGAGGAGGAGGAGGAGGAGGAGGAGGGAGTTTATCCAGAGGAGGAGAAGGAGGGTGTTTAACCAGAGGAGGAAGAAAAGAAGGCGAGTTTTGAGTTGACCTGTGCATCTGCTTCTGATGTCTCTGTTGATTATCTTTTTGCCTAAAAACTCTTGTCTCAGTCTGGACAGGTGGTAACCTCCATAGTGATCAAATACGATAAGTGCACGATGAGAGGGTCTGAAGCATTCTTTTATTTCCTTCAGCCATGCGACGCTTCATGGCAGGTCGGATTCGTTTCACAACAGCCTTTACTTTCGACACGGGTTGCATTTTCAGTATAGTCATTTTCGCTTTCTTGGTTGTCATCTTTTTCTTCTTAGATGCAACCAGTCTCTTCGGCGACCCCTTTGATGCCATTGATTTTCTCCGACATGTTTTTCTCGACTTGGTCTTGCTATGCTTTGTGAAAATGACTGTAGGTCCAAATATATCCTCTGAAACTCTCTTCATTTTGAAAACGGACGTCTTATCTGTCAGCAAGGTTAGAGTGAAAATGTCAGTCACTCAACACTACCGTTGAGTTTTATAACACATATTGACATAGATCACACTCTTATTCCTGGGCTGATAATCTCAGCAGACGCAGCCCCCCGAATGAGCATGGAGAAAAGGTGCAAAAAGACGGCAAAATTCAGTCGCAATAACATTCCATTTCGCGTGCGATGTCAAGTTTCCATATGAGGATATTCATTACTATCCATTGTTCTTTGTTAATGTAAGTAAATTGCATCTGGTCAGTTGACCCTGTATTCATCTAATTAACCTGATACATCACTTATACATTTACACATTAATGAGTTACCTTGCATATTAATGAGGGATTGGTGACCTAAGTTTCCATATAAGGATATTCATTACTATCCATTGTTCTTTGTTAATGAATGCTCAAGTAATCTTATCTCTTAGAAGTTATCTACTAATCTACGTTATTTCACTCTATTTTTTCTCATGAAAATGATTCTGGGTATGGGTTAAACGAGTATTTTTTCCATTGAAATAGGAAACTCAATCGACATTTTGAACTCAAACATCTTTTAGAAAAAAGAATAGAATTTTACAGTATTAAAACGTCATATACCAGACTGGCATACATTACAGTCTTCAACACACGGGTTTCGCGATACCGACTCTATATTTCTCCGAGCTGAGCTCTAGCTAGGAGTCAAGACTGTTAACCCTTATTTTTTTATAAAGTTGTCATGGCAACTGTTTGTTAAAAGGAACTTATAATAGGTAACACTAGAAGAGTTAAGAACTGGACATGTGGTTTCTATGGAAATTCAACTCACACCCCTCTTTGCCACATGTGACAGTCATTACTACACGAAATACATGCGTCAATGGAATATGTCGAACAATGACATTCCTTTCCCCGTGAATCACATTTGAACCTCGTAGTAGCCACTTCCATATAGGGACACTCATTACTACGCCTTGTTCTCACTTAATGAAGGACTCATTAACACATTTCCTTCTTGCATTGGAACAACAGACCTCTCATTAGCCTTTCTGACCTGTGACATCATGATTATATTTGACAATGAATGAGTTATTGGACTTATGGATCAACGTAGCCTGAGATGTGGAATGGGGCCTCATAGAACTGACTTGTAGGTCAGGCGCGAGATTCAAACCGAGGACACGTGACAGCCCGTGAGCGTTCATGGCAACGTCCGCCATCTTGTTTTTAGACACGTGTTGTTCTACGTTTAACGAATGGTCAAGTAATTAATTGCATGATTGCATCCGGTCAGTTGACCCTTAATGAACGTAATTGAATATCGGGAGATCTTTCTACATGAACCTGTTCCTGGGCTTTTTAATATTACCACACATAGCCTGCCACCTAATGTGCACAGAGAAATGTCTTCAACGCAAAAGGTTCAAATGTTTACCACATGTTCTCGCGCCAAAATGGTCTTACAATGACATTCCATTCCGCGTGAGTCAAGACCCAACCCAACCCCCGGTCGTAGTAACATGTCCATATAGGGACATTCATTACTATCCCGTGTTCTACGGTTAACGAATGGTCAAGTCATTCATTGCATGATTGCATTTGGTCAGTTGACCCTTTATTAACCTAATTGACCTGTGACGTCATGCATACATTTGCATATTAATGAGTTATTCTGCATATTAATGAGGCAATGACGTTGGCAACACACCCCCACCCTCAAGGTCAAGGTTATGTGACGTCATCAGTCACGTGGGGTTTCTAGGTGCACTTGTGACGTCATCAAATGAGGGTGAGGGTGGATGGTTATTAAATGTTATCTACTTATGGGACATTTGTGTATCTCCCCAAGTCAATTGCAAGGTTAAACTTGCTACATCTGAAACGAGTCATACATATTCTCAGATATACTGGTATGGGGAGTGTAAGATATTTTTCTACATTCAACAGGGATTTAAAATGTTTATAATAAAAGGTATCAGATATACTATTGATAGAACTACACCATGATTGTTGAAGGTTATCAAATAATCTTTGCTTAAAAAGATGAATAAATACCTTCACATTGCCAACATCTTGTGTTAACCATACATATTCAAAACCTAATTTAAACAAAATATTCTTAATGTGAGTAGCCCATGTGGTGCGACCAGAATGGTCCAGTGATTTGAGCATTAAATAACATTGGCGAGGCAGTCTGCGCTCGTCCAAACGCAGTAGCCTGCACCAATACTTGATGGCCCTTGTGGTATACACACACTGGAGAGGGGCTCTTCCGCACTCTCCTAAAACCATACCATTGTTTGTTGTTTTACCTGTATTTAGAAACCATTTACACATTTTGTTCTGTACATCTTCAATAATTTTACAATATGAGATGCCCCATATTTCTGCGCCGTAACAGACAATAGGCACAATCATAGCATCAAATATCTTAAATAAATCTTGACAGGGTATATTACCAACTTTCTTTTGATATCTATATAATGTCATAATGTTACTCTGTGCAGCAAGAGTATTTAGTGCCTTAGTCCAAACAAGTTTGGGTGTGAACACAATACCCAAATATCTATAAAACGACACGGTTTCAATATATACACTATTAAATTTCCATTTTTCATAATTTCTAAGGGGTCCGCCATTTCTGAATACCATAACTTTGACAGATAATGTATCAACACATACTCCTAATTGAAACTGCACAACTAGGCCGCATATAATCTACAAAATTAAACCACCACTAGTCAGAACTAATAAAACGCAAATCAAAAACCACACATCCACATCCTCCCTTTGAAAGTAAGTAAGTAAGTAAGTAAGTAAGTAAGTAAGTAAGTAAGTAAGTAAAATTCCAGCTATATGACGGACGAGACAACCCAGTGCCTGACCACCCGATCCCGTTAGTCGCCTCTTACGGCAAGCATGGGTTCCTGAAGACCTATTCCGCCCCTGATCTTCACGGGTCCCCTGTATGTATACTGACGACACCTAAAGAACCACCTGAGCCTAGCTCCAAAGTATACCTTCTTCCTTAGTTCACTCACAGAAAGGTACTTTGTCTATCCCCTTGCTGACGGCATGGCTCACCCCAAGGACTATTGATTCCTTCTCCACTGCTTCCTCATCTTATACTGGACACATCATTTCCGGGTGCTTCAGCGACACAACAAGGATGAATAAATAAACAATCTTGTTTCTGCATCAAAACACATATCCGGAGATATTTTAAGCGCACTTCAGACTCATCGAGATTGATTGAATGTCCAAAAGTTGATAGTTCATGGCTGTCATCTTAGAAAGTCTCTTAATTATAGGCGATGCCTTCGTCCTGAAGTTAGTATTCGGGAAATGTTGCTTTGGCCAGAAAGTAGTGGGAGTGAGTGAGTGAGTATGGTTTTACGCCACTTTTAGCAATATTCCAGCAAAATCACGGCGGGGTACACCAGAAATGGGCTTCAAACATTGTACCCATGTCGGGAATCGAACCCGGGTCTTCGGCGTGACGAGCGAACGCTTTAATCACTAGGCTACCCGACCGCCCCGAAAGTAGTGGGAAGCCAGTTACAACACGATGTAGCTTTTTCAGAAAGACAGGGTTACAAGCAATTCCATGGTTCCAATCCCTAGTATAGAAGTGGTTGTGTCTCCTTTGTTCGATCTTATGTAATGAAATGAATTACCTGCAAATGTCTTTGAAACAAAAACAGTTTTAAAAAATCAGAAAGACGACAAATCCCTTCTGGACATAAATGTATACACGGGCAAACCCTGCGTTGATGACTAATCCAGATCAATTGGTTCATCTGAAAATGCCATCTTCTTATGTGGTGACCAGTCACAGTGAAATGCGTGGTAGCCTGGTGACAATTGATCAATTGATGAGGGTTCTTTCAAACACAGGAACATATATAAAATAGTAAAATAAATATAATTTTCACGAATTATTTCAGTTATTTTACAAATTGGGTGACAGTTTTGCGCTTTTAATTTATTATGATCACGAATTCCAAATATTTTGATGTTTAATTTCATCACCCAGTGATTAAAAGTGATAGGATAAAAAGAAAAGAAAATTCAAATGTATATTTTTATATTGTTTGGCTTCTAATTAGCATAATATCAGTATGAATCTGTTGTGATCGTTTTAAGTCCTTTTGAACTCCTCAAACATTTTATTAAATCTGTGATATAAATTGGACAGATTTAACAAAGTTTACATTTTAAAAATTGCATAAGTGATCACATTGTACAAATTGACTGAGTTTACATTTTGGCGTAAAGGCTTAATTATCACGAGGGGAACAGGGTTTGATAAGCACCCTCTCAGTCTGTTTGGCCGTATTCCCTGAGCAGGAGAGGGGCGCACCAGGATTCTGTTTCACAAAGCGATCTTAGCGCTAAAACGATCGTAACTTCAATACGGAAATACATATCTTGTTTTAGCGGTTGGCGGCTTTAGAATAGTGCTGCAGGGTTATCTTCCCATGAACGTCGCTGCGAGGAGGAGGGAGGTATGTCGGATGAAAACACAAACACGGAAGAGAAGGGCTTGAAAGAAAACAATGATCAGGAAAGAAAGGTGGCAGACAAAGCTGAGGAACAGGTCGAACATGCTCCCCACGACGTTGGGCTGACGCATCAAGATAGTCTGTCAGGAGGAACTGCCAATGCCACCCAGCAAAAGATGAAAAGTACGTTATTTCACAGCTGATTACGAGAGACAGTTAGTCTGACATATGAGAGACCTTAAAACGATATATCTTTACATGGTCTCTGGACATATCGATCACTAGTGTCGATAGCGACAATGCCATTGTCATTTTTTATAATTATTCTTCAACACTGGTATATCAACACGTTCAACAAATCTGGTGTTAATCGACACCGATGTGATAGGGCTAGGAATAGGAACATTTGACCACGAAATTGCGACCCCGAGAATAGTACAGTTGTGTGTAAGTTAGGCTAGTGCACGGAACTTGTCCTTGGCACTGTGTGTACTGTAGAAATAGAAGAAAAGCGAGACAGTTCATTTGTCGGCCCCTGCCTTTAATAACATCATTACTTATGAGCATTGGGTAAATAATAATTGATCATTGCAAAATAATACGCGAGTGAATATTTTCAGTTGGTTAATTATGAGCAGGAAGTGGAAGAACATTACAAGGTGCAGCTTACAGCATTAACTGGTTCAGGGTGACAGCAGTTGTTCTCGCTTTGGTTTAAGGGGGACTCATCACTTGGTTTAAGGGGGGCTTGTCACCTGGTTTAAGGGGTTCCTAATCACTTGGTTTAAGAAGGGCTCATCACTTGGTTTAAGGGGGCTCGTCAGATGGTTTAAGGGGGGCTCGTCACTTGGTTTAAGGGGGGCTCGTCACTTGGTTTAAGGGGGGCTCATCAGATGGGTAAAGGGGGCTCATCACTTGGTTTAAGGGGGGCTTGTCAGATGGGTAAAGGGGGCTCATCACTTGGTTTAAGGGGGGCTCATCACTTGGTAAACAAGCACTAATTATTTGTGATAACTCCTGCGGTAAAGTGTTAATTAGATTAACTTTAGTCTTATCAGCATAGCTTCTAGCTGGCAACTCGACTTCGTTCCTCTGCGTGGCGCTTGTTGAAATCAGAAATTGTGCACACAGTAGAATGCAGTACTCCTGCTGACTGGCCATGATGCCACAAAGCACTGCAGTGTGTATGCTTTACAAACTGATTTATTACCCTTTAGTGCTGCCAGGTATCATGTCAAGACTGTTAGAAACTGGTGATGTGAAAACTATTCATAAAGCTTAAACAACATTGCAACTCTGTGGTTTCATGGCTAGTGAAGTCAACTAAATCAGTCAGTTACAATTATCATCATGGTAGATTTGCAACACATTGATTTATGTAACAGACAGCATTGTGACAATAATTTGAGGTTTGTGTGAATGATCAAGGTTATTGAGTTGTTAAAGATTTCAGTCCTTGTGATATTTCATCATTAATTGTTGTATTTCTTAGCCTTATATCTTTACAAGTACCAGTCATGATAAATGTTCATAGCATAAGAGTGAATGAGTGAGTTGGGTTTAACGACGCTTTTAACAGTATTCCAGTTATATCACAGTGTGTCGGCTTAATGTGGGAGGAAAGCCCGAAGTGTTGCAGGTCTCAGACGTTTACCACTTCGGTAAAACCCAAGAGCACAGGTATTATGGCTGAAATATTGCCAGTGTGACTTTAATTAAACTCACTCACTTAGTCTATTCAGTTTTAATGCACTTAAATCATGGCTTGCATACTAACTTAGCATTCGAGTTTTGCAAATTTTTATAATTGAATCCATACTCTGTTTTTATGTATTGATACAATGCTGTGACACGTTGTATTGACACTGTAAATCTTGAAATTAATGTGACTCAATATTAAAGCGACTGCCACTTGCATTTTTCGCATTTAAAGCATGCTCGCGTTCATTTCAAGGTTTACAGTATACCGTTGTTATTCTGAACCTAAGTGGACCAGGCTCTAACTGCAGGATGTCAGGACATTCGAGATAACGAGGCAGGAACATTCAGACAGATCAAGTAACAGTATTATACCTGATTCACCCTGATTATGTTTCCAGGTTTGTCAGCACCATACCCGTGTTCGTGGGTTTCACCGAAGTGGTAAACGTCTTAGACCTGCATCACTTCGGGCTTTCCTCCCACATTAAGCTGACATGCCGTGATATAACTGGTATACTGTTGAAAGCGGCGTTAAACCCAACTCACTCACTTATACATCCATAGCAATATGATTGCATAGATGAGAAATTAAGAACACACGCATGTATGTGATGACAAATTGAAATGTGATTGGCAGGCAATGATCAATAACAATGGTTACAATTATGTTCAGCTTAATTACAGTTAGTCTGTCCAATTGACAAAGACAACAAAGGGCCACTCGAGCCTTAAGTTGGAAATTCTTTGATTAGTACTTTTTTATGCATCCAGGAACTGCTGCCATATTTTACAATGTTCACAATGTATTACCTGTCAATAAAGATTACCATTACAATTATATTAAAAGTTAAGTCCATTTCTGGTGGAACAATTGGTTCAAATTGCACTGTCCCTTTGCAGCTATGTTAGATGTTTTAGATGGAAATAGCACTATGTATTTATATCCTTTATTCGAGATAAGTGGTTAAATGTATACATGTTTATATTGTAGCCAGGGAATATGTTCGAAACATCACTACATTTGAGATAACAGAGTTCGACTTCATCGTCAGTTACACCAATTCTACAAACATTTTAAAGAAAAAAAATTCGAACAATTATCCCAGTCCATTATTTTGTGTTGATGTGAGATTTCTACCTATGTCTAGTTGATGTACTGCTGAAGCCTGCTGGAGATGCTCCCATCATGAAGAAGAAGAAGTGGGCAGTGGACAGGACCAAGAGAGTCAGCTGGGTGTCTGAGTTCATCAGGAAGTACATCAAGTTAGATATCTCAGAGTCACTGGTAGGTGTTACTGAAAGTAGTCAGTTGACCTTTACGCTCAGAGTCACTGGTAGGTGTCACTGAAAGTAGTCAGTTGACCTTTACACTCAGAGTCACTGGTAGGTGTCACTGAATGTAGTCAGTTGACCTTTACACTCAGAGTCACTGGTAGGTGTCACTGAATGTAGTCAGTTGACCTTTACACTCAGAGTCACTGAAAGTAATCAGTTGACCTTTACACTCAGAGTCACTGGTAGGCGTCACTGAAAGTAATCAGTTGACCTTTACACTCAGTCACTGGTAGGTGTCACTGAATGTAGTCAGTTAACCTTTACACTCAGAGTCACTGGTAGGTGTCACTGAATGTAGTCAGTTGACCTTTACACTCAGAGTCACTGGTAGGTGTCACTGAATGTAGTCAGTTGACCTTTACACTCAGAGTCACTGGTAGGTGTCACTGAATGTAGTCAGTTGACCTTTACACTCAGAGTCACTGAAAGTAATCAGTTGACCTTTACACTCAGAGTCACTGGTAGGCGTCACTGAAAGTAGTCAGTTGACCTTTACACTCAGAGTCACTGGTAGGTGTCACTGAATGTAGTCAGTTAACCTTTACACTCAGAGTCACTGGTAGGTGTCACTGAATGTAGTCAGTTGACCTTTACACTCAGAGTCACTGGTAGGTGTCACTGAATGTAGTCAGTTGACCTTTACACTCAGAGTCACTGGTAGGTGTCACTGAAAGTAGTCAGTTGACCTTTACACTCAGAGTCACTGGTAGGTGTCACTGAATGTACCGTATATCGCTGTGTATAAGGCGAGTTTTTCGTACCTAAAATGAGGGGGCTAAGAAGGGGGGTCGTCTTATACACGAAGTCGAAGATCTCACATTTTTTTCCACTGGCGATGTCAACTGGCGTCCGATAGCCAGCCCAGCATTTGACAATAAAACTTCGCATTTCGTCCTAAATAACTGTTCCAAGAACTATTTCCATACATAAACATGATTTTGTATCTCTTTTCCTTGAATAAAGTTTAATAATTTCTGCAAATAAAGTTGAAATGACTCTCTCCTCGATGCAGATTGTCAAACCACCTGACACGGTAAAACAATCAACATCCGTGAGTAGAGAGCCGGAAGTACCGGTAATCATTTGCATATTGCACATGTGACCTAACATGTGATAACCGGTGAAGCTGAAATCAATTCCCGCTGTTTTTACAGTTGTATTAACAAGTGTTGGAGACGGTGTGTACAAGTGATTGTGGAATAAACACGCTGAATGTGAAGCAAACATAAGCCTAGTTAGTTACAACATAGTTAATTGGCGATTAAATTACTCACCATTGTCTCTTATATGTTATTACTTCATAAATGAATTTTATTTTACGGGCACCAATTTGGTGTCGTACCGTGTAAACACAAAATGGCGACGTGTGCCGGAGTTACACACGCGACCTATCATTGTAGAAAAAAAACAACGCAAGATAAACATATTTTTATTGCATATATAAGGTTTGTGTGCGCACTTGTGATGTGTGCGAAATACGCATCAGTCGGAAAGCGCACATTAAATCTCCAAAGTAACGTTAAAGCACGTTAAATCTTCTACCGGTATATCAGTCAGACTTGTGATGTGTTTCATTCCAGGTCGCCTTATACACGGAGTATAGGATTTTGGGTTGATTTTTAAGGCGTGTACAGGGGGGTCGTCTTATACGTGGGGTCGCCTTATACACAGCGATATACGGTAGTCAGTTGACCTTTACACTCAGAGTCACTGAAAGTAATCAGTTGACCTTTACACTCAGAGTCACTGGTAGGCGTCACTGAAAGTAGTCAGTTGACCTTTACACTCAGAGTCACTGGTAGGTGTCACTGAATGTAGTCAGTTGACCTTTACACTCAGAGTCACTGGTAGGTGTCACTGAATGTAGTCAGTTGACCTTTACACTCAGAGTCACTGGTAGGCGTCACTGAATGTAGTCAGTTGACCTTTACACTCAGAGTCACTGGTAGGCGTCACTGAAAGTACAGTCAAGTCTCGTTAATCCGACACTCGTTAATCCGACACTCGGCTTTATCCGACACAAATGATGGGAACCGATTGATTCAGTGCTATTTAGTCCCGTTAATCCGACATTCTCGCACTCCGACTCCGACACACCTAATTTGCAACGAATTGCAGAAATCACTCATTAATCAGTCTCGTTAATCCGACACAGTGATCAGCGTACTCCGTGGTCATCTGACCGCGAGTACACAACCCCGTGTTTTGACACGCACTGGCTGCAGAGATTAAGTTAACAATTAACAGGAAAAGCTATTCAAACCTGTATGTACAAAGCTATACAAATGTTGTTTACAAATTGAAGCCAGATAAATGTGCATGAAGCCCGTTTAAAATACGAACAGGTATATAAAACTTGGTCGACTCACCTTGTAGCATTCGTCAAAATGTCTGTCTGCAGTACACCTCCGAGAAAGCGTGCACGAGTAGAAATCACCCCCCAAATAAAGAAGGAGATCTGTCAGTTTAAGCAGAGTAAACCAAACATCACTCAGAATGAAATCATCACATTTGTACGTGAAAAATTCTGCGTGAAGATCGGCAGATCAACAATTTCCGACATTTTGAAGGAATCATCGAAATGGATAGCAGTTTCTTCATCGGACACCAGCACATCCCGAAGTAGAAAGCCACACCAAGAAGAATTAGAAAATGCGCTGTTCTTGTGGTTTTCAGACGTGAGAAAGAGAAACATCATGTTAAATGACGAACTTCTTAAAACTCAAGCGAAGGTGTTAGGTGACAAATTAGGCGTCGAAGATTTTTCATACAGCACTGGTTGGCTCTATCGCTTCAAGCTGAGACATGGAATTAAGATGCATAAAGTCCATGGTGAATCAGCATCCGTTTCACTAGAACTTGTGAAAGAAGGTCGAGAATCCTTACAAGAAGTGCTGCTGGAATACAATCCGTGTGATATTTTTAACTGTGACGAAACGGGTTTGTTGTACAAGATCGAACCAAATTCAACACTCAGTACTGTCCCCGTTTCTGGCAAAAAGCAGGCCAAAGATCGCTTGACAGTTATGTTGACATGCAATGCGACAGGAACTGAGAAACTAAAGCCATTAGTTATTCATAAATACAACACGCCACGTTGTTTCGGCAGATCATTTGACCCTACATCAGTTTGTCACTGGTATGTAAACAAGAAAGCATGGATGACTTCATTAATATTCAAAGCCTGGCTACTGATCTTGGATCGGCAAATGCGATTGGAGCGACGCCACGTGATATTGTTGTTGGACAACGCCCCATCCCATGCTACTGTCGACACGACTAATGTGAAATGTCACTTTTTGCCACCAAATACAACAGTGCACATTCAGCCACTAGATGCCGGGATAATAAAGAATTTCAAGCTTTATTATAAGAAACAACAAATGAAGTTACACCTTGACAATGTTGAAGCAGAAGAAATACAACCCCTAGATGTGAAGCGAGCTCTGCTTTTTATCAGGGCTGCTTGGAATGAGGTGAAGCAAGACACCATCATTAACTGTTGGCGCCACACCCGTATTCTCCCAGATGCAACTGCTACCATGGCTACAGCTGAACCCGTCATCGCCGACCTCGAAGCCATAAATGCAATTAATGCCACTTTCAACACCATGTACGGCGACACGGCATTGAGCGAAGGCTTTTTGACCGCCGATGACGACATCCCATGCGAGGAAGAGCTGACCAATGACACCATCGTTGACATCGTCCGAGGACAGCCTGACGATGTTAACACAGATAACACAGAGGATGAAGCAGACGACAGCGAGGATCCAATTATCCCACCAGCAGCAACCATCAAGGCACATCTCACTCAACTTGCATGCTTCGTCGAACACCACTTAGATGTGTTTTCCATTACTGACTTGGACTTCATTACAAAGATGCAGGGGACTTTGAGAAATGTGTCAAAATGTGAGAAACAGAAAACACTGAAAGACTATTTTAAGAAGATGAAGCAAGTTGTCAAGACAGTAGCACTTGCATTTACACGAGGAAACGTGTGTCGTTGATGTGATTAATTCAGTGAGTAATGTCTCTATTGTTATGTATAAATGGGAAAATTATTATTATTTGTGCACAGTCATTAATTATAAATTAAGGAATGAATGAATAAACAACATAACAATATTAATATTTCGTTTTTAATGATTTTATTACAAGGTACACACGGTTATTATCTATCGTGAAGACGTCCGATTTTCGATCACAAATCACTTAATTTCGTTAATCCGACATACTCGTTAATCCGAAACAATCGTGCAACCAACGATGTCGGATTAACGAGACTTGACTGTAGTCAGTTGACCTTTACACTCAGAGTCACTGGTAGGTGTCACTGAAAGTAGTCAGTTGACCTTTACACTCAGAGTCACTGGTAGGTGTCACTGAAAGTAGTCAGTTGACCTTTACACTCAGAGTCACTGGTAGGTGTCACTGAAAGTAGTCAGTTGACCTTTAAACTCAGAGTCACTGGTAGGTGTCACTGAATGTAGTCAGTTGACCTTTACACTCAGAGTCACTGGTAGGTGTCACTAAAAGTAGTCAGTTGACCTTTACACTCAGAGTCACTGGTAGGCGTCACTGAAATTAAGTTTAACTTTGATTGAATATATTAGAACTGACATAAGTTATATTTCTTGTTTATGGAGGAATAAATATTAAAAAAACAAAGTGTATAAATCTGCACCCTGCTGTGCAACACTAATAACTTCACAGACTGCATATTTAATCATGAACACAAAAAGCTGTAGTCAAACATGCTGATTCAGTGACACATCATGATCATTCAACACAATAATACAAGAGAAGCCCCGCCCACTCAGAGTCTCTATTAATAAAATAACCAAGAAACTGTACTGACCCCGCTAGTGGGTGTGGCCTCACGGTTTTAGCTTGATGGAAACAAACATGGGATAAATGCAAAGAAGTTGTTTGGTTATCCATTCAGATAGAATAACTTTCAGTGGATTTATACCATAAAGAGATAGCATCAACATTTGACTATTTCTCCATCTGACATTACAACTGAACTTACTAGGTTGATTAACTCATTGGTATTGAGAAGGGGAGATAATCCAAATTACCTCCCCTGACCACAGGCCCTTGTTTCGTTGCATTCGTGACCAACTCGTGTTATTCCGGGACAAGCCGAATAGCGACTCGTGCCCCTCTCGTGGCCATTTTTTGCGACTAGGTTCCGTCTAAGCGCAAATGGGCATAACTAAAACAATTGTCAACTCGTTGCGTAATGATTCATGCAAATTTCCCATATGTCATATATATTCCAGATGCAATTTAAGACACTTCAAGACGTAAGGTATTATACAGTATGATTGAACACATTAAACTGTGTCTTGGGTATATTTTTATATGCAAGACATATGTAAAATCAAAAATTATATCTGAGGGATTCTTTGACAAAGAACTTGAAATCATACGCGCATTCTGATTGGTTTGTCGTATTTTCACACATAACATTCATCGATAGGGGAACGAGTCTTCTTGCAGGTTACGGAAAGGGGCGAGTGGTGACGAATGGTCTCGTTGCTTAAATATTTCAAGATTAATTAATATGAGTGTCAGAAATGCACTATCCTATTATATCTTTATGTAACAGGATAGTGCATTTCAGACACTTGTGATATTAATGATCTAGAAATATTCAAGCAGTGTCACAAGGGCCAGTGCCCCTGACATAAAATTCATTTTGATCCATGTCATTACTTAGTGTATAACATTGTATCTACATTGCCTGTTACTTCTGTTTCAGTTTCTGTATGTCAATCAGTCTTTTGCTCCATCACCAGACACAGATGTTGGGGTTCTCTTTGATGTAAGTACATCTGAGCCTTTTTGTGGAAATGTCCAAACCGACTATGGCTGGTAAATGTGACTGCTAGATACTGTAAATCTTGAAATTAACGCGAGCGTGAATTAAATGCGAAAAATGCGAGTGGTCCTCGTTCGCATTTAATGAAACTTGGCATTTGTGTCTTCAAAATGACTATCAACAACAAGACAGCATCAATGTACACTTTGGTTAGCAGAAATACCAACTGAAATATATACACAAACACAGTTTATTGAGCAGCAGCTGTAACAAGTACATAACATGTCAACTAAAGAATTACACAATAGACATCCAGTGAGTTATCACTGCTGGGGTCAAGAGTTCTACCCACTCGTGCCAAACTAGGCAACATTAACCACTCCAGTCAATAAACTGTTGTTGGTTTGATAATTTTAGTACCTTTGAACTTCCTTAATGGCAATCAACAAAATAAAATTAAACATATAAACTGTGTTTTGTTTTTAGGAAAACACTGTTTCTTGTTATTACGGAAGTTCTTTACTCAGTGCTAATAGGCAGTGCTATTTTCTGTTTGATTGGATTAAGGTAAGGATATGTATGATTCCACTGGGGATGGGGTGGGGGGAGTCGCATTGATACTGAGTCGCATTTTTGGCTAGGGGCCAGCAGTCTTATTAATTTGGAGACGGATTAATTTCAAGATTTACAGTACTTAGACATTGCATATGAGTTGTTGGAGATACTTAACTCAAATTTCCAACTAACTGCGTAGCTGCTTTATGGTTTACGGCCTGGGATGCCGACACTGTTGAGGACTAGTGAATACTTGTTTTCCTCATCTCAATATTCAAATTTGGCTAAAATGCAATCTCATTAAAATCAGACCTCAGTTCTCGCTACCGCTAAACAAAGATCTGAGGACATCCAATTAGGGGTCACGTCAGAACGACCTTTCATCCGACCAATCAGAGCATCGCTTACCAGATAATCATGCAGCCTCGAAAACTTTAACTCCGAACGATAGTTACGGGTTTAACGACTGAATCCATACAATCTAGACCATCTATTAGCCATTACAGAATGTTCTTTTGTTCAGGTTTCAAATTTGTAATCGAGAATTTGTCAAAATATGTTTCGAAGCGTAGTTGCCAATTCGAAATTAGTGCCGTAAAGCACGAGAAAGCTGCCTTCTGATTGGTCATTCCATTGGTCGGTCAAAGTTCACACAAGGTCGGTCTGACGTGACCCGTAATGGGATGTCCTCAGATCTTTGTTTAGCGGTAGTGAGAATTAAAATCTGATTTTAATGAGATTGGCTAAAATGGCATCCGGGTTTCTTCCAAGTTCAAGAGGGCTCAGCTCTTTACCTGTACTGCCACGCTGTGAGGCCAGAGAGATACCACATGGTACCGAGACGGTCAATCTTATTAAACTCCGATTTTAGTGGTCACCACTGTTACAAAAAGACCTATGGGGTCATTCATTTACAGTTCATGTCAGAACGGTCAATCTTATTAAACTCCGATTTTAGTGGTCGCCACTGTTACAAAAAGACCTATGGGGTCATTCGTTTACAGGTCATGTCAGAACGACCTTTTAGCCAAACAGTAAGATCATCGCTTATGAGATCACAAACATGTAAGTCTGAATGGGTTTTCTAATCATGCAACCTCGAAAAGGTTAACATGAAGCATCTCTCGCTTCCAATGTATAAACATTTGAAATGGAAGAGATTTTCCTTAGTGCATGGAAAGTACTGCCATAAAATCTTGGCCACCTATTGTTATAGAGTTGTTGTTGTTGAGTTTTTGTTCAGTTTTCAAATTTTGAATCAAGAATTTTCTCCAGATATTTTTCAAAATGTAGTCCGGAATGGAAGTAGCTGGTTTTAAACTAGTGCCATAAAGGTCGAGGAAGATTCTTTCTTATCGGCTAATGTTGGTTTGCTCTTAGTCGGTTTATTGGTTGGTCACAGTTCGTGAATCTATGCTGGTCGTAAGTGTGTAAGACTAAGAGGTGAGTGAATGGTTTGGGTGGTCCGACTTAGTTGATTGCTTGTCATCGGACATGACAGCGTGGATTGTTGCTCACAATATCAATCACAGGATTGTCTGGAAAAAAGCTACCAAGAAAACCACATTTAAGAGAAGAAATAATAAAAACCTAATTCTTAGTAAATTTGGGGTAAATTTCTCTCATTCCTTTGTTCAGTATTGACTTAAAAATACTTCCACGCTTACCAAATTAATCAGGGTACATATGTCGACACAGAAGTGTGTACGTCATCTGTAGATGATAATTATAAACGGTCATTGAAAATGAATGCAAAGTCTTTCACCTTCTGTCAGAATATGTTTATAAACCTATGAGGTATTGTTACGTGAAACACCAGTTAGCAGTGATTTTCTAAAAAAAGAGAGAGATGCAAAAAAATTGAATGTTTATGATCATCAAAATTAAGGAAATTAGATATTTGCCAAGATATTGCCAAGAAGTGTTTGGTGTGCCCAGTGTGCATGGTTAGAAGTTTTAACCTTATGGATTGTCCGGGGTTTGATTTCACTGCTGGACTGTTTGCCCGTAGCCAGTTAAAAAAATAAAGGGTTTGCTGAGATGTAGAGAAGATGGCCCGTCTGGATAGTCAAATGTCACCCTTCTCCGTGTATGTCAAATTTTATTAATTTTATCATCTCGGTAGAATGACAACTGGCTTCCATTTTGTAATGTTGTGTACAACAACATCTTTAGTTGCTTTAGTCCTGCTAGGCCTTCACCATTTACTTGTAGGCCAGTTAGTTTGGAGAAGGGTCAGTAACTCTTAGAATGAGCGACCACCTCCGTGGTCTAGTGGTAGAGCGTCCGCCCGGAGAGCGGAAGGTCTAGGGTTCGATCCCCAGCTGCGTCATACCAAAAGAAGTAAAAGATGGTACTTGTTGTTACCCTGTCTGGCGCTCGGCATTAAGGGGCTTAAACAAGGACTGGTCGGCTCGGAGTCAGTATACTGTGTCTGAGAGGGGTATTCATGTTAAACCGCGGCATGGTATCTCAGTGGGCTAGCACTATAAATCGGCATCAGTCCGGACTAGTACAAGCAGACACACACACACACACACACACACACGTACATGCACGTCGCTATATCAGTGCAATAATTTGGACGCGACGTTAAACCCCATTTCACCTCACCATCTTAGAATGAGCAAGCCCTGATAGCTAAATACAAATTTGTTTTAAAATCTATCCCTGTTTGTGTGATCTTTTATAAACATTTTCTTCTGTGTAGTGTTTTGGGAGTGATGGGAAGCTGGTCCTACACTACTGCCGGACCCAGGCCTGGGGTTGAGTCAACATGACCCTGTGACCCGATCGCTACAGCTGGACAACGCCTGTCAGCCCTGTGAATTCAATCTCCAGGCATCAGTGGAATGGAAGTCGAATGTATTGTGTGTCAGTGTATTGTTTTATGCATATTATGATTTACCTTATGTTTGAATGGCTTGTATGTGAATAAATTGTCTCAAATCTAATAATTTTGATGTTTCTTTGCTTATTGAGAAATGATCAAGATCCAGAGCTGGGACATGTATGTACACCTCTAAGCCTTGCATTACAGTTTATGCTGCCCTTCTTTAGGCATGGCTTCATGTTTATCTCCTGTAATCAACGCTTATGTCATTCAGAAATGGTTGAAATATTGCTTATTGTCAGCATTATAATAATAAATGTAATCCTTATCATTATGAAGTCTACATAATAGTCCCGTTTCACTGGTCCTTTGCATTTGAGATATTTTTGTCATTTCTTATCATCTACATTATTTGCAGGAGTGGGGAACTCCATGTTTGACCTTTCCTATCTCCACATGTTGGACTGACAATCTCAGGAAAAAAGCTACTGCATGGATTCTTTTGAATTTTAGTGAATAGTTTCCATGCTAATAGAAGAGGTGCAGTGTAAAGTTTGATTGTGATATGTGGATTTTCTGAAAAGAATATGATTTTTTACGTTTTGAACGTCAACGTTTGTGTGTCGTATAACTTAAGAACTATGAGATGGATTCTTTTCAAATTTAAGGAACACTTTCTATACTAATAGGAGAGGTGCAGTGCAAAGTTTGATTTTCCCAAAAATATGATTTTATTCATGTTTTGAACTTTATATTTCATATAATATTTGTGCGACCTATAACTTGAAAACTACTTATTGGATTATTTGCAAATTGGGGGTACACTTTCCATTCCAGCAGAGCTGCAGGGAAAAGTTTCATTTCGATAAGTGGATTTTCAGAGAAAATATTGCTTTTTTCCATAGGGGGTATTTGAAGTCGGGGGGTATTAGTGAGCAGTGCTCATTATTAGTTTACGGGTCCTCCTTGGATGAGTAAATGATGCCATATTTTATATGCTATAGAATGTGCAGATGAAGCTGATATCCACTGTAAAGAAGACAGTTGCAACAATAGCTGTGTGGATTTTGATGTAAACATTAGCATGATTAGTTAGGTTTTAAAATGGAAGAAGCTATTGCAAAACATTTGTCACCACGCCTATCAAAATCTCCCATGGCAAAATTCACTGAACGAGAAATGTCCTGACAGATTAACTCATACATCCATGAAACAGTTCCACAATTTGTAACTTACAATGATTATAACTGAAGGTCATCATACCGTGACCAGATAAAACATCCAATGTGTGAGCAACAGTTCACATCCTTTGGGTACAACATGGCAGCAAAAAGAAGTAGGCGAGAGCAGAGAGATCATTTAGTTGACACGTTATATATGAATATGAAACAGGTTCCAGTGGTGCTGTGTATTGATGGCAGAAGTGGCTAGCTAGTATGACGAGCTCAGTATATTTGTGTGGGTCTGCCAACCATGACAAATTCAAATGAAGCTGCCATTGTGCCCTTTGGATCCTTTATCTACACAAGGACTTAGCATATCTAAGCTACATGTCAGCCCAAACAAGCACCAAACAGGTCAATGTAGGTGAAATGTGTATTTATTTCAATCAGGGAGTATTGGACTGTACAATGTTTGCTGATAGCAAAACCAAAATGGCAGACATGATATGTACTGAAGTTCTAGCGTGTTTACACAGAGAGTTGTCACTTTATATATACAATATATGTTGTTATTTAATCTACATCTAGGAGGAGTCAATAGTGTTACATATATACACAGAAACGGAAAATACTGGTGGTAGTTCAATCAGACACATCACAAATAGTTGCACTAAAATCAACATTTAACAAATTGTAGAAATAAATATGTTTTCATGTTTTAAATAATAAAATAAGAAACATTTGGTGATGACACTTCCTAAACATAATAAAGACATATTCCTATTTTTTGTCTAATTTTTAAGGAATTAAAATAAATGAAATGTTCAAAGATTTCTTAATGGACTATATTATTCATAACTATAAACAAAGTAAGATTGAGCACATTCAATCAAATCCAAAGACATTTGTTTCTTAACATTCTGTTTGTTACTCCTTGAATCGCACATAAAGCAGACAGGCAAGTAAACTGTTATACTTGTATATATCTGGTACTTGGGATGTTCATCTTTTGCAGCCAAAAAGTAGCTTTGGCTTACTGGAAACGTCCTGGATCATAAAATGGTTTGTAAATGAACCATGAAAACTACTGGTTACGTGTTCTGTTTTGCATTTTTCTGACTTCGCTAAACCTAAAAATCTTTAAAAACTCGATTCTGTTTGGTACAGTGTTATCACAATTGGTGGACGGAGATGATTTGATACCTGCGCTGAAAAAAATGGCAAAAGTATTTCTGAGAAAAATTGTCCATTTTATGATGAGCACTCCAGTTGTTGCATTTGTCCACTGTAGCCATCCTCAGCAGGGAATTTCCAAATTAGAACAGCACCATCTGTGCCAACACTGACGATGTTGCGCTGGTTTGGACAGATGCGAACCTTGGTGATAGGTGCGCTGTGACCAATTCCGATGTGAGTTACCTCCCCTTCATCATACCTCCACAACTGAAACAAAAGGTGGATATGTTGGCTACGAAAACAGCTACAGTAAACTGCTAATGATCAAGATCGTCTGCATTAAGAACTTTATCAAATATATATATGCAATCATATACAAACCAGATAAATGGCATTATAAGAAGTGTTAACTGTGGATATGGTAAGTGACAGAGAATGAGTGTCACATAAACATGGCAGCTGGTAAAGTAAATGAAATAATGGCAAAAAAAATATTACTTGACCTAGTTCTACTCATGTCCAGTGTATTTGTCATATTGAGTGGAGACAATACACTGGATACTTGAGATGTGGTTTCAGTCTCATTGAAACTATTCTTTGGGGATCCAACCCTTATAATGAGTTAGGGGGCCCTTGGGATTTTTCGGATTTCATGCCAAAATACAAACACTGATATTGTTACACATGTGCTAAGAAAAATGCTTCAAGTGAACAGCTTCTGTTGACCACCCACCTTGATGATTTTCTCTTCTCCTCCAGACACAAAGTATTTGCCATCAGGGGACATGTCCATTGTGTTGATGGCTCCTGTCTTGGCTCCATCCAGCTCCCTTGTGCCGGAGCCATCAAGGGTCTCCCAGTAGGCAATCTTGCGGTCAGTTCCACTTGTCACGATGTGATGACCACCCAGGCCATAGGACACACACTGGAACAACGTGTTGGCAAACACAATCTGTTTCCTGGCTTGATTTCTGAAAAAAAACAAAAAAACATCTCATTTATTTTTCATGTAACTTCTTATTACAAAAATCAAAGAAATCAGTGTCATGGCAAACATGCCTCAAAATGGGCTTCACACTTGGTACCCATGTTGGGATTTGAACCCAGGCTTTCAGCATGACAAGCAAATCCTATAACCACTAGGCTACCCCAGCCCTCGCTATTGGTGATAACACATCTAAGATCAAACATGTAACATAAGTGTTTTAACACTACATGAACAAGTTTTATCATGGCAGTGTCAGCTTCATGACGGAGGAAGGAATGAATTCTAAACCCATGACAAGCCGATTCCAGCAACTAAAGGATGCAACTTTGCACAGCAAGATGTGTTGCCATAGACATATGAACATGACGTTGTGTTTAAAGAAGATAAACTTTGTGCAACCAAGAACTCACACGAGGCACCAGATGATGCAGGTTCCATCTGTACTGGCTGAGGCACATTCCCTGTCATTGTTTCGGATCTTGATGGCGGACACCAGACCTTTGTGTTCCTTCATTGTCGCCTCGAGGACACCTCGGTAGGATGTCTTTCCTCGCGACTCATAGCTCTCCTCCACTCTCCAGATCCTCACTTGGCCTTCACCCCCGCCGCTCACAATATGTCTTCCGTCAGATGTACAGGCAATAGCAGTCACACCTTTGTTGTGAGCATCAGTGATACTGAACCTCTCTGTGATGTCTTTAGGGCCAAAGCCATACACTCGTATCTTCCCATCTGCCCAGGCTGTGCAAAAAATATGAATCCATAAATGATTTATGCGAGTGAGTGAGTATGGTTTTACGCAGCTTTTAGCAATATTCCAGCAATATCACGGCAGGGGACACCAGAAATGGGCTTCACACATTGTATCTATGTCGGGAATCGAACCTGGGTCTTTGGCGTGACGAGCGAACGCTTTAATCACTAGGCTACCCGACCGCCCCTAAATGATTTATGTATTCCATTTAGGAATTGAGACAGCTCTGCAAAGTGAATACTTTCACTTGACTTGAAAAAAACCCCAAACCAATATGAGATATGAAATGTGCTTTTGTAGATTTCAGTAATCACTTACCACTGACGATAGACTTGCCATCCCTTGTGATGTCAATAGCATTGCACATCATGTTGGAGACAACATGGCGTCTTATTTCCTTCCCAGTCTCACGGTGCCAGATTCGGATCTCCTCATCCTGGCAAGTCACAATCAGCTCAGAAGTTCCGCTGAAAACACATTGGCAGTTGTCAACTGTTAAATGCATAGATTCACAGATCATAGACATTTAAACTCATAAACAGAATAGCTCAACCCCTGAAAATAAGCATTGCATGAACTGGAGCACTTACTGGGGGAAGATGACGTCATTGACAGGCTTGGAGTGACAGGTTTTCTTGAGGACACAACTGAACTCAGGATAGTTAAACTTGTAGATGTTTGAACTGCCACTTCCAACAAAGAACTGAAACATATCAAGAAACTACAGTAAACACATGAACAGACAGTAAAACTTGCCATGTGAACGGCTATCTACTTTCTTTAATATTAATTAAGCTACTCATATTGCAAAACATAAAAAGTAAGGAGAAAGTTGAGGCAACAACACTTTGTACATGACATCATATCATGGTAATTCAATCCTGGAGGAAAGCCAAAACTCTCAACTATTATAGGACTAGAATACCTAATCAGTGATAAATTACACAGTGAGTTGTGAGTTGGGTTTAAAGATGCTTTGAACAGTATTCCAGTATATATCATCATGGCAGCTTAATGTGGGAGGAAAGCCTGAAGTGATGCAGGTCTCAGACGTTTACCACTTTGTCGAAACCCATGAGCACATTTAGGGGCTGACAAACCTAGAAACAATAGAGGCAGATACAGGATTCGAACCCACAATTTCAGGTTTCAGGCATGCCCAAGGGACGCAACTCTGCACAGTAAACAGCGGCGACCTCGACAACTGGGTCACCAGTGAGTTGTGAGTGAATTGGTTAGGATATAAGTTCACTGTATGCAAGCGCAGAGTGTCACAGGTCATAGACGTTTACGCCATTCGTGAAACCAACAAGCACAGACTCAGGATCACGATCGTAGTCGGATTAGATCCCCATTCTGCAGATCCTGATATGGCTAAGGGTAGGAACTCTGCACTGCAAAATGTGACACTTTGGACCACCATGTGAACCCCCAACAGTGAGTCAGGCCATTGGAATCCCTGTGCCCACTATTACTAACTGCTGAAGTTTAGCAACAACTAACTACCTGGTGTCCAGATCCTCTTAGGGCTATGGAAGTCAAGGAACTGCATTTGTTCTTCACCAGATTATCTTTCCAGGGCCTGCAGAATACAAAATTAATGTCAAAATTTAGAGGATGTGCTGACAAAGTAAGATGTTTTTTCAAATACATCCTGTCCTGGATATCAAGTTTATGTCAAATATTAGTCTGTCTTACAGACCCTGATACAAATATATATCAAATACAGCCCATGCAAGTCTATAATGTTTGGCAAGTCTAGATCACTGCAGAAAATGAAGAGAGTCACTGGGCTCCTTTTTATTATATTTTTATTAAGATAACTGAACAACTGTTTTTTTTATGTACCATATGTTCATTTCAGAGACTAGATTTTAGTCTAGTCAAATATCTTCTGTCAAGTTTGCAAACCTGCAAATTCGAAGGAACTTAAAACTTCAAAATCCATTTTTAATGTCCTCACTATGAAAAATGATAACTTAACATGTCACTGCTTAAGAAAAATCATTACATTGCTTCAATCATTTTGATATATTTGATGCAAAATTCATTTCATGATCTTATATATTTGATTCAATAATGGGACAATCATGTTGACACATACTCAACATTGTGTTTGAGAGTTGCCTTGATCTTGTTCCCATTCATGGTGACCTTGATCTTGCACTGAGCCAGTGTACCATCTCCGGCTCCAACCAGGAAATCATAGTTTTCGGCACACTCATCAACTTTGACAAAAGAAAGGGCTGTAACTCCCTGACTGAACTTGTTTTTTTCTGGCACAAGGAACTGCAGACGGACTGTGTTCATGTTGATGGCGAGGATGTCCCCAGTTGTCGTGCCACAGAAGAAGAAGTTCAGGTTATCCTTGTTTATCATCTGAAGAGAAAGTTATGTAACATGACATAATTGATATCTACATTGTAACTACAGAATACAACAAACTTTCAACCTTGATCCTATCACTATCACATAAATCAGGACCCGTGAAGATTCCGGGGTAGAATAGGTCTTCAGCAACCCATGCTTGCCATAAAAGGCGACTATGCTTGTTGTAAAAGGCGACTAACAGCATCGGGTGGTCAGGCTCGCTGACTTGGTTGATGCAGGTCATTGATTCCAATTGCATTGATCGATGCTCATGATGTCAATCCCTGGATTGTCTGGTCCAGACTTGATTATTTACAGACCGCCATCATTTAGCTGGAATATTGCTGAGTGAGGCGAAAAACAACAAACAAACAAACAAACAAACAAACAAACAAACAAACAAACAAACAAACAAACAAACAAACAAATCAGGATCTATCACAATTACTTTTGAGGTGTAAATGAGAGACAAACCAGTAACCAATAAGAGTATAATCTAACATAAAGTCAGCAATGCAACAGTCGGTCCTTCCTTGGACACTCCACCGTGAAAGTGAGTGAGTGAGTGAGTTGGGTTTAACGCCGCTTTCAACAGTATTCCAGTTATATCGCGGTGTGTCAGCTTAATGTAGGAGGAAATCCCGAAGTGATGCAGGTCTCAGATGTTTACCACTTCGGTGAAAGCCATGAGCACGGGTATGGTGCAGACAAACCTAGAAACATAATCGGGGCGAACCGGGATTCGAACCCACAATCATAGGTTGCTGGCGTGCCCAAGGGACACAACTCTGCACAGCGAATTGCGGTGCCTTAGACGACTGGGCCCCCCGTGCCCCCCCACCGTGAAAGAGCAGTGATAAACCGGCCTGTTGTGATTCCAGGGTAAAAGAGGTCCCAAATTTGTGTATGAAGGTTGAACATAATTAGGAAAGGATGGTGATATGTGTGACCTAGTATTGTGTGTACCATACTACTAGGGCTGGGACAGGTAACTCAGGTACCCGGGTCGGGTGGGTACTCAGTAGGACCTGGGTACCCACAGGATTACCCGGACCTGTGGTTAGTCATGGGATATATTGTTTAACGACAAAAATTATCAAGAACTCTAAGGTTACACTACAAGTCACTAATGTTCGCATTTCTTTCGGACTATGAACCCATTCCTTCTGATTTTTCATATGGTTGAATAAAAATATAACTTAATTTAACTTCAGTATATGAATGACCAGATTGTTTAATAAATGTATCTAAATACGTTTTGCCAGGGCTATGCTAAGAATGTTCCCAATCGGACATTTTGAGACGTCTCCTGAAACCTACAGTGGGTACCCGGGTAGGGTCGGGTAATAGGGGAGCGGGTACCCGGGTAGTAAATTTGGACTCGTCCATGCCCTACATACCACCTAGATGGCACAGATAGTTGCTCCAGCTGTCAAACCATCTTTGGTTCTGATCCAGACAAGATTACTTACAGGCGACTAAAAATGTTGGTTGTGGCATAAAACAGCATTTGCTCATGATGTTCACCCGTGCTATGATAAAGACTTACTACAGTTGCAGGGATAAATGTAACTTGTCATCCATCCAAGTACTTTACATTGTCAGTAGCCATTGTGACCATCTCATCCCCATTTTAACCTCCTCTTTCCAGCAACAATATGACGAAACCATCAAGTCAAATTATACACATGTTGCAACAGCATTCTAACCCATAATTGACTGTCTCCATGGCCTAGTGGTTGAGTGTTTGCCCAGACAGCGGAAGGTTTGGGGTTTGATCCCCAGACACGTCATGCCAAAAGACATTAAAAGATGGTATTTGTCCTTTCCCTCCTGGTGCTCAGCATTATGGGGCTAAAACAAGGACTGGTCAGTATACTGTGTCTGAGTGGGGTATTCATTTTAAATTACGGCATGGTATCTCAGTGGGCTAGCACAATAAAATCGGCAATTAGTCCGGACTAGTACAAGCAGCCACACACACACACACACACACACACACACACACACACGTCGCTATGAAAGTGCAATAATCTTGAACGTGATGTTAAACCCGATTCCACCTCATCTTTAACCCATAATCCCACCCTAGAGATCCTATCATATGCACTGTGAACATGACAGAAAACCCACCTGTATACATTTGACAGTCCTTTTGAGTACTCCTAGGTTGACGTCAGTTGGTCGTATTTTTCTGTTTTGCACATCAAGCTGCCATACTCTCAGTGTGTTCCTGTGAAGTGGGAACATCACTTTTAAAAATATGCAAATTCAAATACCAGTACATACATCTAAATAACTTCATAATATTGCCATGTTGTTGAAAACATTAATATAAAAATAAACAATTTGTGATTTGGGTCATCCAATACTGATTATTTAATTTTCTAGATTTTGTTATTGATGCAAGATCATATCCTTTAGAGGGTGACAATATTTTTATTATTTGAGGAAGCCAGTTTGAGTGTGTGGACTAACAAACAAATCATTCACAATCATGCCTTTGTTAAATATCTGAAATTAAGGCTTACTATATCAGTAAACAATTTCAGAGACATCAAATACAATTCAACTTAAAAGTGTGTCCTGGGCCTACTTGCACAAAGCGATCTTAGCGCTAAGATGATTGTAACTCCCATACGTTAACATAGGCTTACGATAGTCTTAGCGCTAAGATCGCTTTGTGCAAGTGGGCCCAGATGATTCTCTGGTACATATATTGTCAACAACAGATGCACATGCCCTGCATGGCTTTCATTTTATGAAGCAAGTACATAACAATTTCTCATCATTGACAATCAGGTTGAATATCCTTGATGTGTTGAGATACTTACTCTCCTCCAGTGACGAAGATGTCATCTGACACTTCAGAGGCACAGACACAGTAAGTGTTTCCAGCACTCTCCACCTGAGCTGGGGATCCACAGATGGCCTCCCCTCTCTCAACATCCCACACCACAACCCTGAAATACAGCAACACACATCTCTTATAGGAAAACTGAAAGTTTAGAGTTGAAGTGAAGTGAAGTGAGTATGTTTTTATGTCGCTTTTAGCAATATTCCAGCAATATCACGACGGGGGACACCAGAAATGGGCTTCACACATTGTACCCATGTCGGGAATCGAACCCGGGTCTTCGGCGTGACGTTTAGAGTTGAACTGACACAGGATTTTTTGTCATGTCAGATCTCTGCAAATTTATTGATGTCTCATGAATGATCATAATTTTAAACTATATTTGCAAATGTAAGACCAAATCTTTGTCTGTGTGAAAGGGTGTTCACTTCAAACCCATAATATGAATATCCTGAATTCTAACTTACCTTCTATTTTTCCAACACAATTTTACCCCTCCCAACTAAAATAAAATAATAAACCATCCTGGCTTGTGGCCTTGTCAAAACCTATTCCTTCTACTTCCTAGTATTTATGGATTGTTAATGATTGCAAAGTAATGGTTTATTCTCACTGATAGTCCTCTGTACAGGGTGGCTTTGTGTTGAATGCTAAACATCTTTACATGCTGCAAGATCATTAATACATTAAATATTTTTTTTCCAGGATCAAATATGAAACTTTTCTGATCTCTAAACTACCAAATCAAATTTAATCATAAAAATGATGAGGTTATGTTATTATTCACTTTTAAGTGAATGAGTGTGGTTTTAGCAATATTCCAGCAATATCACGGAGGACACAAGAAATGGGCATCACCCAATTTATCAAATCGAACCCGGGTCTTCGGCGTGACGAGCAAACTCTTTCACCACTAGGCTACCCGACCGCCCCTTTTCACTATTAAAAAATTATTGCTTATTTAATGGGGACTTACGATCCATCATCTTGCCCGCCAAGTGAGATTAGGTATGTTTCATTCTTGGAAAAGGCAAGTGCCTCAACCTTGACCTTGTGTAGAGTCATCTCGTGAACTGGCTGCTTTGTGACATAGTCCCAGATGATGATGACAGCCTTGAATAAAAACATCAACAGTTAATTACAAAGCAAAGAAGCTGTCTTATTAAACTGACAACACTAATAAAACAAATCTTTTTAATCAAAATTTATCACAACAATAGTCTTGCCTTGGAAAACATACAATATAATAATTGGGTTAATCATGTGATCTTTCAAATTTTTTAGTCCACGATTTCAGTTTTAAATATAAAAGCTTAAGTTCATTCCACTAAGATTCAGACAATCTGATATCTTTTCAAAACATTAACTCTTTTCCTTCAACAATTCTGTGAGGATTTATCACTATCAGCATGAAAATAAACATATTAATGATATCAACCTGGTTTATATAACTTGGTGCCAATCCCACTGAAAACACACCAAGTGGGGAGAACTTTGGATGAAACCTGAAAACCTCTATCTGCAATTGTGTCCTACAATAACGACAATGAATAAATTACCTTGAAGCCCATGTGTGTGACTTGTCCGGAGGCCAGGTACCGTCCCGAGGGGGAAATAGCAAGACAAGACACATAGTCTGTGTGCTTGGACAGAATAGTCTGGCTGCCATAACCTTCCTTGGCTATCTCCTCAATGATGATGTTGCAACCAAGAGGGTAAATGAGATTTTGACGATCTGGGTGAACTTTGAGTCCATTTGTTACAGCCCCTGTTAAATAATCATAAATAACATATTATTTTATAATGTAATTCAACAGTTTGAATTAAATGCTTTCATGGGTAAATGTAATGGTAAACTACCAAAGTTCATACAGACTACAATGTTTGTTGAAATGTGGGTCCCATGGATATCACGGATGAGGTTGTTGCATGCCATTATGGGACCTCTTTTTCCGAGTACTTCTTCGATGTTGACGTCGAATTATCTGTGTTTATTGATTGCTTTGATATTCATTTTTGAGATTTAATTATGAACACAAATGCCATCTTCCTGGGGCAAGGAAGTTAACAGACATTAAAGTTCAGTTTCCACCCTTGACAAACTTCACTGAACTCGAGATCCAGTTAATAAAAACATGGCGCTTGCCATGCAGATTTCAGTCAATAGCAGAGCTAGTCGTTCTGACGCGAACCCTAATGGGATGTCTTTAGATCTTTGTTTAGCGGAAGCGAGAACTAAGGTTGATTTGAATGAGATTGCAGGAATATTACAAATGCAAGCAAAATCTTGTTTTGAGCTAAATCGCCCTATTTTTTAAATAGTGATGCTGTCATGTTCAGCTATATTACTAGCATCAAACAAACATGGTGGATAGGTGTCTGGTAAAAAATACACATCAATATGATGTTTATCAGTATTGACTTTCATAACCATCAGCTTTTGAAACACATGGCTCTGCTGTGAATGTTAGAAAGTGTTATAAAGGAAGTAACTCGAGCGCATTCCTCATAAACATAAAGACAAAAATGCCAAAGATCAACTGCACACAGAAATGCCGAACATTGGGTAGGTATGGAGCTCAAAATATTGAACATTGATTGATTTGTTTTACAACATGTACATCAGGACTTTACTTATGGAAAATGTGATCAGCACATAAGCCCAACTTGATATAATCAGTCTTTTAAGTATCTAGATCTGGATCATGATAGTCAAATACATGTCACCTTACGTGGCGAAAAATTATACCTAATGTACAGTTTATTTTAAATAAATCTGAAACAGAAATATGAACCGTCGTCGCGTCTCTCCCAAATTTGTAAATCAATAATGCATATTATGTTACATATCAGAGCATCGGTAAAAAGTGAACATAGTCGATGATGTCAAGAACCCGCTGTCTGAAAAACTGTAAGATTTGATTGGAAAGACACTGACAACGGAAAGAAAGGATTGAAACATTCCAAACAAACCACCCAGTTCTAAAATCAGTACAATCGTTCTACTATACACACTCACCGTTGAAACCGATTATTCTGTCCAGCTGCATAAGGTCGATACCTTCTAGGTTTGCCATCTTTGGAAGTTGCACACTCCTGTTCGTCGTGCGGATGCAGAAATAACTCCCTTTACCTCGTGTCTCACAACAAACAGCTTTCAACAGTGGCTGTTGTTGTCATTGGCAACCAACATGGCGATATCAAAGCGCCCTCTGTAGCCAAGCCTCTCAAGGGTAGGTAACTCTAACCATCGAACATTTGTTTTTCCACACCATTGCATCACGAAAGGTACCATGTGATGGTGGTTTCAACTGTTTTTTGTTTATAGATTACACCCTGGTGTATCCTGACTGACCACTGTTATCAAACAATACACAGAGGTACTGACTCGTCTTTCCTTTACGTTAAAGTATCCAAAAGGTCAAGAAATCGCAAAAATCACAAGCTGGTCTCAGCTGTTTAGTAATATTGTTTCATATCCTAATTCAGACCTGAATCTACAATATTTCAAATGCCATCAATCAACACAATTGAAAACTAAATAAACATTTATACATATCTGAGTTTTTTGAAAGAAAGGTACCTCAATTTTAAGAATTAATTAATGAAACAAACAATAATGTAGATCTATTATTTGATATTAAGAAATCAAATGATTTTTTTATTTGACTATTAGTATTACAATGCATCATGATATTCAATTGTAATTGTTTCCTTCATTATATGGGTGATTTTGTTTTCAGTTTAGTTTACTTCAATAACACATATGACCTGATGTAATATCCTTTTGTGGACATATTTTCATACAAATGCAATGGTCAGTCTAAACGGATGTCAATAAGTTCCGTTCAAGGAAATAGGTTTTAGGTTTGTGTGTAAAAATGTAAGGTAAATTGTATGTTCATAGAGAGTCTCATTTATTTCAATTATTATTTTAAGTGGATATATTTAAGAGGACTCAGTAAATAGTGTTCTGTGGTTCCTTTTTCATGACTGACATGAAACATAGTATCTTGGCTTTTTAATTCCAAATTACATGCATCCCAAGTTGCTGAGCATGTTGTTTGTTTTGTGACATCACAGTTACTTGGCAGTGCTTTAACTGATGTCAGTGGTTCCAATCCTAATCTTAATCTGATTACTGGCTAAGGGGATTATAATTAATGTCAGAAGCTAGTTAACTACGTCATTAGAGCCATTTAACTGTCATTAATACAGTGGCTTAACAAGTATCACACCAGCAGCTAATTAGAATAGATATTATCAAATAAATTAATTGAGTTACAAGCTTAACATTTTAAGAAGGGTCATAATAAAAAACCCATGACATTTCATGAAATAAATGTTCAGTCAAAGTACCGTTTTCTTGAATAGATTTTAAGATTTTAAATGCAAGGTGTGAGACAGGATAAATTTAAATATATAAATGTATAAAAAGTAGCCTTCAATACATTATCTGCCTGCATAAAGATCAATGCCCTGGTCTATATTGTAGTAATGTGTGTGTTACAACTATAGAAATTGGCACTAGAATACATTCCTTGCCAAACTGTCAAATAGTTAGGTATCATAAGCACTAGTAGAAATTTGGCATTATTAAGGGTTTTGTTGTTATCATTATAAGGACTAGTGAACTAAAACAGCTAGTTTCTGTCACTGATGTCAGCATTAAGGTGTGATACAGTACATAAACTAATGTGCTCTTGTGTCAGTGTGAATCAAAAATGGCGTGAGAACTCCGAAAATAGTATACTGCGGTTCATTTTTATGATTTCGAACATTAGGGTGAGCATGTTGGCGTAATGCAATATATCGCAGTGCGTAGAGCTGTTTTCAGATACATACTACAATATGTATTGGGGCCCATATTATATATGTTTGTATTGTTCAAATAGTACTCCTTCATTCAATGGGGGCACGGGAGGCCCAGTCGTCTAAGGCGCCGCGATTCGCTGTGCAGACTTGCGTCCCTTGGGCGCACCAGAAACCTATGATTGTGGGTTCGAATCCTGGTTCTCCCCGATTATGTTTCTAGGTTTGTCAGCACCATACCCGTGCTCGTGGGTTTCACCGAAGTAGTAAACGTCTGAGACCTACATCACTTCGGGCTTTCCTCCCACATTAAGCTGACACGCCGCGATAAAACTGGAATAATGTTAAAAGCGGCGTTAAACCCAACTTACCCACTCACTCACCTTCATTCAATAATCGGACCCGTGGAGATTCCAGGGTAGAATAGTCTTCAGCAACCCATCCTATAAAAGGTGACTATGCTTGTCGTAGAAGGGATCGGGTGGTCAGGCTCACTGACTTGGTTGATGCATGTCATCGATCCCAATTGCGTGGATCGATGCTCATGATATTAATCACTGGATTATCTGGTCCAGACTCGATTATTTACAGACCGCCATCATATAGCTGGAATATAGATGAGTGTTGGTGTTAAACAACAGACCAACCAAATCATTCAATAATTCAGACTTCAGATTGCGAGATAGGTAGTATGGGCAAACAAGACTATTTATTATGTCATCAATATGGAATGCTGATGTAAACAGTGTGAAGTGTGTGCTTTTTACATGGTTCAGATAAGAACCCAGGCCATCAAAATGCCTCCAGATAGTAGGTATCTCATATAATTATATAATAATTCTCCTGTGACTGTATTGGAAAATATCAATACACAAGGGTTGTAATGTGATACATGTATTTCTGGACCCGTGAAGATTCAGGGTAGAATAGGTCTTCAGCAACCCATGCTTGCCGTAAAAGGTGACTATGCTTGTCGTAAAAGGCGACTAAAGGGATCGGGTGGTCAGTCTCGCTGACTTGGTTGATGCATGTCATCGATCCCAATTGCGTGGATCGATGCTCATGATATTAATCACTGGATTGTCTGGTCCAGACTTGATTATTTACAGACTGCCGTCATATAGCTGGAATATTGCTGAGTGCGGCGAAAAACAACAAACCAACCAACATGTATTTCTGATGGCTGACACCTCATGGTTTATTCTCCCTGCAGTGTTTTATTGTATGATAAACAACTCCCACTTGTTGTTTATTTCTTAAATCCGAGTATACCAGTTATTATGCATACCTCAATAGAAGATATCAACCTGATAGGTAAATGTATTATGTTTGTATCAATACAAGATCTTATGCTAAAAAACTCATATCATTGCAAGTAGTATTTTTATCCCTTACAAATCATTCTTTTGTAAAGTATGATTGATTGTACTCAACATGCTAATTGAAACTGTTTTCTTTCTCTCTCAATAAACTTACAATTATTTTTTTTTCTCAGGACCCGAAACAAATTTACAAGTTATCATGACAAAGCCAGAAGGATTTGAATTTTGGAGGACTAAGTTGAAATCAGCTCGTCTGGTTGTGGCGCCAATGGTTGACCAAAGTGAACTAGCTTGGCGAATGCTGAGTCGGAGATACGGAGCTGAGCTGTGTTATACCCCCATGTTTCACGCCACGTTGTTTGCACGAGACCCGACCTATAGGAGGGACTGTTTGCAGACCTGTGAGAGTGACAGGCCACTTATTGTGCAGGTAGTTACTTTTATTTACCCCCTGGATTAGGGCTGGGACGGGTAACTCGGGTACCCGGGTCGAGTGGGCACTGAGGAGGACCCGGGTACCCACAGGACTACCTGGACCCGTGCCTATTAGTCACATGATATATTGTTTAATGACAAAAATTATCTAGAACTCTATGGTTACATTACAAGTCACTAATGTTCGCATTTCTTTAGGACTATGCACCCATTCCTTCTGATTTTTCATATGGTTGAATAAAGATATAACTTAATTCAGCCTCGGTGTATGTATGACCAGATTGTTTAATACATGTATCTAAATACGTTTTGCTAGGGCTATGCTAAAAGTGTTCCAAATTGGACATTTTGAGACATTTCCTGAGATTTACAGTGGGTACCCGGGTAGGGTCGGGGAATAGGGGGATGGGTACCCGGGTAGTAAATTTGGACTCGTCCCAGCCCTACCCTGGATGCCATGTTTCAATTGCATGAATGATAAGTCATAAAAGTCGGATGTGTATATTTTATATATTTTCACTATTGTGTTGTAAATCAATTATAATTGTTTATAACTAAATTTCCATTGTGTTCAGCATTCTGATTAGCTGAATTGATCACATGTTATTCATTTCCAAATGAAGGTAAAAACTTAAGCCATGTCCTCTGAAGGGACAACTTTCATGGAATCCCAAATACAGTCTTGTGAATTCTCTTTCTATTATTCTGCTTATTTGTTTCGTCATGGAGTTATAAGGCCTTGTAATATGTGCTATTTTTCGGTTTAACAAAATGTCATATTTGGGATAACACTTTCTTAGTAAAGTACAGATTCTCGTATTGTTTTGAGTTGAGACCCCTCAGGGATTCAAACCCACACTGCCAAAGTGAGGCACCTAATTACCAGCACACAAAGTCAGAGATCTAACCCACTCAGCCACCGAGGCTTCCACGAAAATGAAAGTCCAACAACTGGTAGTCTAGATCACATACTTTGTGTACCCCTCTGACGAGTGTAAATTGACATCGCTCCCATGGCCGAAAGCTATGAACACACAATGCCATTTAGAAAGTGGTCAAATGTAACAAATGTTATTTTTGGGATAACATTTTCTTAGTAAAGTAAAGGATTTTACTGGTACAGTTACACTTCTATTGACACACTTAGATGATTGTTCACAGTGCCAAATGTCAACCATTGAAAAATCAAGTGTTCCATCATCATTGTTTACTGATCGATCTTCACTTTTGATCATGCTGATTGAAAATTATTGTTGTGATAGACTGCAGTCATGTCACATCTGATTTACCTGTAACCATGGTAATAGTGAATTGTTAAACTATCCTATCTCACACTATGCATTTCTTCCTTTTTCTTTCGATCCTTATGTGGAAACGTGCTTGAACAAAGTTTCCAGGTTCTCAAAACATTTCACCCGAACACATCCCAGCATCACCGTGGCCACCCCCACCCAAAGAAATGGGTCATGCTCTGTAATCCCATGTGTGTGACCTTGCACGACTTGAAAACCTGACCACCCCTCCCACTTCATTCTTTCTTGGCGCCACCCTGTGGGGATGGGTATAAAACACTAGAGAATACTTTATTTTGTGAGAGCTTCTTTGCAATCATTGCATCATCTACGATATTATTTGATTGGTTGGTTGGTTTGTAGTTTAACGCCGCACTCAGCAATATTCCAGCTATATGACGGCGGTCTGTAAATAATCGAGTCATGACCAGACAATCCAGTGATTAATATCATGAGCATCGATCCACGAAATTGGGATCGATGACATGCATCAACCAAGTCAGCGAGCCTGACCACCCGATCCCGTTAGTCGCCTTTTACGACAAGCATAGTCACCTTTTACGGCAAGCATGGGTTGCTGAAGACCCTATTCTACTCCGGAATCTTCACTGGTCCAATATTATTTGAAGACTATGTAAACGGATCATGATAAACGCCCGCCCGAACTTGCAGACATTCTTATTCCTCAGCCAATTCACATGATCTTCGTTGTGACTGTCGCAAACCAGACCACAGATGCTCCCAACTCTCTGAGGAAACTTTCCGCTCATATTTACGTAAATGTCAGAAACGTAATGTCCTCCGTCAATCTATATCCAAGGATGCTTACATGGGCCTTCCTCTGTCAAGAAACCCAAGCGTTTAGTCAAGCCAAAATGAAACAGTCATTTGTCCCCCGTGCACCTCCTGTTACCATGGTTACTGTACCCACATTTGTTGAGCCTGCAGCCACGGACGTCGGCATGGGCAAGCCAACTAGGAATATGTGGGAAATACCCACCTGTGCATAAAATAGACTTGGTCGACATTGCCGAGGTTGGATTCTGCGCCCCTCATGGTTTATTCTCCCTGCAGTGTTTTATTGTACGATACACAACTCCCACTGGTCGTTTATTTCTTAAATACAATAACATCCCTATGTATTACTTTCTTCCATTTTATTTCCAGTTTTGCGCCAATGATCCAGACACATTTGTAAAGGCAGCTAAGCTGGCTGAATCTCAGTGTGATGCGATCGACCTCAACCTCGGCTGTCCCCAGAGTATAGCTCGCCGTGGCCACTATGGTGCCTTCATCCAAGATGAATGGGAACTACTGGAGAAAATGGGTGAGTCTTCTGTAGGCGTGATGTGTTTGGATGTAAATCATGATCCATTAATGTTGTCTGCAATTACAGAATTGTCAAAACTCGGAGCCTGTATTCAAAAATCAGTTCTCCTTGACGATCAGTGTTAGAATTGGTCTGCAGCAACCCATGCTTGTCGTAAGAGGCAACTCACAGGATTGGATGGTCTGGCTCGGTGACATGGTTGATGCATGTCATCATATCCCACTTGCATAGATTGATGCTGATGATGACAATCACTAGATTGTCTGGTTCAGACTTGATAATTTGCAGACCAGCATCATATAGCTGGGAAAATTCTGAGTGCAGTGTTAAAACAACAAAGCTAGATCGGTTTGTTCCAAGATTCAAACTTATCACAACAATCCAATCATCTTATTGTAACAGTATTATTTCAGTTTGTATTTTTTGGCTTTGTATTATTTCCAGGTTTTCTGAATGAATGCCTGTATGTTTCAGTGAAACTGTGTCATGCTGAGTTGAAGGTTCCCATCACCTGCAAGATCCGAGTGTTTGAGAGTCTGGAGAAGACTGTACGATATGCCCAGATGTTGGAGAAGGCTGGATGCCAGGTACATAGGCTGACAATATCATAGGATTATGGGGACATTTGATGCACTTTCATAATGGCGGTGGGGCGGTCGGGTAGCCCGGGTTCGATTCCCGACATGGGTACAATGTGTGAAGCCCATTTCTGGTGTCCCCCGCCGTGATATTGCTGGAACATGGCTAAAAGTGGCGTAAAATCATACTCAATCAATCAATCATAATGGCTGTGGGGTAGCCTAGTGGTTAAAGCGTTTACTTGTCATGCCAAAGGCCCGGGTTCGATTCCCCACATGGGTAGAATGTGTGAAGCCCATTTCTGGTGTCCCCTGCTGCGATATTGCTGGAATATTGCTAAAAGCGGTGTATAACCATACTCAACCAACCAACCAACCAACCAACCAACCAACCAACCAACCAACCAAACAAACAACCAACCAACCAAACAACCAAACAACCAACCTGGGTTTAAATCCCAGGTTTTGCCTGATTATGATCCTTAATTTGTTCAGCCCTGTATCCATGATTGTAGGTGTCATCCGAGGAGGTGTGTCTTCCTCTAGTTAACACAGCTCGATGTTGCTGTGAATGCTTATTCCTGTTCTTTTAGCTGCTGACAGTACATGGCCGCACCAAGGAACAGAAGGGTCCCCAGACTGGTGTAGCTAATTGGGACTACATTAAAGCTGTCCGGTGAGTATCCCCATATATTTTACTTCATGTGGTGTCTTGTTATTATACTGTCCATATTTAGTGTTTGAATGATATTTTATTACCCATAGGGTTCGAAATAACCAAGTTCATGAAAATCGGATGTGCACTTGTGCAAATATCACTTCTCGCTCCCCAGTGTATTCTTTCCTTCATCAGGACGGCATTGTTGAAGTCATTCAAAACTTACTGTGACGTAAGGTCGGAATGACGTCACACTAGATTCATCATTCGACAAATTGTGGTTTTCTAGGTCAGTCGTGGTGATCATTGCAATTTTCTACAGTTTGAGGAACTATAGACATGATGTCAGCATTTGTATGTTAGTATGTGGTTACAGTGGTGCCTTATAACTGCAAGACCTGTGTAGATCCGGGGTAGAACAGGTCTTCCGCAACCCATGCTTGCCATAAAAGGCGCTTGAGCTTGTTGTAAGAGGCGACTCACAGGATCAGGTGGTCAGGCATGGTGACTTGGTTGACACATGTCATCATATCCCAATTGCGTTGATCAATGCTCATGATATCAATCACTAGTTTGTCTGGTCCAGACTTGATTATTTACAGACCCCAGTCATATAGCTGGAATATTGCTGAGTGCAACGTCAAACAACTGTAAAAAATGAAGTTATAGCTGATAGCACCTGGCTTCAATTGTCCCAATGAGCACAATTTCTGAAGCCTGTTCCAGGTCATATTGCTGAACCATGATATGTTTAAGATAGCAAAGCATTAAGACAAGCACATCTGATTTCTGCATCTCGAAATGAATCTAATTAAAATCTGAATGTGAAAAAATAATGTTACTAATATTGTAGTAAATGTTATATACATCCTATCGACCCTCTATGGAGGTGTTCTCAGATCTTGACGCAGACAGGTAACACATCGGATATTAATAAGATTGTCACTCACTAGACTTGGGTAAATTTCTCAATCCGTGACAAGCTCTTCCTCCGGCTTCTTCATATTTATTGTGAGCTGTGTCTGTGTACAGGGAAAGAGTACAGATCCCGGTGTATGCTAACGGGAACATCCAGTTCTTCCCTGATGTGGAGCAGTGCATCAAGGAGACGGGGGTTCAGGGCGTCATGTCTGCAGGTGGGTGTGTCAGTATGCCCTGATGTGGAGCAGTGCATCAAGGAGATGGGTGTTCAGGGCGCCATATCTGCAGGGTGGTGTGTCAGTATGCCCTGATGTGGAGCAGTGCATCAAGGGGACGGGGGTTCAGGGCGTCATGTCTGCAGGTGGGTGTGTCAGTACTTCCCTGATGTGGAGCAGTGCATCAAGGAGACGGGGGTTCAGGGCGTCATGTCTGCAGTTGGGTGTGTCAGTATGCCCTGATGTGGAGCAGTGCATCAAGGAGACGGGGGTTCCGGGCGTCATGTCTGCAGGTGGGTGTGTCAGTACTTCCCTGATGTGGAGCAGTGCATCAAGGAGACGGGGGTTCAGGGCGTCATGTCTGCAGGTGGGTGTGTCAGTATGCCCTGATGTGGAGCAGTGCATCAAGGAGACGGGTGTTCAGGGCGTCATGTCTGCAGGTGGGTGTGTCAGTACTTCCCTGATGTGGAGCAGTGCATCAAGGAGACGGGGGTTCAGGGCGTCATGTCTGCAGGTGGGTGTGTCAGTATGCCCTGATGTGGAGCAGTGCATCAAGGAGACGGGGGTTCAGGGCGTCATGTCTGCAGGTGGGTGTGTCAGTATGCCCTGATGTGGAGCAGTGCATCAAGGAGACGGGGGTTCCGGGCGTCATGTCTGCAGGTGGGTGTGTTAGTACTTCCCTGATGTGGAGCAGTGCATCAAGGAGACGGGGGTTCAGGGCGTCATGTCTGCAGGTGGGTGTGTCAGTATGCCCTGATGTGGAGCAGTGCATCAAGGAGACGGGGGTTCAGGGCGTCATGTCTGCAGGTGGGTGTGTCAGTATGCCCTGATGTGGAGCAGTGCATCAAGGAGACGGGGGTTCAGGGCGTCATGTCTGCAGGTGGGTGTGTCAGTACTTCCCTGATGTGGAGCAGTGCATCAAGGAGACGGGGGTTCAGGGCGTCATGTCTGCAGGTGGGTGTGTCAGTATGCCCTGATGTGGAGCAGTGCATCAAGGAGACGGGGGTTCAGGGCGCCATATCTGCAGGTGGGTGTGTCAGTATGCCCTGATGTGGAGCAGTGCATCAAGGGGACGGGGGTTCAGGGCGTCATGTCTGCAGGTGGGTGTGTCAGTACTTCCCTGATGTGGAGCAGTGCATCAAGGAGACGGGGGTTCCGGGCGTCATGTCTGCAGGTGGGTGTGTCAGTATGCCCTGATGTGGAGCAGTGCATCAAGGAGACGGGGGTTCAGGGCGTCATGTCTGCAGGTGGGTGTGTCAGTACTTCCCTGATGTGGAGCAGTGCATCAAGGAGACGGGGGTTCAGGGCGTCATGTCTGCAGGTGGGTGTGTCAGTATGCCCTGATGTGGAGCAGTGCATCAAGGAGACGGGGGTTCAGGGCGTCATGTCTGCAGGTGGGTGTGTCAGTATGCCCTGATGTGGAGCAGTGCATCAAGGAGACGGGGGTTCAGGGCGTCATGTCTGCAGGTGGGTGTGTCAGTACTTCCCTGATGTGGAGCAGTGCATCAAGGAGACGGGGGTTCAGGGCGTCATGTCTGCAGGTGGGTGTGTCAGTATGCCCTGATGTGGAGCAGTGCATCAAGGAGACGGGGGTTCAGGGCGTCATGTCTGCAGGTGGGTGTGTCAGTATGCCCTGATGTGGAGCAGTGCATCAAGGAGACGGGGGTTCAGGGCGTCATGTCTGCAGGTGGGTGTGTCAGTACTCTCCTGATGTGGAGCAGTGCATCAAGGAGACGGGGGTTCAGGGCGTCATGTCTGCAGGTGGGTGTGTCAGTACTCTCCTGATGTGGAGCAGTGCATCAAGGAGACGGGGGTTCCGGGCGTCATGTCTGCAGGTGGGTGTGTTAGTACTCTCCTGATGTGGAGCAGTGCATCAAGGAGACGGGGGTTCAGGGCGTCATGTCTGCAGGTGGGTGTGTCAGTACTCTCCTGATGTGGAGCAGTGCATCAAGGAGACGGGGGTTCAGGGCGTCATGTCTGCAGGTGGGTGTGTCAGTACTCTCCTGATTTGGAGCAGTGCATCAAGGAGACGGGGGTTCCGGGTGTCATGTCTGCAGGTGGGTGTGTTAGTACTCTCCTGATGTGGAGCAGTGCATCAAGGAGACGGGGGTTCAGGGCGTCATGTCTGCAGGTGGGTGTGTCAGTACTCTCCTGATGTGGAGCAGTGCATCAAGGAGACGGGGGTTCAGGGCGTCATGTCTGCAGGTGGGTGTGTCAGTACTCTCCTGATGTGGAGCAGTGCATCAAGGAGACGGGGGTTCCGGGCGTCATGTCTGCAGGTGGGTGTGTCAGTATGCTCTGATGTGGAGCAGTGCATCAAGTAAGCTGTGGTTTAGTGATAATAGTACATGTAGTATCTTGAATATGTTCATAGTTGCACAAAAAGTAACTCTATGTTAACATCCTATGATGATGTGGGGTGCAGCCAGTGATAGAGAAATGATGGCTGTTCTGTACCTGTGTTATCTGTAGTACACTCCAGTCCTCTGTTGCAGAGGGGAACTTGCACAACCCCGCCCTGTTCAGCGGTCAGCAGCCCCCGGTGTGGGAGATGGTGGGGGAGTACCTGGACCTGGTTGACCAGTACCCCTGCCCGATATCCTACGTCCGTGGCCACGTCTTCAAGATCCTGCACCATTCGTAAGTGGAGTCATGTCCATGACAAACATGATGCGTGGTTGTCCTCATTGGACAGGTTTGAGTTTGAGGGATTTATCTGGACCTACCAGTAGGCTGATATTCATCCCCCAATTCTGCAGCCAAGTTTAAATATTCCCAAATTAGAATTATAAATTTCGCAATTCATGTGGTTATAAATAATGACAACCAACATGTGTTTGTGTGTGTCTGTGTCTATGTGTGTGAGAGACACAATGTATGCTATAAATGTTCCATTTGCTGGCTGTCTGTGTGTGTCTGGAGATGAGTGTGTGTGTGTTTGTGTGTTCCTCTGTGTCTGTCTGTCTGTGTTTGTGACAATGTGTGTGTGACTCTGTGGGTGTTTGTTTGTGTGTGTCTGTGTGTGCCTCTGTGTGTGTGTCTGACTGTGTGAGAGACAAATGTATACTATACATGTTCCATTTGCTGGCTGTCTGTGTGTGTCTGGGGATGTGTGTGTGTGTGCTTCTCTGTGTGTGTGCATCTGTGTCTGTGTCTGTGTCTGTGTCTGTGTGTGGTGTAAAGTATATCGTATCAATGTTCCACATGCTGTTGTAGGCTTCAGGTACACCAGGATGTCAGGGAGGAGGTGGCTACTGCAAAGACTGTGGAGGACTTCAGACTGGCCAACAAGCACATCGAGGAGAGATGCCAGGTAACAGGCACACCACTTGTCACCAGTCCCTCATAGTTTATTGATGTAAACTTTCTAATGTTCCCCTTGTCTCTGTCAGAGTCCAAGTATTAGGGTCCTAGCCTGTTCCACAAAGTGATCTTATCACGAGGGGTGATTGTAACTCCCATACTTTAACATTGGCTTACAATATTCATAGTGTTAAGATCACTTCGTGGAATGGCACCCTGCCTTGTAACCCACCAGATCAACATACACCAAGCACAATACCCTGGATAGTTGAAGCTTATACCAAAAATGTTGTTGGTTAAGTAATCAGGTTTCGATTTTTGGGTTAATATGCTGACCTTGAAAATCATAAATCCCTATTGAGCTTGTACGTTGAACTCAGTATGTGGTCTCTTGACAAATTCACGAAGGATAGATATTCAAGTTCCGAGTAGCTTATTCTTGATATTGTCCATACAAGAACATGTAAGAAAATGTGGATTTGCCAAAATTGTGATCCTCCGTGTGAACTACTTTGATGTTCGTGTTCTTATGGGGAATATTATCAGATGCTTCTACTTCACGTCACAGGAGGACATGGCAAAGTTTGCCATCTCCCCCGAGGAGATTCTGACCAGAACGATACTGCCTCTCCCATACTGGATCTGCCAGCCTTACATCAGACCAGGGTGAGTGGTGACTGCTATGTCTAGGGAGGAATATATATTTCTAGGTGTGTCATGGTTTCGCCAAAGTGGTAAACGTCCGAGACCCGCGTCAACTCGGGCTTTCCTCCCACATTAAGCTGACACAACGTGATATAACTGGAATACTTTTAAAAGCAACGTTATACCCAGCTCACTCACTCACTTGGGAGGGATATATAATAGGTTAGGTACAGCTGGAGTTAGTGGTATAGGGCTGGGACGAGTCCAAATTTACTACCCGGGTACCCACCCCCCTATTACCCGACCCTACCTGTGTACCCACTGTAGGTCTCAGGTGATGTCTCAAAATGTCCGATTGGGAACATTTTTAGCATAGACCTGGTAAAACATATTTAGATATATGTTTTAAACAATCTGGTCATCCATACACTGAGGCGGAATTAAGTTATTTCCTTATTCAGCCATATGAAAAATAAGAAGGAATGGGTGCTTAGTCAGAAAGAAATGGGAACATTAGTGACTTATAGCGTAACCATAGAGTTCTAGATAATTTTTGTCATTAAACAATATATCACATAACTAACCACAGGTCCGGGTAGTCCTGTGGGTGCCCGGGTCCTACTCAGTACCCACCCGACCCGGGTACCCGAGTTACCCGAGTTACCCGTCCCAGCCCTAGAAGACTGGAGGTGTACACTTCAATTTAGTGGTTCGATCGTTCACTCATCACATGGAGGGCCACCCCACAAGGGTATGATGTGCGAAGCCCATTTATGGTGGCCCCCATTGTGGACATAGCTGAAATATAGCTTAAAGCCGCGTAAATTCAAATTCACTCACTTGTTCAATATACATGATTAAAAGAACACAAAAATCATGTATATCTTTCTGCTTGTAGTGAAAGACCCCATAGTTTAAGTGCTCTATGGTATTGGTCCAGCTGTAGGGTTTCTAAACACCAGGGAATTGTAGTGTAACACACGTGAGTGGTGCGCAGATAGCATGGTATCTCCTATTCTCTCTGTTTGGTTCCTGGTCAAGTAGGACCTCAGGTTGTCGTAAAAGCTGTCCAAATGCAAATCAGGTGGTCAGGCTTCTGACTTGCAATTGGCTGATTGCGTGTCACTGTACCTTGATGGTGTTGATTGTTGCTCTTGCTGTCAATCTCTGGTTCTGATAATGTGTATGAGAATAGCTGGATTATTGCTTACTGCAGCATTATGTTAAATCAGATAAATGTAGAATACTAAACGACCTCTCGGTAATACCAATTTTATGAAACAAGTGAATAGTTGTGGTATCTGACGAGTTTCATAAAATTGGTTTTACACGGGAGCAAGTGTAGTATTTTATTTATTACCTGCCATTTATAACGTTTTTAGAATTATACTGTTGAGTATGAACAGGCTGACACCTACACGATCCACAGCAGAGTCAAATTGAGTTTAACAGAATAATACTTCAGACACGTCAAAAGTTGAAACGTATGAATTTAATACCATACAACGGTCCACCTTCAGAATTCACAAAATTATCGCAGGGCTAAGACTATCACAACTCACATCCTTTAACTTAGACTAACGACTGTCGTTGCACTACAATACGATCGCCTTGTGGAACGGACCTTGCACCTCAAAGATTACAATAACGTCACAATACCCGATGACCTAATTTGTGGATTTTTGTTGCAAGATCCAACGGCGAAACAATGCCATGTGACGTCAGCCTAGCAACAAGGTTGCTGGGGGTCATCGAGTGTGCATAAGCTCCTCTCAGTGATCTATCAACTCTACACGCAATGTCGATGAATAAGCCAAGGAATGTTGAGAGCTTTCAATATTTGTTCGTGAAACGTGTTCCGAGAGTACATAAGCACGCCTTTTGGTATTACACAATGTGTAATACAGCTGTATGTTTATTAAACGGGTGACATCTTCACGGGCAAGTAATAAATTAAATTATATCAGATTTTTCTAGGATTTAAAACTTAGTGCCCTTGGCAGGCAAAATGGGAAAAAGTGGGAATGTTTTGTTAAAGTACCTGTTTGCTCTAATAAGGAGGAACTTTGACATGGCATTCAATACAAAAATGTAAACCTAAGCACTAAAACCTTTTTGTCCTCTTTTTTTGGTCCTGTTGTCAGTGAAACGTGAGTCACTTGTAAAAAGTGACAACATTGGTTGTCATTATTTATAACCACATGAATTGGGAAATTTTTGATTAAATTTTGGGATTGTTTAAAATTGGCTGCAAAATTGGAGGATGATTATCAGCCTATGGGTAGGTCTAGATAAATCTCTGTAAACAAAACTCACTCACTTACTCACATTTCCTTAGCATTATGTCTATAAGTCTTTGACTTCAGCCACTAGTCCGAAGCCCAAGTCTAGCAAAATTCTGTTTGGTCTAGTCAGATCAGCTAAGGCTGAAAAAAATAAAATAGAATTGGTTCTCAGGCAATAGCTTTTCAAAATAACGTGCGGGCGGGTGGCTTTTTTTGTGCTTTTTTTGTTGTTGTTGTGTACAAACTAGTAAGAATCCAAATCCGTATATTGCTGTGTATAAGGCAAGTTTTCATAACTAGAATTAGGAGGCTTTCAAAGGGGGTGGGAGTCATCTTAAACACAGGGTCGAAGAGGGTTTTTTAAATATTTCTTTCGCCAACTTGTGTGAGCATGTAACGCCGGAAATACCATGTCAGCAAATCTGTGCTGAAGTACGCAAATTAATCATGTAATTACACTGTCTGGTTGTAAAAAGAGTTCATAATATTTCTGAATTTATATTTGTAAGCTATTTTATTCATTTTATTCAACATTTCATTCAAAATTGTTTCAATTCATTTTGGCGAAATCCTTCGTATGTGAAGTGATCGGAAGATCGCACAACTCACCGTCATTTTCAGCAACCACGGTGATATTACTGCTATTGACGCCTTGAAACAAACTTTAGTAGATAGAGAATGGATATATGTCATAAATGCCATATATTGAATCGCTGAAAGTCATATTTGTTGTAGTTTATTATATGTCAACATAAAGTTTTCGCAATCGCGGACGCGGGAGCATCGACATAGATTGGTCAAATTCTCCCATACGAAAGAATATGCGGCAATAGCGATCAGCTGAACCAAAGTGCTTCGCTTATGCTTATTAATTCATTTCACATGTGGGAACTTGCTAGTGAATTTTAGTCTTAATTTGAACCCAGACTTTGGGGTTAGATGGGAAATAGTTTCACAACTGTTAATGTTTCTGTTTCAGTCTCAACCCAAATGCCAATGGAGACAAGCGTGCCGAGCGAGACCGCCTCAACTTGAAGCGGAACAATGAGTTGAATGCCCTGGCCATGGAAGGATTATCCAGAAACAAACTAAAGAAAATGCTGCGACATCCCAAGAAGAACTTTGATCCTTCACACAAGCTGACGTACGATACATGTGCCACATGCTGCAATCCCAAGGTAGCTGCGTCTCCATCACAGCTTGTTGTATCAGTTGTAAGGGGCAAGAAACTGGGGTCAGACTCGCTGAATTGGTTGATGCATGTCATCTTATCCCAAATGTGTAGATTGATCAATCACTGGATTGTCTGGTCCAGACTTGTGTATTTCGGACGGCTGTCATATACCTGGAATATTGCTGAGTGTGGCGTACAACAACAAACAAACATGGTAAACATGTTGTTTCCAGTACGGCAGATTTTGTTTGTGCACCAGGTAGAGATTACCGTATATACATGATTATGAGAGATAAAATATGTTTCATTTCAAGATTTGTTAAATAATGCCCCATTGGTGTTCCAGATTAGAGTGAGTGAGTGAGTTGGGTTTAACGCCGCTTTTAACAATATTCCAGTTATATCACGGCGTGTCAGCTTGATGTGGGAGGAAAGCCAAATGTGATGCAGGCCTCAGACGTTTACCACTTCGGTGTTAGCCACGAGCACGGTATGGTGCTGACAAACCTAGAAACATAATCGGGGCGAACCGGGATTTGAACCCACAATCATTGGTTTCTGGCGTGCCCAAGGGACGCAACTCTGCACAGCGAATCGCGGCGCCTTAGACGACTGGGCCACCTGTGCCCCCTCCAGATTAGAGGCAACCAGATAGATAAGCTGGTTCAGCTCAGTGGTGTATCTTGTGTCATCATCCCCTTACAGTGTAGATCACTGTCAGAATATCAATCACATGTCTGATCCAGACTTCATTATTTACAGGCCTCCTTAATATACCTGGAATATAGCTGAGTGCAGCATTAAACAACAAAAAAACATTGTTCAAAATAATATCAACATGAAAATAGCTGGCTTAGTACATGCTTTATTTTTAATCTGATCTTTGAAATTAATAACCCTGACAAAAATTACAGAAAAATCGGTTTTCTTTCTGTTGTTCATCTCAAGAGAGATATTTGAGATAACACGTAGTGTTTCAGGCTGTGTCAGGTTTTCAGATCAATTCATTTTCTAGGACATTGACTGATAGTCATTCCAAAGATCGTGAATATGTGTTTCAAATTTGGTCATGATATAGAAAAATGTCCTATGTCTTGTGAGTCCCACAGATTTTAACGAATTAATACTTTGTCTTGCTTTTTGGCAACATTTTTCAATACTTGATTTACATGCCAAGTAATGCGTTAGTAGTATGCCATAGAAAAATGTCCTATGATCTCAAGTTCATAACATATCATGATAATGTCCTTTTCCATTTATCATCCAAAACTGGATTCCACAGGAGATATCGCTGCAAACAAATTGAATCACTGTTCTTTGCATACCATTGTGATTAGGGCTTGGACAGGAAACTAGGGTACTCGGGTCGGATGGGTACTGAGTAGGAACCGGGTACTCAAAGGACTACCCGGACCTGTGGTTAGTCATGTAATATATTGTTTAATGACAAAAATGATCTAGAACTATATGTTCACAATACAAGTCACTAATGTTCGCATTTCTTTCTGACTAAGCACCATTGCTTCTGACCTTTATAGGTTTGAATATAAATAACACTTCAGTCAACTTCAGTGTATGCATGACCAGATCGTTTTATACATATATTTAAATACATTTTACCAGGGCTACGCTCAAACTGTTTCCAATCGGACATTTTGTACCAAACTCTTGAGACCTGTAGCAGGTACCCGGGTAGGGTTGGGTAATAGCAGGGTGGGTACCCGGGTAGTACATTTGGACTCGTCCCAGCCCTAATTGTGATGTCATCGGTAACAATGACATCACAATCAAATGACATCACTAATCTCTCTGCTTCTCAACCTGGTTAACTGTACATGTACTTTTACACACAAAGACAATGTTTATTACTGATTACAACTCAAGGGTAAGAAGAATGCTTTTAGATGATGAATAAATCTTAACGTATCAAATATATCAACAATGGTCAGTAAAAGTTTAAAACCTTTATCGTCTCGTGTTGATATATTTCATATTTAAAGACATGGGTGAGATTCTCAGCAAATCACTGGTAGTCAATGATGAATCTAATTTGCACCATTTTCAAAAATAATTCTATTTCCAGGGACAGAAATGTGAATTCAGTTTGTGCAAGGGATGCTGCAAGAAGAAGTCGCTGCAGGAGATTTTGGACTGTGCTGGTAGGAGGCCTCAAAATGATGTCTAACAATGAAATCTCCAATCTCATTAGAATCAGATCTTAGTTCTCGCTACCCCTAAACAAAGGTCTGAGGACATCCCATTACGGGTCACGTCAGACCGACCTTTTGCGAACTCTGACCGACCAATGGAATGACTGACAAGAAGTCGACATTAGCCAATCAGAAGGCAGCTTTCTCGTGCTTTACGGCACTAATTTCAAATTGGTGACTACGCTTCAAAACATATTTGACAAATTCTCGATTAATAATTTGAAACCTGAACAAAAGAACATACTGGAATGTCTAATAGATGGTCTAGATTGTATGGATTACGTCGTTTTGCCAGTAACTATCGTTCGGAATAGCCCATGTTAAAGTTTTCAAGGTTGCATGATTAGAAATCACATTCCGACTGTCACTTTCATGATCTGGTAAGGTAACCGGCGCTCTGATTGGTCGGATAAAAGGTCGTTCTGATGTGACCCCTAATGGGATATCCTCAGATCTTTGTTTTGCAGTAACAAGAACTAAGATCTGATTTTAATGAGATTGTGAAATCTCAACATTAATAGATGTAATGTAAAGTTGAATGGTGTTGTTGGAGGAAGTCTATTGAGGGTTATATGAGGCCACTACAACACATGGTACCTTCTCTGACTGATGAGATTGTGATGTCTGATGCAGTAGGAATTATACCCTTTGTATTTTGTATTTGAAGTATGTCCTAATAGAATAACACGTTCAGTTCAAACTAAGCTATCAAGGTATGGAATAACATACATCGGGTCTATTTAATTAACTTGAACTTGTTCAATATATTGCCTCCTCAAGACAATGTCACTTTATTGGCCCTGCTGATTCTTCATTCGAGTCGACCTGTGAAGATCAGGGGTAGAATAGGCCTTCACAACCCATGCTTGCCGTAAAGGATATGAGAGTAATGTTTGTTTGTTTGTTGTTTAGCACCGCACTCAGCAATATTCCAGCTATATGACGTCGGTCTGTAAATAATCGAGTCTGGACCAGACAATCCAGTAATTGACATCATGACCATCGATCCACGCAATTGGGATGAGATGACATGCATCAACCAAGTCAGTGAGCCTGACCACCCGATTCCGTTAGTCGCCTCTTACGACAAGCAAAGTCGCCTTTTACGGCAAGCATGGGTTGTGAAGACCTATTCTATCGCGGATCTTCACGGGGTAGTTAAACATGTGAAATGTCCAAGCAGAATATTTGTTTTGGATAAGATGCAGCCTGTGCCACAACTCTACAGTTTACTAGCCTGAACCTTTCACTTGACATCTTCAGTAGATCTTAGTGCATGGATAGATTTTTATTAGTAAATCTTGCTAGACCGACAGGAACTTGACTCGACTTGGGCTGAGTGGCTAAAGTCTCAGACTGAGGATGTGACTTGTTATCTCAGCATGGGTAAACTAGTGAGACTGTCTGACTCTTTCAGGTCACAACCTCTCTTTCAAGACGAAGGCCGAGAGGAAACGACTCGAGAGTGAACAGCAATCTGCTGCCTGTGAAGCATTTGCTGCAGCTGGCGCCAGTAACGGCGCCGAGTGTCAACAGTCAACATCAGTCAACAGAACGAGTGCTGACCCATCAACTGAAGACTTGTGCAGCACAGACACTGTACCATGTGAAACTGATAAACATTCAGCTGAAGGATCCGATGTAGTTTTGTAGCACACATACATGGAATATATACACATCCCATCTCATCACTTGACATGATGCTCTGCCAGATACGATGCATCACAATATCTATGCTGCCATGGAGATCATATATTTACTTACAAGATACATCCTGTGATTTAAATACAAATGAGGTCATGAAGTCTTTAAATACTCTGGCTGGTGAAGGTGGTTATAGTCTCTATCAGTGAATGAGTATGGTTTTACGCCGCTTTTAGCAATATTCCAGCAATATCACGGCGGGGGACACCAGAAATAGGCATCACACATATAGTGAGTATGGTTTTATGCTGCTTTTAGCAATATTCCAGTAACATCACAGCGGGGGACACCAGAAATGGGCTTCACACATGTGAGGAATCGAACCCAGGCCTTTGACATGATGAGCGAACGCTTTAACCACTAGGCTACCCCACCGCCCTAAAGTCGCTATCGAACAGGCTAGAAGTTGATTTGGTACTGGGGGAAATTCTGTGGCTGAATTTTTTAAATGCCTGCAAATACTGCTGTAATAAGCAATTCTTTTTTTAAGTGTATAAAAATTATAAAGAAAATATTTTGGACCAATTTGTACGATGATTTTCCTGTTTAAGTTAATATAGTTTTGTTTTAAGATGGAGGGCCATGTTTCACAAAGTGTCAAAGATCTTAATTTAAGGCATTGGTCGGATGATGATTCTTCCTCAGTCAGCAATGTATTCATGATGTGGGTGTCACCAAAGTGAAGAATCAGCATCACCAAGGGATTTCCAGTTTCCATACCCAATAAGTGACATCCCCTGATAAAACAGAAATACTGTTCACACTCACAGATCGAACACGTGTCAGTTGGACAGTGTAGGACGTTCATGTACAGATGGTTTTACCAGCTGCGTAGAATGTTGAATATATTCGGGGATGAGAATGGATATTTTCTTTTTCAGCTGAAACATCCTTGCAGTGGAGCGTGGTCCATAAATCGGGGCTGTTAATGGGGGGAAGCCATCAGATTTTACAAATTTGTGGTCACTGAAATACGTGGATCCGCGGAAGATTCTCACTCCTGTATGTTACATGACCTTTTCAATGACCCCTATGGGGATTCTAGGTTAGCATTGGTCAACCTATCCTGGTCGTAAGAGGTGACCTCAAGATTGGGTGGTCAGGCTCAGTAACTTGGTTGATGGCGTCTCATCATACCCTGATGGCGTGAATAGTTGTTCGCATTATCAATCACTGGATTGCTTGGTCCAGACATGGGTTATTTACAGGCTGCCGCCATATAGCTGGAATACTGTTGATTGTGCATAAAACAATAAACACACACAGACTAGTGAGTGAGTGATTATGGTTTTATGCCGCTTTTAGCAATATTCCAGCAATATCACGGCGGGGGATACCAGAAATGGGCTTCACAAATTGTACCCATGTGGGGAATTGAACCGAGGTCTTTGGCGTGACATGCAAACGCTTTAACCACTAGATTACCCCACCACCCTTACACAGACTAAGACACACACTTACACACACACAGAGAGACATACACACACCAGACACCCACACACAGACAGACAAAACACATTGCATGTGTTTCTCTTCATAATCTTTTGTCAGGTTTCTACATGTATATTTCTTCTGTTCCTGATGATTTGGTGTGAATGTTGTTTGGACACAGGGATGTAATGGACTACAGATATGTCATGTCAGCATGTCCCTTCCAGTTGCTTACTGTATACATATTATTATGTGTTCGATACAGCACAGGTATGTTAACATGGATCTGAAGGTCATGCTTAGAAAGCTATATTCTGATACATGTGACCTTGTGAATAAAGATTTCAAATATTTTGATGGTAGAATGTATTATTTAGCCAGCAGGTTTTGCTCCAGAGAGTCAGAAGGATAACCACAGAGGTGAGGTGAAATGGGGTTTAACGTCGCGTTTAAGATTATTGCACTTATATAGCGATGCCGATTTATAGTGCTAGCGCACTGAGATACCATGTCGCAGTTTAACATGAATACCCCACTCAGACACTGCATACCGACCCCAAGCCGACCAATCCTTGTTTAAGCCCCTCAATGCTGAGCGCCAGACAGGTAACAACAAGTGCCATCTTTTCACATCTTTTTGTATGAGGCCGGTGATCAAACCCCGGACCTTCCGCTCTGTGGGCGGACGTTCTATAACTAGACCATGGAGGCAGTCTTTTGAGGAATAAACTGGGCATGACAAATGTTTCATCACACTGGGTTCCGAGGCTTCTGACTTTCAAGGGTCATCATCCCCCATGGGAACTTACAAGGTTTGGAAGCAGACCCAGCTGACTTTGTTGTGCGATTTGTAACCTTGGACGAGTCTTGAGTTCACCACTATCAGCCAGAGACTAAACAACACTCAAAGCAGTGGAAAAATCTCATGTCTCACCTCGGAAGAAGGCAAAATCTGTGCCATCATCTAAGGCAACTGTGTCTTCCACCAGGACAGTGTGACTGTGCACAAACCTGTTGTTGCCATGGCTGCAATGTATGACTGTGGCTTTGAACTCATTGAACATTCTCCACATTCATCAGATTTGGCATAGTCACATTTCCACCTCATCTGGCGGAAAGTTTTCACCATCAGGAGGAATCCTTCCACACCAGATCGATCCAGGCACTCTAGCATTGTTGGCATTGTGTTGAAAAATAATTCTGCCATGAATTTGGAAATTACTCGATTCTGATTGGTCAATCAGAGGACATTAAACCCCCTCTGATTGAAACAGTTGGTTTGATCCCCGCATCACCGCGGAAGCTAAAATTCATAGAATAGGACTTTTTTCAATCATTGTCGGTAGGCGTATTAAATAATTATAATCATAATTTACAAAATGCAAAGTTACGGTTACAAAATTCAAAGGATGTGTGGCAATACATGTGCAGAAAACATGATAGAAATCTCAACAAAGAGAGTGTATTTTAAGTTTTGGGGACAGCAGAGAGCTTGGAATGTGGTGCTTTTCTTTATATGACTGTGACGTCATATCTTTTTCGTGAAAATGACGTCATAATGGTGCTGCGCATTCGGTTCCAAATTCAATTTAGCGGAGTTAAATCTACAGGTAACCTAGCTCTACAGTATGTTTATCTCCCAATTAGCAGCCAACTGTATCAACACAGGCTGTAGGTCACCAGTAACCTGAGGGGGTCTCGTACCACAGTGTTCCAACACATCAAATATCACAAGTGGAACATGCACATACAGTCAAGTCTCGTTACTCCGACACTCGTTAATCCGACACTCGGCTTTATCCGACACAAATGATGGGAACCGATTGATTCAGCACTATTTAGTCCCGTTAATCCGACATTCTCGCACTCCGACTCCAACACACCTAATTTGCAACGAATTACCGTAATCACTCATTAATCAGTCTCGTTAATCCGACACAGTGGTCAGCGTACTCCGTGGTCATCTGCCCGCGTGTACACAACCCCATGTTTTGACACGCACTGGCTGCAGAGATTAACTTTAACAATTAACACTAGATGCCGGGATCATAAAGAATTTCAAGCTTTATTATAAGAAACAATGAAATTACACCTCGACAAGGTTGATGCTGAAGAACCACCAGCCCTAGACGTCAAGCGAACAGGGGACTTCAAAATGTGAGAAACAGAAAACACTGACAGACTATTTTAAGTAGATGAAGCAAGTTGTTAAGACAGTAGCACTTGCATTTACACGAGGAAACACACGGTTATTATCTCTCGTGAAGATGTCCGATTTTCGATCACAAAATCACTTAATTTTGTTAATCCGACATACTCGTTAATCCGACACAATCATGTGCAACCAACGATGTCGGATTAACGAGACTTGACTGTATATACATTACCACTGAAAACGATGTCCAATCAAACACTTTTAACAAACATTTCAGTTTCACTATGTTTATTATCATGTCCAATATCCTCAACAAGATCGACATATATAATGCTAAATGAAATATGTACACCCAGGTTTCTGCCAGACAAAAATTAATAAAGAAATGATCACTAACATACTAGGCATGAATACTATATCAGGGATAATTCTAGGGTGGGGCCTTGTACTTTTAGGCCCTAAATTTGAAAAAATGCTCACATTTTCAAATACAATGGGGCATTTTAACATTGTGCTGTATGGGCAAGTGTGGGTATACCTCTGGAATATTTGAAATTTTAACATAAAGGGCCCATGTCAGAAAATTCCTAGATTGAACCCTTCTATATGAACCCAGTATTTTCCTTAAATGAGACAAAATAGTTGTTTCGATGTTTAACCAAAATTCTAAACGGCAAATATAAATATTTTGATGAATACATTGTTAAGCCTTGGAAACTTTGAAACACTTTGAAACACTTTAAAAGGACATATACGGAAATACAGGTCCATTCCGATATTCTAGATCTGATTTGACCAACAAATTGAGTCCTCTTTGACAAACAGGTTCACATAAATCCACAAACGAAATAAAGTCTAAGAAGTAATAAATGAATAAAAACACTAAAAAAACATGAAAAGTATCTTTCAAAAATTGGGAAAAAACAAAATAAACAAAAACTGCAGTAGTTGGGTGCAATAATGTACTGCTAAAAATGTGCTTAAGTGGTTATGTTCGTTTTGATTTTGTCTAACATCATATGATGATGGTGGGTTATTCTGAGACACAAACAAATTACCATCCAGATGGTATCATAGACAGCCTCATAATCATGATAATAATAAACATGATAAACACATGCTGAAGATAACCTCAACTGGATTAGTTTTCCTGAAACTAGTACAGAGGCTATTTTAGGTCGACAGAAATATCTTACTAAAAAGAAGTCAGACCACCCGATTCCTTCATATTACTATGATCTGTAACAGGGTTGGGACGGGTAACTCTGGTACTCCGGTAGGGTGGGTACCGAGTAGGTTCCGGGTACCAACAGGACTACCCGGACCCGTGGTTAGTCATGTGATGTATTGTTTAATGACAACATTATCCAGACTTCCATGCTTACACTACAAGTCGCTAATGTTGGCATCTCTTTCTGACTTTTATATGTTTGAATAAAGATAAAGCTTTAGTCAAATTCAGTGTATACACAACCAGAGTGTTCTATACGTGTATCTTAATACTTTTTACCAGGGCTCTGTTCAAACAATTCTCAATCAGACATTATGTACCCATCTCTTGAGACCTACCGTCGATACCCGGTAGGGTCAGATAATAGTGTGTTTGGTATCCGGGTAGGGTCAGATAATAGGGTGTTTGGTCCCCGGGTAGGGTCAGATAATAGGGTGTTTGGTAACCGGGTAGGGTCAGATAATAGGGTGTTTGGTACCCGGGTAGGGTCAGATAATAGGGTGTTTGGTATCCGGGTAGGGTCAGATAATAGTGTGTTTGGTATTCCGGGTAGGGTCAGATAATAGGGTGTTTGGTACCCGGGTAGGGTCAGATAATAGGGTGTTTGGTACCCGTGTAGGGTCAGATAATAGGGTGTTTGGTACCCGGGTAGGGTCAGATAATAAGGTGTTTGGTACCCGGTAGGGTCAGATAATAGGGTGTTTGGTACCCGTGTAGGGTCAGATAATAGGGTGTTTGGTACCCAGGTAGTAAAGTTGGACTTGTCCCTGCCCTAATTTGTAATGGCCTGACATAACTATAGTAACATGAAATAATTGGGTGTTCCTTAACTTCTTTAGAGTAGTATCTGCATCAATTTTTTAAGTAATGCATCAAACAGAACAATATCACTGTATGGTTTAAAAAAATAATGGTAGCTTTTCATCTTAGTAAAACTATGCCTTTTATCTTTTCATTTTTAACATCTATATAACAAGAAAAACAAAAGATTACTGTTCTGAAAATGTAAGGTAGTTATTGATATATGTTAATTAAAATAGATTAATGGTAGAATATAAGAAGAATGTTTTTAATCTCTTCATTTTTAGAATACATTAAAAAAAAGTAACAAAAGATTACTGCACTTCTCAAACAATACAGTAATTATTGATATATGTTTGATTTAAAAAAGGTTAAATGTAGCTTTTTCATCTTAGTAAAACTATATCTTTTATCTCTTCATTTTTAAAATGTATGTATACAATAAAAATAACAAAAGATTTTCTGTACTTCTGAAACTGTAAAGTAATTATTGATACATGAGACACAAGGTAGGAAAACTCTATTTGCATCGCTAGTATTGTTGCAATGGCAATAAGAAAGTGGAGAACACGAAGGTCCAGATGCTCACCTTGTTTCTGCTTTAGGACTAATTGGGTTGGGGTAGGTTAGATGTGGTAAAGGCTAGGGCTGCTCAAGACATACCAAAATATGTTAATGGCAAGTTGGCTACGGATCGGATAATCCTAGTTCAGCTGCATTGTCTCATGGATCTGAGAAGGATGCTGCCATCAGATTTCCTCAGCATAATGTGGACCAAGCTACCATCACAAATCTGTGAGAGTGTCTGTGTAATAAGGGGACTGTTTTGGCTCTCGAGCATTAGGAATGTGCACAAAGACTAGCTATAACTTTGCATATACCATATTCGACCTAATAATGCATACATAGTGAAGTAGAACTGAGAATTTAATGCCATCTGACAAAAATAAACTACTCAAAGTTTGATATTCTGAGTGTTCAGGTAGGGTCTGAATGTGACTCATAGACGGATCCGGGGGGGGGGGGATCCAGGGGATCCGGACCCCCCTTTTGAAAACCAAATGTAGTATGTTGTAGGCAGAAAATTTGACTGAGAGAGGATTTTGATATTTTGGACCCGTCCCTTTCAAAAATGCTGGATCTGCCCTTGAGACTGAATGCTTGTATATGGTATCATGCAAGCAGTATTCGATATTGTCAAGGAACTGAAGCACATAAGCTTCATTTTCAGTTATATTAACATAAGTACAAATCAATAGGTTATCGTTCAGTTTTATAACAACATAAAATATGTCACTATCCCTATCAAATGCTGAGCAGTTTAGAATACCTTGAGATACATGAATGAAACCTGGCATGCTTCGTCTACAGTTGATGCGAAACATGATCAAGTGATACAGTGAGCAAATTGAAACACTCTCGACTCCATTGGTGGACTCCATAGGTGTGATGCATGGATCAGTGAATTTACCTGGTGCTTCTTATAAACAAATCAATTACCCTGGGCGCCATTGTACAAAACAACCTTAGCACTACGCCTATCGTAAGTCTATGTTAAGGTTTGGGAGTTACGATCCCCTTAGCGCTAAGATCGCTTTGTACAACGGCACCCTGTACAAAACAACCTTAGCACTACGACTATCGTAAGTCTATGTTAAGGTATGGGAGTTACGATCCCCTTAGCACTAAGACTGCTTTGTACAACGGCACCCCGGGCCCACTTGCACAAAGCTATCTTAGCACTAAGATGATCGTAACTCCCCCATACTTTAACATAGGCTTACGATATTCTTAGTGCTAAGATCGCTTTGTACAGTGGCACCCTGGGCCAACTTGCACAAAGCTATCTTAGCACTAAGATGATCGTAACTCCCCCATACTTTAACATAGGCTTGCGATATTCTTAGCGCTAAGATCGCTTTGTGCAAGTGGGCCCGGGTCCTACATGCCAACATTTGAGAAGGATCTGTCCCTGACAAGACCACGGTGAGTGACCAGGTGATTGACATACATATATACATGGTAGAGGTGGACACAGAGATGAAATTACACATGTACAGCATACACCAGTGAGTTTCCACAGCAGTTACCTATGTACTTTCTTCTAACACATTTCTTTAACATATTTCCCAAATGGTAGTTCATTATTTGAACATTTGTCACATTAACATCATCAAAAGATGTGAGATGGTTACATTATAATATATCCTCATATCAGTATATAGCCATTTTCAAAACAAAAATTATCTGTATAAATAGGACATTACAGAATCTCGTAACCTTTCATCTAACCATTCACAGTTAGGGACAGGTCATTTATTAGAGGGCGAGGGGTCAGACGGAATCAGGGTAGGGTCACCCAAAATTATCAAAGTCATTAAGGGTCATGAAAAAATAAACATATTTGGGAAGGGTCATGTAAAAACTGACTTTTTTTAATAAAACATACCGTATTCGACGTAATAAGCGCCCAGAGTGCTCTCAAAATTAGAATATTATTTTGGTGAAAAAAAAGTTGAGTTGAAAGATAAATTTCGAGGTTTATGCTGACAGCCTGAAATGTTTATGTACGACAGATATATATCCCGAATTTAATTGCCTATAATTAAGTGTGCATATAACGCACGAGTGCGTATTATACGCGAATAAATAAGTCTTGTGTACATTAATCAATCTGAAGGGGTGCTAATTGGGATTGTTCACTAGACAATATATTAGCAAATATCGCTGTGGGCGTTTATTAGAGCGGGGCGCTTATTACGTCGAATACAGTAAATTGTTTTAGCAGTCTGTCCTTTCAGGGGGTTATGAAAAGATATGAAAGGCATTAGGGAAGGGTAATTATTGTCGGTAAATAAGTACATCAAAATCCTCAGACCCAATCCTGTAGAAACTGAGTGGTCCCTTACATTGACATTTGGACCATGGTCAGCCTTTGCTTGGAGGAAAAAAAGAATAAGTACCGTATTCGACGTAATAAGCACCTCGCTGTAATAAGCGCTCACGGCGATATTTGTTAATATATTGGCTAGTGAACAATCCCACTTAGCACCCCTTCCGATTGATCAATGTACACAAGATTTATTTAATCGTGTATGATATTTACTCGTGTGTTATATGCACCCTTAATTATGGGCAATTAAATTCTGGAAAATATATATGTCCTGTATAATACGCACAGACTTTTCTTTAGTATCATTTCAGGCTGTCCTCATAAACCATGAAATTTACGATCTTTCAACTCTGTATTTTTCTCACTAAAATCATTTTCGAATAAGAGCCCCATATTTCTAATTTTGAGAGAGCCCTGGGCGCTTATTACGTCGAATACGGCATGTTATACACAAGAGAATATGGTATTAGGGACATTGCAGTAATAAATTTGTCATTGATTTTAATTTTTATTTTATTACGAGAGGATAGGGGCATGCGAAAATAATGTCTCCAAAACATAAAAGTAGTTGAATATGAAATGTATTTGTCAACATGAACACAACCAGACTGATGTGGAAACTCACTTAGGCCAACTACTACACATCATGAACAAGGAAACGTCCTACATCTTTGCCTTGACGACACATGTAGAAGGCAACTACATGAGCACACAGAACAGGTATCATACCGACATATCACAGACCTCATCTAAGATAGTACTGCTCATAAAATATAGGCCATATATATTTATATATATATTGCAATAAAAACATGTTCGATGTCTTTATGCTTCCCACATTTGAGCTAGAATTTCTTTGTCATGAATCCACCATGCTGGCAAATATAAGTGTATGTAAATAGATGATTAATAGTTGGAACTATTTTCACTAGGCGAGAGCTTATTGCAACACTGAAATGCACTCACTTGAACAATTGTAGTGTAATGGAGTCATGGTAGTTTCAGTGTAAATACACATACAGACATTCTATTTCAAGTCAACAAAAGATGGGAAAATAAAACTAAATATTAACTTACGGTAATTGTAATAATAGGTACGTATTTAGTTTATGCCATGGACAAATTCCCATTACGATCTCTGAAATATGCACTCATCATTTGAAGTACACAACTGAACATTTGCTAAGGACAACACCTTAAAGACTATTTCGGTCCTTAGCAAATGTTGAGTAGCTTAGTTCTTACAATTGACAATGTTTAAGAATGGAAGCATACATCTAAAGATCTTTGTCACCTAGACAATTTTGATTATGTTAGTAGCATATAAGGAGCCATTTGTTTAGGTATAACTGAAAATATTTGTGTCTTGGGTAACATGCCCTTGACAGACCTGTGAATCATACCACACACAAAAAATATTAAAGAACACCTGATTTTTTCATGACTATAGTTAATCTGTCATGGCTGGTGGGTATTGCGTAACACACCCTTCCAATTGTGGGTGTTCTTGATCTTGTTTGGAGTAGTATCATACCATGTTTGCAATGATAAACATATACTTGTGACAGTGCCAGATACAAATGTCATGTGGTTTTTGGCTTCAAGTCTCAACAGTTAAAACATCAACAAGAACAACACACTGTATGAGACTATATTCTCATCAATATCTACACAGGGTAATAGCTAAACGACTGCAGCTTGGGCATAACATCAAAGTGAAAATGAACATTCTTACATGCGTTGTTCGGCATAAATTATGTGTCAACACACACTTTTGTCATACTATGATGTCATTCTTCAGTGTTGTATGTGACACAAATAGACAACTTTGTTTGAATAGAAAGTGTTGTTCGTCCATGCATATGAAGATAATATGAATATGTAAATAGAAAGCGTTGTTTGAATTGAAAATGTTGTTTGTCCAGCATACACGTTTTTACATGCGTTGTTCATCATAAATTATGTGTCCATGAACACTATTTTCAAACATTTGTCATTCTTCAGTGTTGTCCGTAACACAAACAGAAAGTGTTGTTCATCCTGCATGCATATTAAGAGAACTGATCACCATGTCCTACATAGCTAAAATGTCCAGTGATGTTTGCAAAATGTTTGACTGAACATTATTGTTTGACAAACATGTTTGACTCGACAGAGTTCTTCGTTATACATTTTACACAACGGTTTTGTTTGTGAAACATGTTTGATGTGGTATTGTTATTTATCAAACATGTTTGACTGAACACATTGTTTGACAAACATGTTTGACTCGACAGAGTTCTTTGTTACTATACATTTTCCTCAACGTTGTCATTTGTAAAACATGTTTGACTTGGCATTGTGATTAATCCAACATGATTGACTGAACACCATTGTTTGACATACATGTTTGACTCAACATTTTCAGTGTTTAACCACTAGGCTACCCAACTGCCCCTGAAATGTTCAGCTCACACTGACTATAGAATGTATATCAGAAACATATTCCTTTTGACAAAATGTTTGATTGAGTGAGTGAGTGAGTTGAACACGGCCTTGAATAGTATTTAAGCCGAACGTGTCACAGTTCATCGACATCGACTGTTGCAGAACCTTTGCGCACAGTTGTGATGTAGACAGACCAAAAGCCTGGGATTGAAACCATGACCAGCTATAAGATTTCGTGACCAGCTCACTAGGATGCTAGCTAAATCCAACATATTGGAGGGAAGGTTCTGGTTTACAATAGTTCTGTATTACTGGAGGGAGAAGTCATGGTACAAGAGAGTCCCTACTTCAGAACAGAATTATCATATAACATCAAACATTTATCTTCAACCAGAACAATGTGCAGCTGAGGCAACTAGTCACTCAATGCTAAACTCAAACCTCACATTGTCATACAAGCAAACATATGTTTGTAGATTATACAGAGAAGGCTGAAGAGGAGTCTACGAGTCATATAACAGTCTTCAAGTGAGCTAAGTCTGTGAAGTGCTTCATGCTGGTACAAGGGGAGACCACTCTTCAGCCCTCGTCTATTCAGTGGGGACTAATGTCCATTGGTTTCATGAGATGGCCTTTTTGATCTTGTCACACAGCTGCTTGGCTCTTTCGGAGAGCTTGGACAAGGCTGACCAGTCTGGACTCATCACGACCACCAGATCCTTTACCTGCAGACAATAATAATAATAATGATGATGATGATATTAATAATATTACTGTATTCGACGTAATAAGCACCCAGGGCGCACTCAAAATTAGAAATAGGGGGCTCTTTTTAGAATAATATTTTGGTGTAAAAACCTGAGTTGAAAGATCATACATTTCGTGACTTATGCTGACAGCCTGAAATGTTTATACACGACGGATATATTTTTCCATCCTGCCCATAATTAAGGGTGCATATAACACACGAGTGCGTATTATACACAAATATATAAGTCTTGTGTACATTGTTCAATCGGAAGGGGTGCTAAGTGGGATTGTTCACTAGTCAATATATTAGCAAATATCGCCGTGAGCACTTATTAGAGCGGGGGGTGCTTATTACCTCAAATACAGTAATGATAAAAACAAAACCTTATAACAAATAATAAAATAAGTGACGAATCCATCCACTGATGCATGCTCACAGTGCTACATATATCACCTCAGGATAATAACGAATAAATAAACAAATAAATGAAAAAAATAATAATGGACATTTGTAATGTGTCAAATGCACCCAATGACCACACGGATTATTGATCACAGCAATACATTATTATTACCCCCAGGAAATGAATCAGTGTGCACTCAAACTTCGGCTCAGCTCCCTGTAGAGTACACACCTCAAGCTGCCTATGAGATGCTTAGTGAGTGAGTGAGTTTGGTTTTACACTGCTTTTAGCAATATTCCAGCAATATCACGGCGGGGGACACCAGAAATAGGCTTCACACATTGTACCCATGTTGGGAATCGAACCTGAGTCTTCAGCGTGACTACCAGACCGCCCTGCGATGCTTAGTAGAAGGTTTACAATCATATTAACCATCATATCCTACTGGGTACCCATTCACCTGTGTGCGGACAGAGGCATATTTGGAAAAAAGTCACTTGCCGAATGAGACACCATATATAACATGTGTTTCAGTGTCCTAGAAATCAGTAGAAGCTCTCAGGAGTCAAGCTTGCCTAACACTGTCCCAAAACATTGTAGAGCTAGTGTACAATACACATACATTCTAATTAGTTAGAATATTAAAATCAATAACTGGACATTAGTTTGTTGATCTGTATTTTTTACATGCAAGGTAAACTTTAATCTTAGAAACACCAGTCAGTTTGTAACCACCCAATCCAAGTCATCGTTGGGGTACATGCGACATATTCTGACCTACAATCACTTGGGAGAAATGGAGTTTGTTACTATTGGGCTTAAAACAGAATGAGTGAGTGTATCACAGTGTGTCAGCTGGATGTAGGAGAAAAGCCCGAAGTGAGGCAGCTCTCAGATATTGTAACTTGCCAGTAACTTTTGCAAACCCACATGTGCAAGCATGGGTTCGGTGCTGACAACCCAACAAACATAAAATATGGCAAATCTGGACTTCAAACCCAAGATCATATCTTTCTGGTGGGCCTTAGTGATGCAGTTCTCTAGAAATTCTATATCTTAAGGACAACAATATACCAGACCTTGCAGGCAACATTAGTGATAGATTTCAGTGTTATTATTTGTATATACAATAATCACATCAAATCAACCTTACCTGCTTCAAACTAAACTGAAACTCACCTCTGGATTAATTTGCATAAATCTCACAAGGCTTGACAGGGCATAGAGAGCTGGAAATGAAAGATAAAAACAATGACCTGGAAACAGACAATAGCCGTGTGGTTTATTCATGAAGATGTCTTTGCCGAGACAAATCTGAGCTACTTTCAACTAAAATAATGAATAATAATAGTTATTCTTGAACCTGACTTAAACCTATCGCAACTATATCTTACTTACTTAAGGACATGTAAAAAGCAATTCGACACTTTGCCACTTGATTAAATATTTGTAAAGATACTGATATTACTCAACATAGAAAATGTTTATTTGTGCATATCATTTGAACATCTAAAAATTAATATGGCAAAACAAATCTTGAAGATTGAGTTGGGTTTGATGCTGCTTTTAACAGTATTCCAGTCATGGTGGGTCAGCTTAATGTGGGAGGAAAGCTTAAAGTGATGCAGGTCTCAGACATTTACCACTTCGGTGAAACCCACGAGCACGGGTATGGTGCTGACAAACCTACAAACATAATCGGGGCGAACCGAGATTTGAACCCACTATCATAGGTTTCTGGCGTGCCCAAGGGATACAAATCTGCACAGCGAATCGCGGCACCTTAGACAACTTGGCCACCCGTGCCCCCCCGAATCTTGAGGAAAGTTTGTGAGGTGAAACTCATTCAAGCCTATATCATCCTTGAAACTCATGCCAAAGAAATAAACATAGGGTTTGTAAACATCCTGTATGTATATATGTTTCTGTGTTATATGTTGAGGACTTCCTTGTGTGATCTTGTAAGCTATCCAGGCAGGATCAGACATCTAGCAAAATGGAAACACATCTACCAGGACATGGAATATAGTCATTTATCAGTGTGGCCACATGTCAAAAACAGATAGATTGCATCACACTCTTTGATCAAACATCCTTGAAGATATAGTGATAGTGAATTTAAAATAACATTATTGAAATTATATCATGTAAAATCTGAGGATCTCTGTAAGGGTGGGAAATATTCCAAGTGTAGTCGACATGATGTATGAGGTTGTTTTGTAATCTATAGAAACACTATGGTTTCTGCCTGCAAATTTAGTTACACTTAAATACTTTTTAAGCATCACAGAGTATAACTTGAATTGATTTCTTTTATCGTTAATAACCATGATAATAGCTGTTCATTTGTTGACTTAACTCTTTTCAAACATCATACCTCCCAGCTATACATAACTGACATGATGCTCACTCCATTCGACACTATATTTCATATGTACTTGTAGTCAAAGGGAAATCGCACCAACTCTCCATATAAATGAAATGCTCTATGTAAATGGACACTGCGATAGCATGCAAGCATGCTGCTATTGTTTCAACTGAAATAAACTAAAAGACATACAATTTTGTATTTTGAGATAATTGTTATATTATTTTCTGTTATTGACTCTGCATTAATCTGTAAGAGTGATGTTTTTGGTAAGTTTTCCGGGATCTGTTGTTCGTGTTTTGAACGTGCAGGTGAAGGACACTTGGTTTGGTAATTGGACAGGAGGTACATTCTGCTGAGTCTTCATATTTGTTGTAAACTTATATAACTTATATAAGACAGGTTCAAGCATAGGCTTAGCGGAGATGTTTTTCCCTACGACACCTTTATCACAAAAGTAGGTCTATGACAGTTTTGAGAATATACTTAGCTGCGATGTTTTTCACTACAACAGCTTTACGACAATCGTAGGGCTATAACAGCTTCAAGAATATACTTAGCTGCGATGTTTTTAACCACAACACCTTTACGACAATCGTAGGGCTATAACAGCTTCAAGAATATACTTAGCTGCGATGTTTTTAACCACAACACCTTTACGACAGTCGTAAGGCTATGACAGCTTCAAGAATATACTAAGCTGCGATGTTTTTCACTTCGACACCTTTACGACAGTCGTAAGGCTATGACAGCTTCAAGAATATACTTAGCTGCGATGTTTTTAACCACAACACCTTTACGACAATCATAGGGCTATGACAGCTTCAAGAATATACTTAGCTGCGATGTTTTTCACTACGACACCTTTACGACAGTCGTAAGGCTATAACAGCTTCAAGAATATACTTAGCTGCAATGTTTTTAACCACAACACCTTTACGACAGTCGTAAGGCTATGACAGCTTCAAGAATATACTTAGCTGCGATGTTTTTCACTATGGCACCTTTACGACAATCATAGGGCTATGACAGCTTCAAGAATATACTTAGCTGCGATGTTTTTCACAACGACACCTTTACAACAGTCGTAAGGCTATGACAGCTTCAAGAATATACTTAGCTGCGATGTTTTTCACTATGGCACCTTTACGACAATCATAGGGCTATGACAGCTTCAAGAATATACTTAGCTGCGATGTTTTTCACTTCGACACCTTTACGACAGTCGTAAGGCTATGACAGCTTCAAGAATATACTTAGCTGCGATGTTTTTAACCACAACACCTTTACGACAATCATAGGGCTATGACAGCTTCAAGAATATACTTAGCTGCGATGTTTTTCACTACGACACCTTTACAACAGTCGTAAGGCTATGACAGCTTCATGAATATACTTAGCTGCGATGTTTTTCACAACGACACCTTTACAACAGTCGTAAGGCTATGACAGCTTCAAGAATATACTTAGCTGCGATGTTTTTCACAACGACACCTTTACAACAGTCGTAAGGCTATGACAGCTTCAAGAATATACTTAGCTGCGATGTTTTTCACAACGACACCTTTACAACAGTTGTAAGGCTATGACAGCTTCAAGAATATACTTAGCTGCGATGTTTTTCACTTCGACACCTTTATGACAGTCGTAAGGTTATGACAGCTTCAAGAATATACTTAGCTGCGATGTTTTTCACTTCGACACCTTTATGACAGTCGTAAGGTTATGAGAGTTTCAAGAATATACTTAGCTGCGATGTTTTTCACTTCGACACCTTTACGACAGTCGTAAGGTTATGAGAGCTTCAAGAATATACTTAGCTGCGATGTTTTTCACTTCGACACCTTTACAACAGTTGTAAGGCTATGACAGCTTCAAGAATATACTTAGCTGCGATGTTTTTCACTATGGCACCTTTACGACAATCATAGGGCTATGACAGCTTCAAGAATATACTTAGCTGCGATGTTTTTCACAACGACACCTTTACAACAGTCGTAAGGCTATGACAGCTTCAAGAATATACTTAGCTGCGATGTTTTTCACTATGGCACCTTTACGACAATCATAGGGCTATGACAGCTTCGCTACTTCCGGTTTGAAAGCGAGGCTTGGAGAGCAGAAGGTGAAGGCTGGATAGCACATGAAACACATGGAGATGTCAACAAGACACGCAATCGGGACAAACTGTGACAATTTAACCATCCCGGTACATTTATCGTAAGTATTAAACATTATTCTTATTCTTATCATTGACAAACTATTCTACTGTTATCTGGTCTCCTTACCGATATAAATTTGAGTCTGGCCGTTCTGTTGTGATTTTAATTTAAAATATCCATGACCACCTGGTAACTCCCAGTGCAGTTTATGGTAGCTGAACAGACTTAATACAAATGCTACTGAGATCTTGTAAGGAATAATTCATTGTTTTCACACCATTTAGCCAAACTATTTATTGTTAGTTTAAATAACGTTGTGGGTTGTATTTGAAGTCGAAATATTGACATTTTGACCATATCTAGATATATGTCAGAATTTACAATCGTAACAAATCAGAATTTTGCATCAGTTGCGTATTTGATGTAAATTGTAATGGACTCAAATGCATTCCAATAAAATGTTAGACCTCTAGATCTACTTGTGCTGTTGTGATTGTTAACAGTTGTTATTTTGATTGTCAATGTTGACAGATTAGATAGCATTAGGTGTAATATTTCAACTGAATTATTACATAAAGGGTGTGTAAATATTTGAAGTAAAGAACAGTTTGATCTGCAATTTTGTAAACAATATTTCTACCAAAATGATATTTACTTTACTGTACCAAATTAATCATGTCATGAAATGAACAAAAACACAACTAATTAATGGCCAGTAAATGTTCAATCTACATGTGATCTTTATATAATTTACAGAAACAGATAACTCTTTAACAGTCTGTATTCAAATATTTCAAATGCATAAATAGATATTGACATTACTATAAACTTAAAGTATAAACAGAATTATTTTTAATTCCCATGCGTATTGCAATCATTACTCATTTATTCCCTTTGTTTAATTGTGAAACCCATCTGGTTTTATGTCCACAAACATGTTTTGAAACTTTTAAAACAAAATAATTTCTTTTGTGCAAGCAATTGCCATGTATTATTGATTATTAATCATATCAATTTATATGTAAGAATATAGTTGTGCTTACTGTGTCATTTTGCAATAATTATATTGTTATGATGTAATAGTTTACTGTTGTTAAAAATCTTTAAAACTTTAGTTTATTTCAGTCAAGTCAAGTGGTGTGATAATTTTGATAATTTTGATAATTCAATCAAAACGAGAAATATGAAAAAGTATAAATACATAGAAGAAATTTGTTTTCCTTGTCAAATAACGATGATAGCATGAATTTATCTCATCTTGTGATCTGACAACTTTAATATTTTCAAGTCAAGATATCAACTTTAGTAAACCAAAAGAAGAGATAAACATTTCATTTGACAAAAAAATTCAAGTCTTATATTTTCTTTGTGATCTTCATGACCTTACTCAGAAAACCATAGTGTCAATGAGGCAGATTGACTGTCGGTGTGACAAAACGTGATATTTCACCTGATTTTAATAAAAATCTTATTTATTTCACTTTAGCGAAAGTATGTTTTCAGCATGGTCAGAATAAACAAAGTATTTCATGATTAAATACATATCGGTAATACAAATATCAAAACGTGTTTCATTAAAACAAGAGTGAATTTCTGTGTGACATTGATATAAAGAGCTGTAGTACACTGTCATTAAATTGATGCATCCGTTGTGTTTACTGTTTACACAGAATAAACTGTTTGAGTTTTAGACATATCAGATGAATTGATGCCTTCAAGATTGTTCTAAAGTAGCATGTAATGTTACACACTGTGATTAATTTTCTCTATTTCAGAAGAATGTTGTTTTCTAAATAAGCAATATTTTGAGAGAAGGTGAATATGCATTGGTTATAAAAAAATTATGGAAGTAGAAATATTATTACAATATTATTGAATTATTCATTTCAGGCTTTGAGTCCAGCGAGTCAACACAATGAAGTACCAGTATCCGGTGATGGATGTCTGGAGGAGCTTTCTGCTGACAGTAACACACTGGTTACAATGTGCGTCCTGTCAAAGGACGAGGAAGTGAAAAGCCATATTCATTCAATCAACAAACGTGTTTCCTGTCACATTTCACTTAAATAGGACGAGGAAGTGAAAAGCCTTATTCACTCACAAAACAAAATGGCCAATATCTATCAGACACTAAAAAAGCACATTGTACCATTTGTTTGCAAGCAAGAAAATTATCTTCTCCTGGAGTTTAATTAGGTGCTTTTGACTGACAAAGACACCCGGTCCATGTAAAGTTTTGAAAACTTAAATTCTGAGAAATAAAGACATGAAAATTTTGGTTTGTTTTTCTTTATTAAATATGAGAAATCCAGATTGTTCCATTAACAAAATCTGTACCGATACATATATTTTATCTTGGCTTGATTACCAAATGAAGTTGATTCCTTTTCATCTTTTGTTATTTTATCTGTACTCATATCTGATCAAGACATTTTTAAACTATTCAGGATAAATGTATTAGTAGCTTCCTTTTGATATACAATTACCTATCATCATACAGGATTAGATCAGGGTGTTCAAGAAGTTGGTGTTTGTATCAATTCTTATATTTCTTCAATTTCATGCATTATTTATATTTATCAATTTCAAGTTTCCCTTTAACTTATTTTAAACAGTTCACACATTATTACTTTTGTTGTGCATGGTGCAATCTCAATCGGTACAAATCGGTTAAATAAGTGATGTTTGAAGAACAAGTAAAGTATCATCTGTCATTGTACACACTGGATAGAGTTATCGCCCCTTCTGAATATTTATTTTGACACACAAGTTATTTTGTGAACTACCGTATTCGACCCATTAAGCGCCCCTCCCCCAATAAGCGCCCCTCCCCCAATAAGCGCCCCCCGCCCCCTTCCCGGTTCCGAAAATTTATATAGTAATTATTTCGTTTTAAATGAAAATCGTCCGGGAACCGAGGTTTCCGGATATTTGAAGTCCGTATAAGCAGGGCATGACTGTATTCTGGTTATTTTAGATATTTGTGACTTTGAATATTATGCGCAGAAAAAAATTACACCGTACCCCTTCAGCGAAGTCCGGCAAACGAACAGGTGATGAGAAACTTCGTCAGTATACAAATTCGAAATTTGAGATAAAAAAATCACCAGACATGTTGATTTACCGTTTAAATTGTATTTTTTGTTCAGCTAGGCATCGTTTTATATCCAGGGATTAAGATTACCTTGCGTATTTTCTCGTAAACTAAGCCGGACACAGCAATCAGCTGTACACACGTTTTCTTGGAATCTACCGGTGATTCATTCAAGACACACCCAATGATATAACTTTACAGGATTTTAAATCCAAGGATTGGCAAAAGTTGTATCTGAAACTATTTTTTTATCAGGAATAATATATTCCAATATCTTGTTAATTTAGATGCAGCTTTTACTAAACATATTTAAAATAATAATAACCCTAAGCGAAACAGCTGATCGCTATTGCCGGGTATTATTTTTTACATGGAACCCGTCTGACCAGTCACCGTCAAGGCTCCCCTGCACGTGATCGCGAGAATTACGTGTTGACATAGAATCGTCCAACAAAAACAAATATGACTTTTAACGATTCAAAGTATGGCATTTATGATATATGTATCCATTCTCTGTCAACTTAAGTTCGTTTCAAGGCGTCAATAGTGGTAATCTGACCGTGGTTGCTGTTAATAACGGTGAGTTGTGCGATCTTCCGATCGCTTCACACACAATTTCGCTGAAATTAATTAAAACAATATTAAAAGGAATTTTGAATAAAATTAATGAAATAAGTTACAAACAAAAGTCCAGATATACAAAGAACACTTTTTATAGCCAGACAGTGTAATAACATGACTAATTTGCGAACTACAGTATGGATTTGTTGACATGGTATTTCCGGTGTTACGTGCTCACAGTAATGTCTTTCCATGGGGGAAAAAACATCAAAACTCATTAATTCGTGTATAATGCGCACCCTCTTCTACACAGCTGTGTTTTTGGAAAAAAAGCGCGCACTATTCTCAAGAAAATACGGTAAGGCTTACTGATGAATTTACGCCAATTTGACCTGAATTGTCCCCAATAAGCGCCCACCCTTTCTGTCTTTTTTTAAGCACCCTGAGCGCTTAATGGGTCGAATACGGTAATTTCATTTACATTGTAATATGTTTAGATGAAAATCACAGCAGAAAAAGAATTTTTTGTCAACTGGACTCATGGCAAAACGACAGTGCGTTGTGCAGCAAACACCACTATGAAAAGTGAAATAAACATGATCGACGATCTCGAGTTTGCCAAGCCACGCATTGACTGAGCAAATTTGCAAAAGTACACTGACCTGTTTCATGTTATGGAGTTCATTTACGATACATTGAATGTCATTGAATGTACTGTCATATTGTACCTATATATATGCCGACGAGGTTATGATAAAACAATCTATTTCTGAAATACGTATCTCGAAATGCCCCTTTTGATTTACTTCCGGGATCCTGACAGCAAAATGCTAATTCCAGTGTATTACAGGCATATTTTAGTTGGACCTCAGGTTTAAATGTGAAATATCTTCTGTATTAGATACAGAGGATACCATTTTTTGTTTGTTTGAAATGTCCATCAGAGAAATGCACAACATGCTGTCTGTTCCCTATCAGCTGATGCGACTCACACTGCATGGAGCTCTGCTCTCCAAGCCTCGTTTTCGATCCAAGATGGCAAAAGTGTGAAAAAGGTCAATAAGGATCTATACCGAAACGTCGATTTTAATAATAAAGTATTAAAGAAGTTGTTATCCATAAAATTGTGTCTACCTTGGATATCGTGTAGGTTCATTGGCGCCATCCACTGGTTGCAAAATAAATCTATTCAGTTCATGGAAAATTACTGTATGCAATCTTTCTCTTGCTGATGGTGAGTGAGTATGGTTTTACGCCCCTTTTAGCAATATTCTAGCAATATCACGGAGGGGGACACCAGAAATGGCCTTCACACATTGTACGCATGTCGGGAATCGATCCCAGGTCTTCGGCGTGATGAGTGAATGCTTTCACCACTAGGCTACCCGACCGCCCCTAAACTTGCAGATAGGATGTATCGTGGCCTAGTGACACAGTGACTGTACCTCCATTCTCTGACATGTCCTGATTAAGAGACTGTAGTACAGCGCTGGCAACTTCCACTGTAACCTCTGTATCATCCTCCACCTGCAAACACCAACACATGGAGCTCTGGGTTACTACAAGCTGTAACATTACTATTAGGGCTCAGGGATACTACAGGCTGTAACATTACTATTAGGGCTCAGGGATACTACAGACTGTAACATTACTGTTAGGGCTCAGGGATACTACAAGCTGTAACATTACTATTAGGGCTCAGGGATACTACAGACTGTAACATTACTGTTAGGGCTCAGGGATACTACAGACTGTAACATTACTATCAGGGCTCAGGGATACTACAGACTGTAACATTACTATTAGGGCTCAGGGATACTACAGACTGTAACATTACTATTAGGGCTCAGGGATACTACAGACTGTAACATTACTGTCAGGGCTCAGGGATACTACAGACTGTAACATTACTGTCAGGGCTCAGGGATACTACAGATTGTAACATTACTGTCAGGGCTCAGGGATACTACAGATTGTAACATTACTCTCAGCGCTCAGGGTTACAACAGATTGTAACATTACTCTCAGGGCTCAGAAATACTACAGATTATAACATAACTGTTAGGGCTTAGGGATACAACAGATCGTAACATTACTGTCAGGGCTCAGGGATACTACAGACTGTAACATAACTGTTAGGGCTCAGGGATACTACAGATTGTAACATTACTGTCATGGCTCAGAGATATTACAGACTGTAACATTACTGTCAGGGCTCAGGGATACTACAGATTGTAACATTACTCTCAGCGCTCAGGGTTACAACAGATTGTAACATTACTCTCAGGGCTCAGAAATACTACAGATTATAACATAACTGTTAGGGCTCAGGGATACAACAGATTGTAACATTACTGTCAGGGCTCAGGGATACTACAGACTGTAACATAACTGTTAGGGCTCAGGGATACTACAGATTGTAACATTACTGTCATGGCTCAGGGATACTACAGACTGTAACATTACTGTCAGGGCTCAGGGATACTACAGATTGTAACATTACTGTCAGGTCTCAGGGTTACTACAGACTGTAACATTACTGTCAGGGCTCAGGGATACTACAGACTGTAACATAACTGTTAGGGCTGAGGGTTACTACAGATTGTAACATTACTGTCAGGTCTCAGGGTTACTTCACACTGTAACATAGCTGTTAGGGCTCAGGGATACCAGAGATTATAACATTACTGTCAGGTCTCAGGGTTACTACAGACTGTAACATTACTGTCAGGGCTCAGGGATACTACAGATTGTAACATTACTGTCAGGGCTCAGGGTTACTACAGATTGTAACATAACTGTTAGGGCTCAGGGATACTACAGACTGTAACATTACTGTCAGTGCTCAGGGATACTACAGATTGTAACATTACTGTCAGGGCTCAGGGATACTACAGACTGTAACATTACTGTCAGGGCTCAGATACTACAGATTGTAACAATACTGTCAGGGCTCAGGGATACTACAGATTGTAACATTATAGTCGGGGCTCAGATACTACAGATTGTAACATTACTGTCTGGGCTCAGGGATACTACAGATTGTAACATTACTGTCAGGGCTCAGGGATACTACAGATTGTAACATTACTGTTAGGGCTCAGGGATACTACAGACTGTAACATTACTGTCAGAGCTCAGGGATACTACAGATTGTAACATTACTCTCAGCGCTCAGGGTTACTACAGATTGTAACATTACTCTCAGGGCTCAGATACTACAGATTGTAACATTACTGTCATAGCTCAGGGTTACTACAGACTGTAACATAACTGTTAGGGCTCAGGGATACTACAGACTGTAACATTACTGTCAGTACTCAGGGATACTACAGATGGTAACATTACTGTTAGGGCTCAGGGATACTACAGATTGTAACATTACTGTCAGGGCTCAGATACTACAGATTGTAACAATACTGTCAGGGCTCAGGGATACTACAGATTGTAACATTATAGTCGGGGCTCAGATACTACAGATTGTAACATTACTGTCTGGGCTTAGGGATACTACAGATTGTAACATAGTCGGGGCTAAGGGATACTACAGATTGTGACATTACTGTCTGGGCTTAGGGATACTACAGATTGTAACATAGTCGGGGCTAAGGGATACTACAGATTGTGACATTATAGTCGGGGCTAAGGGATACTCCTGATTGTAACATAGTCGGGGCTAAGGGATACTACAGATTGTAACATAGTCAGGGCTAAGGGATACTACAGATTGTAACATTATAGTCGGGGCTAAGGGATACTACAGATTGTAACATAGTCGGGGCTAAGGGATACTACAGATTGTAACATTATAGTCGGGGCTAAGGGATACTCCAGATTGTAACATAGTTAGGGCTAAGGGATACTACAGATTGTAACATTATAGTCGGGCTAAGGGATACTCCAGATTGTAACATTATACTATAGTCGGGGCTAAGGGCTCCCACAAGGAAGCTGTATTGTAACATTACACCCATCACACTCATAAATTCAAGCCCTTTTCAAATATGAATGTATAAAAGCCATGACAAATTTGTGTCACAGTTTTACATTAAAGTACAATGAGAGGCCCAGTGACTTGGATGAATGCATGTCATCATACTTTGAGATCCTGGGTCGATGCTCACAGTATCAATCACTGGTTTGTCATGACTCTGTTATTTACAGGCTGCTGTCACATAACACAAATATTGCTGATCGTGGCATTAAACAACAGACATCACAACAAATCCTTGTACGATGGCGAACTGACCTCGTTGAGACTGATGTTGAGAGCCAGGGCGGAGGCAGCCTCCAGCAGGTCCTTGTCGTGGTGGTCCGTGAGGCAGGTGATGCAGATGTGCTGGGACTTCTTGAGTACACAAACACCATCAGTGTTGGGGACTCGCACCTTCTCCATCGTCGCAATACCATTCTCCACCGTCTGCATGTTGGCCAGCTGACCACAGACACAAGGAATCAGTCATCATACTTCAATACTACCGTATTCGACGTAATAAGCGCCCCGCTCTAATAAGCGCCCACGGCGATATTTGCTTATATAATGGCAAGTGAACAATCCCAATTAGCACCCCTTCAGATTGATCAATGTACACAAGACTTATTTATTCGTGTATAATACGCACTTGTGTGTTATATGCACCCTTAATTATGGGCAATTAAATTCTGGAAAAATATATCTGTCATATATAAACAGTCAGGCCGTCAGCATAAACCAAAAAAAATTTATCTTTCAACTGTTTTTTCCACCAAAATAATAAGAGCCCCCTATTTCTAATTTTGAGAGCACCCTGGGCTCGTATTATGTCAAATACGGTAACTTTGAGGTGGTGGAATTTGTAACCATGTCCTAGAAATATCTTAAAAAATGGGTTCAATCTTTTGGAGACTTAAATGTTTAGTTGATGTTTGAATTGAGAAGTTAGGCTCTGCATGAAATATTGCAAAAACCTTACTTAAGAAATTTGATAAACATGTACTTTGACGATGATTTACAACATTTTGCCAGGTTGTTGAAATGAGCATGGATAAACAGAACTACCCACTTCCCTGTCTGGTCTGGTCGTTGAATTGACTGAGGATGTAAAGATCTGCCCACTTACCTGTCTGGTCTGGTCGTTGAACTGACAGGGTGTAAAGATCTGCCCTCTTACCATGTGTACAATGTGTGTCTGCACCTGTCTGGTCTGGTCATTGAACTGACTGAGGATGTAAAGATCTGCCCACTTACCTGTCTGGTCTGGTCGTTGAACTGACAGGGTGTAAAGATCTGCCCACTTACCATGTGTACAATGTGTGTCTGCACCTGTCTGGTCTGGTCGCTGAACTGACTGAGGATGTAGCCCATCATATGGGCAGAGTCATGGCTGATCACTTGCAGGAAGTCAGGCTGGACCACCAGTAACTGTAGCATTTCACATATCTTCACTCGCAGCGTCTCCGATACTTCTCTGTTGCATAAAACTTTGGCTGAAATTAGGAGAAAAACTGATTAAACTGCAACTAAATATTCCTCACGAGTTAGTGAGTGTGTTTTTGTTCTACGCTGCTTTGAAATGTATTTCAGTTACTTCAAGGCCTGTCAGATTGATTTGGGAGAAACCCCCGATATGATGCAGGTCTTAGATGTTCAACTTCACTGAAAGCTATATTTCAGTGGGTTACATCCAACAGTAGACTCATCATGTCAATAGGCTTTAATACTAACAACACAACAAGGTGGCTCCTTCCCTTGGAGCATCCATGACACACATGGGAGCAGAACTGTCCAGGTTTGCTACCTACCGAGCACCTGCATGTGGTTCCTGTGAACATTTTAAGAACTGTCTGGTATTGCTTCCTACCGAGCACCTGGAGGGTGTTCCTGTGAACTGTCCGGTCTTGCTACCTACCAGGCACCTGCACTGTGTTCCTGTGAACATTTAAAGAACTGTCTGGTATTGCTACCTACCGAGCACCTACAGGGTGTTCGTGTAAAAATTTAAAGAACCGTCCAGCCTTGCTACCTACCGAGCACCTGCAGGGTGTTCCTGTAAACATTTAAAGAACTGTCCAGCCTTGCTACCTACCTAGCACCTACAGGTCATTCCTGGACATGTTGATTTAATGAAACGTCTGATTGGACTATCGATATGTGCTATAGTCCAATCATATTTAGCACAGGAAAGTGGACTTGATGTGGCAATAGTGGAAACAAGACTTTCATACATAGGCTAGTGGACGCTCTTGCCTTGGGAAGATGCTGCAGGTGGTTCCTGGGAACATTAATAGAACTGTCCAGCCTTGCTACCTACCAAGCACCTGCAGGTGGTTCCTGGGAACATTAATAGAACTGTCCAGCCTTGCTACCTACCAAGCACCTGCAGGTGGTTCCTGGGAACATTAATAGAACTGTCCAGCCTTGCTACCTACCAAGCACCTGCAGGTGGTTCCTGGGAACACTTGTAGAACCGTCCAGCCTTGCTACCTACCAAGCACCTGCAGGTGGTTCCTGGGAACATTAATAGAACTGTCCAGCCTTGCTACCTACCAAGCACCTGCAGGTGGTTCCTGGGAACATTTATAAAACCGTCCAGCCTTGCTACCTACCAAGCACCTGCAGGTGGTTCCTGCCGAGGGACCAGGAGCACTGACTCTGTTTGACGGCCAGGTATTCCAGCATCTCCTCCCACACCTGGAACTCCTGTTCCGACAGCCGGGACTGAAGCAGCCTCCGGATCTCCTCCCCCCGACACCTCTCCACCACGTTCTGAAACAACCAAGCAGTGATATCTGGAAGCTTTTGAGAGTCTTTTTCAAAGTTTTGATTGTTTGACGTTTTATACTGCCGTCGGGAACATTTCAGCAACAACATGGAGGACTGTAAATAATCATGCCTGTGCCAGAAAAAGTAGTGGCTGGCGTTGTCCAGGTTCTAGTTATCTAAAGCAGATATGACAGTAGTTTTGGTATGTTAACATAATGGCTTGAAGCAAAGTACACAAGGACTGTACAGGAGGTGCTAGAAATTTGTAGATGCGAGCAGGAGTTAATACACCCTGTGATCAAACCTGGCAAATAAGTATAAAGATTGAAATTAATCATCAATCATCCAGTTAATCAATTAGTTTTAACTCTTTGAATAGTAGACCTTTTCTCAAATATTAATTGTACAAACTGAACGCGGGTCTGTTTACTCAAAGTAGGTTTGTACATAATGGTCTGTTTACTCACAGTGGGTTTGTACATAATGGTCTGTTTACTGACAGTGGGTTTGTACATAATGGTCTGTTTACTCAAAGTGGGTTTGTACATAACGGTTTGTTTACTCACAGTGAGTTTGTACATAACGGTCTGTTTACTCACAGTGGGTTTGTACATAACGGTCTGTTTACTCACAGTGGGTTTGTACATAATGGTCTGTTTACTCCCAGTGGGTTTGTACATAACGGTCTGTTTACTCTCAGTGGGTTTGTACATAACGGTCTGATTACTCAAAGTGGGTTTGTACATAACGGTCTGTTTACTCACAGTGGGTTTGTACATAACGGTCTGTTTACTCACAGTGGGTTTGTACATAACGGTCTGATTACTCAAAGTGGGTTTGTACATAACGGTCTGTTTACTCACAGTGGGTTTGTACATAATGGTCTGTTTACTCACAGTGGGTTTGTACATGACAGGATCTGTCATTTCCAGCTGGTCGGACTTGGATGCAGAGGGAGAGTCTTTGTTGCCGCTTCTCTGTCGTGTTCTGGTGGCTGTTCCTGTGCTGAGTGTGTTCATGGCTCCGGCAGCAGCGTTCTGGGTCGATGGCTCTGTGGGGAAGAGGGGGTGACCTCCGTCTGGTTGAACACTCATGGAATCTATCAGGGGTTTGATCATAGCACCAAATGGTCTGCAAATAAACAATCATGATCAGACTATTAGTCCATGTACAGTCAGGGTGAATCTGGAAAATGCGGCTTTAGGGGTGGGGGGGTGGTGGTGATGGTGTAAATTTCAAATTGGAATATGATTAGAGCATTTTAGACATTACATGCCCCTTATATTATAAAAGAAGTGCAATCTCACCTCCAGATAGACATAGACATAAGTAGTTAAGTATATTCCTGGTAATTGTGTAAAAAACAACAACAGTACACCAGTACACATAATGTGAAAAACCGCGTTTGTATTTGAGGTGAGGTGAAATGGATTTGTTTGGTTTGTTTGTTGTTTAACGCCGCACTCAGCAATATTCCAGCTATATGACGGCGGTCTGTAAATAATCGAGTCTGGACCAGACAATCCAGTGATTAATATCATGAGCATCGATCCACTCCATTGGGATTGATGACATGCATCAACCAAGTCAGCGAGCCTGACCACCCGATCCTGTTAGTCGCCTTTTACGACAAGCATAGTCACCATTTACGGCAAGTATGGGTTGCTGAAATGGGGTTTAACGCTGCGTCCAAGATTGTTGCACTTCTATAGTGAAAACCGGATTCAAACCCCCTTGACCATGTTTAGGTGTCATCATAAGTAGGAACATGCATGGGAAGCTTCAGCTCAATGGGTGACTTCTTAGATCTACAGAAGTTGCTGCAGCCATATGCTGTACAAGCAGGCAATGACATCAGCTTATTTGACTTTCGGAGCTGCTCTATCTTGTAAATAATATATATTCTCATTTTCTATAATAGTGAGGAAATACATTTATATTTTTAGGTTTTCAAGAGTCAAACTTACAGACTTTTGTGAAATGTAATTTTGATTCATGAACTAGAATAAGTAAAAAGATATCCAATTCAGTTCTATCCTTGTGAAGTTGGTGCAATTTACTAAAGACTGCCGGTACTGACGTGCTGAGCACCTCGGCGGGGAGGTTGGTGATGTAGGCGGGGACATTCCTCCCTGTCAGGAACTGGGCCACCTCAGCACTGAAGTTGTTGCAGTTGTGTTCCAACAGGTGGTACTTGCTGGCACTGGAAAAAAACAACAATGGCACTGTGATCATATTGAGTGAGTGAGTGAGTGAGTGAGTGAGTGAGTGAGTGAGTGAGTGAGTGAGTGGGAGAGTGAGTGAGTGAGTGAGTGAGTGAGTGAGTGAGTGAGTGAGTCTCCCTTTTGAGTGAGTGAGTGGGGAAGGTGTACTGCCACTTTGACAGTGTTTCCAATTAACCAGTAACTGCCAGTAATTTACTGGTAAAATAGGCCATGTACCGGTAAAATTTAACACTATCCTTCAAAAATATTGAATGTACTCTTTAAGTGTAAATTTATAACTGATCAGAAACACTTCTTTGAACAGTATCTCAGTAAGGATGTGGTCTGACAGACTAATGTCAGAACAGTCCAAAGTGATTCAGGTCATAGACCTTTACCACCATAGTGAAATCCAGGAGCATGATGGGAACAAACCAAGAATCACAGGATCATTGGATCCTGGCACACTTAAGGGCAGCAACTACAAAGAGAACTGCAGAGCCTCAGACAACACAATCCCCCCTTCCCCAAAACACTGACTTCTTGATCAAACTAATAGCTGTTGACCTTGCTGGCTGTTTACTGAGGGAGCCCCACCTGAATGAGCTTGCTTGCTGTTTACTGAGGGAGACTCACCTTTGATGAGCTTGCTGGCTGTTCAATGAGTTAGCCTCACCTGAATGAGCATACTGGCTGTTCACTGAGTTAGCCTCACCTGAATGAGCTTGCTGGCTGTTCACTGAGTTAGCCTCACCTGAATGAGCTTGCTGGCTGTTCACTGAGGGAGACTCATCTGAATGAGCTTGCTGGCTGTTCAATGAGGGAGACTTACCTGAATGAGCTTGCTGCTAGTTCACTGAGATAGTCCATGAACATATCTCGAGGTATCTGAGTCATTCCTAAGTCAACAATGGAATCTGGACGTCCAAGTACAGTCCCTCCCTGAAAGAAAATCTCAAAAGCTTACTCTAGAATCAAGAATGACAAAAGAGTGAACAATGTTCTATAGAACAGTTAGCAACATTCCAGCTAAATCACAGTGTCCTGTCAATACTGCAGGGTGGCATGACAGTACTTGACAGCATGTCAATGATCCATGACAAACAGAACAATGACACACCATCAGTCAGGTCACATATCATCCCATCCTCATTTTAATCGACTCTTATGACATGCTGGGGATATGCTCTGACCTGGAGTGAGTGAGTGAGTATGGTTTTACACCGCTTTTAGCAATATTCCAGCAATATCACAGCGAAGGGCCCGGAAAATGGGCTTCACACATTGTACCCATGTGGGGAATCGAACCCGGGTCTTCGGCATGAGGAGCCAACGCTTTAACCACTAGGCTACCCCACCGCCCTGCTCTGACCTGGAATCCCATCCTGTCAAGACTGACAAGTATTCCAAGCAACAACAGTTGACTTCAAAATTTGAAATAACATCTCTGGATTTAGCATTTAGTATCTAATATAATTATCAATAGTTGCCAGCTCTTTAGTAATAACAATCTACAAAGTGAACACACTTCATGGATACTAACTGCAATACAATGCAAGCGATGTTTCAGTATAGATCCTTATATCATTGTCATTCAATGATTCATCCCTGCTTGACAATGGGATAAGGATGTATACAGAAATGTTGCTATTATAGTATATTAAAGAAAGCGTGTCTGCTTTGTCATCCGTCAACTAGTAAGAAATGGCAATCAAACAATTTAACAACCTACAGCTAGAGAAAAAATGTACTGGCCTTTCTCCATGCCATTAATGCCATGTTTCATCTCAGTCCTAAGGCTGATATTATAGCAATGGATTTCTTGCACAGACAAAAAATACATTCTAAATTTTTGACTCAAGAAATCAAAACATAAAGACATGTTGGCAGACATGAAGAACTTCATCTGCATTATCAGCCTTCATGATAAACACATGTATAGCTTCCAGCGTGTACAGGAAGTGTCATGTGTCATCTCCATCACTGGCTTATAGATCAGTGCTGACTGTACTTACTGGGGGACACGATTCTATACCACCAGTCCCACCGAAGAAGTATTCTTGGCCATACACAACAATCCCAGTGTGCCATACACCATCTATTTGTTTTCCTGAAAAGACAAGAACATAATATCCTTTGTATTCCCTAAATTGAACCACTTGGTGAAACTGATGAGTGAGTGAGTGAGTATGGTTTTACGCCGCTTTTAGCAATATTCCAGCAATATCACGGTAGGGAACACCAGAAATGGGCTTCACACATTGTGCCCAAGTCGGGAATCAAATCCAGGTCTTTGGCGTGACGAGCAAACGCTTTAACCACTAGGCTACCCGACCACCCCTGAAACTGATGAGACTCTATAAATTCAGGTAACACAAACAATGAATGAGGGTAGGTGTGATTAGTTTTAGCATGTTTAAAGAAACCATGCTATAAAAATCATTATAAAGTGTCGAAAAAGTGAGTGTGAAATACTTTTTACCTAGAATATGAAAATGGCCAAAGATGAAATAAAAAAAATTGATTTAGCATCTTTAACATGTTCAATATAATGTTAGGCTTAAAAAATAAAAGAATTGGTTCTCAGGCAATGGTTTTTGAAAATATAGAACCAAGACTTTTATTTTTTTAGCCATATAGGTTATATTTACACATTCACATATTATATTAACACATTCACATATTATTTCCTATTACAATTTGTAGTCTTGAATTTAAATGGATGTTATGACACATCCATGTGACATATATATATCAATTATAGTAACAACATAAATGGTTAATATGTACATAATATTGCAAAACAGAAAACAAAACTAGTTATCATCACTGACGCATGCAATGTTGTTTAATGTCATTTTAACCTAGATATCAGAAAGGATGAATGCTACATACAGCTATGGAATGCCCGGAGAGTGGAACGTCAGTGGTTCAACACCAAAAAACTTGATAAAATGGTAATTGTTGTTTCTAACAACGCGTGTCGATCTGACGTTGATTAATGAACGATTTGCACACTTGTATATGCAAGGGGCCGATGTATGGTTCTCAGTAGGAAGTGACAACTTGGAGACGATGGCTTGCGGTATATACAGTTTTACTTTATACATGTAGATATATACATACAGAAGACACTATGTGCCAGGTCAGCACATGGTGGTAGTGGTTGGTGTCTAGGTGCCCCGGAGCACCCAGCCTAACCCTAGCTAGGCTAAGGGTAAGACCTTTTTTTTCCTCTCCTTTTTTTTCTGGACCAAGGCTTATATAGCCAAGGTCACCTGACATTTAGTAAGTAATAAATATAAATGTAAACAGTAAATCATCAGTGACATACTTGCACATCCTGTTCAGGATGGCAGACGGTCGATGTACACAAAAATGGGGATTAACAAATAGGATTAGCATCTTATAAATAACAGCAATTAAATGTTTCTCAGACAATGGGTGTCGTAAATCAGTCGCCATGACATTTCCCTGACTTGCGCTCGAAATTGAGGTAATAAAACAAGGGCTGGTCAGCTCAGGAGTCTGTATACTGTGTCTGTGGGGTGTATCCGTGTTTTGAATGTGGTATGGTATCTCAGTGGGCTAGCACTATAGTACAAGCATGCACGCACGCACGCGCACACACGCACGCGCACACAGGCATCACAGCAGTGTAGAATGAAACCTTTGGAAGGCTTGCTTAGTTTTGTTTAGGAGTACCCACCTCACCTTACGTTGTTGCAGTGCTACATGCTTTCAGTGCCTGTCATAAGTTTGTGTGAAGTATTACGGTGTAAACAAACTGCATGAGCATATAGAGCTCCATATTTTGTTTCAGGCTCTTGTCAGTGATTCCGTAAATTCTGATTGAGAACCCCCTGAAAACACAGGACCCAACCCATGCCGCTTCACTCAATATATTGCTACCCAAGAGTCCTGTTTTGTTTAGTCATTTTGAAATTAGAAGATAAACATACTGCGTTTTCAATGTAGAGCTAGGTTACCTACAGATTTAACCACACTAAATTTGACATTTGAAACCTCATGCTGCACATCCGGTCCAAATTCTATTTTGTGTGGTTGAATCTAAAGATAACCGGGCTCTACATTTAAAACAGTATGTTTACTAGGGGTGACTATTGGTCTGGAAATCACTATTGCGATAACTATTGATATTGTAAGAAACTATTCTGATAACTATTGATATTGCAAGCAACTATTGCGATAAATAATATAGATAGTTTTCAGTGTATCGTTTTAGATGGATTTTTGAGTTAAACTAAACCTTGGGACTGAAGTTTCCTTTGAATGTGATAGCCATAACAACAAATAAAAAGTAAAGTTTGAGATATGACTGATTTGTTTTTTCTTTACCCCAATAATTTAAGAAAAAGAAACTTCCACATTACCATGTGTAAATTACTACAACTCATGATCAAAAGAAAAACAAATTTGAATAGCATTTGACTCAATCACATCATATGGTAAATACAATCGAAAACTATCAATATTCCTAACTGAAATCAATACAATTGATCGGAAACTGATTTAACAATCGATTTATTGACTTTAAGTGCTTAGCAATAGCAATACATGTATATCGATATTTCGATTTATTGTAACCCAGGGATTAGAGCACTGTTTCTATACAAAATGTTCACATAATGTATCTAATATTGTTTTGTATACATTATAAATGAAAGTTTTCTGAAGAGTATTTTAAACCTCATACAGTGCAGTAAAACCACATTCTTACATCACTGACGCACCAGCTTCATCTACAGCTGTCATGGCATTTTACGCTTTAAATTACGCCATCCATGTCAACCCACTGTTAGTTCTGTATCAAGTTACATTGTTTGAAATTAAGTCTGACTGTAACAGAGTTATTGCCATAACAGTGATTTATCATTTATCAGTGTCTATACATCAAGTACATATACTGTATAACCAATGAGATGGCTATGCTTTTTTTGTTTGTTGTTTAACGCTGCACTCAGGAATATTCCAGCTATATGACGATGGTCTGTAAATAATTGAATCTGGACCAGACAATCCACTGATTGACATCATGAGCATCGATCTACGCAATTGGTATACGATGACATGCATCAACCAAGTCAGCGAGCCTGACCACCCAATCCCCTTAGTTGGCTATGCAGAGGTGATATGTACTTACCATGAATGACAATAAATGGGAGTTACAGAGAAATGCCAAATAATCAAAATAACAATGCTCAGTTAAACAAAGCTATCTTCATTCCTTGCTTGTTTTTACCATATTTAATATGTAATATCACATATGTTTACTCATATTTCTTTACACATGAAGACATACTCAAACTTTCTTGAACATTCGCAAATCTTGTTGTTTTGCCATGTTCTGAAGCACAGACTTCACCCTAATCAATAGAGACAGGACTCTACCACAAGATAAAATAAATTGTGCAAGCTCGGAGGAAATTAATGTCTTCAGATGCAGCAAATTCTGAAATAGCAGCATTCTTTCTTCAACACGCATCTGCGTCCAGTAAATCCATCAGTAAATTCATTTCTATGAGTTGATGGCATACCATTGGGTGTAACACATTTAAAACAGATTGCAAACTGTAGTGGAACCTGGTTTTCTCTCTAAATCATGTTAATTGACATAAACAAGCAGTCCAAAATTATCCTCAGAGTATAAATTGGATATGACCAATGGTGTCTACACTAGATAAGTATGTAACTTCATGAAGTATCTCATAGAGCTGGGAAATCTAGTTAGGATCACTTATAATCCTTACAAGCTAGCCACAGATAAAAATCAATGAAATTGAAATTGAAATAATTGCAATTTAGTACCAGTGATAGTTGGCTTATCATAATATTATCATAAATCATAAATTGTCTAAATAATAGATTCGTGTCTATGAATAATAAAACATCAAATTATCATACCACACTAAACAGATTTACTCGAAATGCATCAGACTTAACTTCTGTATTACAAACAGTACGCAAATGATGGTAGCCACATCGTTCAAAGGGTAAATGTAATTAATTAAGTCGATGAATCAGCTGATCGAAAACCGGACTGTTGTGATTGAAATTTACAGCATGATGTCAGCGGCGTCATCCCTCCATGCCCAGACACCGTTTCATCCATATTGTTGGCGTGACTTACCTATGAACGCCTGTGATAATGACCGCGCCATGCCCTTGGATATATCGTAGACATAACACTGAACCGGGTACCCTTCTTCCTCCGACATTTTGACAGCGTGAGTCTGCAGGTTGTGTGACAACTAACCGGTGTATCACGAAATTGACCCGCCATGAAATAACCGCGTCATTGGCGGAAACGGTGTATTGGTTAAATAGTTACCTTGGAAAATATCACCAGTGTTTATGCTCGACAATTAATATATCAACATAAATAGTCCCTGAAATAAAGTTATGTATTCGGTTTAAAAATAAAATAATTATGTAAGGAAACCTCAAGTCTTTAAATTTCTGTCTAGAGCTGAGAATGGGATAAGTATATGCTGATGGAGTTATGATGGGGACGAGGGGCGATATGAGTGGTTAAATTCTTTTATTAAATATATGCTCTGGGTTCTGTAAACGAAACTTAATTGGCAGCTATTACAGAATTTGTTTTAAAACAACAATAACCCAATTAAAATAATTCAATTTTCGTTGTGTTCATTGAAATTCCTGCATTCTTATTAGCTGAAATGGTCACGTGTTATTGCATTCATTTCCCAATGAATGTAAAAAAGTAAGCCACGCCCACCGATGCGCACTACTTTTATTTCTGCGGAATACTGTCGGAATACTGAGGAATACTTTTGTAAGAATCCGCTACGCGGATTCATACAGTTTGCACATCGGTTTTTCGATTCATACTTCAATGAACCGAAAAAAAGAAGACGTCAATCCTTAAATAAATACGGGTTAAAGCTTGTACATTTTGTTAACACCATTAAAGAGGCAGTATACACAATATTGATGTCCCACATAAGAAATAAACGACTCGTGGTCGGTGTTTGTCGTAAAAATAAATCACTGCAGGGAGAATAAACCACTTTAAAGGAATGTAGAATGAAAAAAACAACGATTTACAGAACCTTTTGGCCGAAATAACCCGGCTTTGCTGCTGATGCTAATCCTTGTCTTCAAACGTTGTTCGTTCCGTGAACTGGAGATAATCTTCCCTGTTCTGGGAGTGTATCAGTTCTCCAAATAACAAATTAATGGACCCGTGAAGATCCGGGGTACAATGGGTCTTCAGCACCCATGCTTGCCGTAAAAGGTGACTATGGTTGTCGTAAAAGGCGACTCACGGGATCGGGTGGTCAGGCTCGCTGACTTGGTTGATGCATGTCATCAATCCCAATTGCGTGGATCGAAGCTCATGATGTCAATCACTTGATTGTCTGGTGCTGACTCGATTATTTACAGACCGCCGTCATATAGCTGGAATATTGCTTAGTGCTGCGTTAAACAGCAAACAAACTAACAAATCGAGTAGGATTTGCCGCTCGGAGGAAACCCCCGGACGCTTATCTCATGTATGTCTGAACTGGAATCTCAGTTGGGATGTCAGAGCAGATATTACTCTCTTTGTTGTATATTGTTTAAATGTCCTGGAAAAACGGTGCCGATGTTGCTCTTCAAGACCTAATCCCCCCGAGACAGCAAGGTGTAGTTTATTTACATACGCATATTTTGTTTCAGGTGTAATTTTGGCAACAAATACGGATTGTTACCTAATGGCATTTATACATACGCGGTCTCGTCAGCAACCCATGTTTGTCGTAAGAGGCGACTAACGGGATCGGGTGGTCAGGCTTGCTGATTTGGTTGATGCATGACATCTTATGCAAATTGAGTAGACCGATGCTCGTGATGTCAATCATTTGATTGTCTGGTTCAAACTCGATTATTTACGGACCGCCGTCATATAGCTGGAATATAGCTGAATGCGGCGTTAAACAACAAACAAACAAACAAACATACGCGATTAAACGAATGGTTGTAGAAGGCGCCTGTTGCTCCGTCTACGGGTAATGGGTCTCCACGATTACTGTTATAAGTGTGAACCCGTCGTTTACACACCCGTGTCGTCACGGGGCATATACACACATGGTAATGTTACTCATGTTTATGGTGAAAACATGTAAAATAGCCTTTTTCACGTTAGCATAGATTTGCACAAGTCTCTAAGGTTATAATTATTAATTCAATTCATTATTTTTAGGGGTCGGTCGGGTAGCCTAGTGGTTAAAGAGTTAGCTCGTCACGCCGAAGACCCGGGTTCGATTCCCCACATGGGTACAATGTGTGAAGCCCATTTCTGGTGTTCCCCGCCGTGATTTTGCTGGAATATTGCTAAAAGCGGCGTAAAACCATACTCACTCACTCATTATTTCTAGATTATATAAAATAACAAGTACACGTACGTTGTCACTATAAGAGACAGGCGTCCGTACTATCCACTTATCTAGACTTGCCTTTTAGGAAAGAATTACTACACATCCATGGACTTATCTTTCAGAACAGCCTTGGAGCAAGGCTACTGTAAGCACTATAGAGATTGTATTTGGTAAAACACACAAGAACTAGTATATCTGGTGTGTTTTTTACCAACCGATGTCATTCCACCCATGCGCCTTTGCACTCCGGTCTTAGATCGGTTGACATGATTAAGGTAACATGTAAGATATGCAGGACGTGCATCTGCTATTATATACACATACACGTGTTACACATTAGTACTGGCGATGAGTAAGTCACACGGGAAGGGTGTTTCCAGGCTGTGCCAAACAAGTCAGTCTGCGATATGTGTACGCATGGCTTGATGACGTAGCACACAAGTGCCTACATCTGTCAGAAAGTTAGCAGAAGCAGACGAGTATACTTCAAGTGTTATGCGGCCGTGATATATTACCGAGCTGATAGATCTGGTAGGTAAATGAAGATTTAAAGATAGCATACTGAACTCAAGAAGCTGTTTTACCGTCCTGTCGGGGCCAGCTTGTTCCAAGTCTATTTTCATTACGTAGAAGCTGACGGAAGCCAGGGTATCGTTAGGATCTATATTTGGAACAAGTGTTCCTGCAGTAAACGCTGGTAAACATTGTCTTGTTGGCAATATGCTAGTTTTCTCACGGAATTCTTTCCTGGAATAATCAGTGTTTTGTAAGTTACCAATGTATTATTGCGAGCCTTATTTCTTTGAAGTCGATATTTATATAAAGAATATTTATACAGTATACATGCATTGGTGGTTAATTCTTTTGCACATAAGCAGTGACGGAAAGTTGTATAATTAAGGGGTTATTTTTTTTATAATATTGAGTTAACTCTTTGGGTGTTGTTGAGTCTTGATGTTGAATGAACCTGTTGATAGATCTTAGTATCTGCATGTGTGGACTACAGCGGTGGGATGGACGGGTGGTTTTAGCGTTGGCTTGTCCTAACCTGGCACAATGTGTGAAGCCTATTCCGTCATATGGCTTGTCTATATTGGAAGAACGTGTAATCCATACTCAGTCACTCCCTCAGTTTCGCGCAACAATATTACTAGGAAGTATCACATAAGCACAACTATTACTCTATGCCATAAGTGTCTCCATACCAATGTCCCTTTCTTACAAACAAGGCGGACACACTTCGTCATTCAGGCTGGTCAGAAAAAGCCTTTTCAGAATGACTTAATTTACCGTTTGTTTGTGGTTGAACTCCGCACTCGGCAATATTCCAGCTAGACGTGGGTCTTAAATAATCTAGGACCAGACAATCCAGTGTTAGAGAGTGTAAGCATCTGTCAACGCAATTGGGATATGATCATATACAATAAACCAAAGTCCCCAAGCCTAAATACCCGATCCATGAAGTCGCCTAGCTCTTACAAAGAGCATACACGTTGCTCCGACAATGCTTGTAAGAGGCGACTAACGAGATCGGGGTAGGGATCGCTGACTTGGTTGATGCATGACATCTTATCCCAATTGAGTAGATCGATGCTCATGATGTCAATCATTTGATTTTCTGGTGCTGACTCGATAATTTACAGACCGCCGTCATATAGCTGGAATATTGCAGATGGTGGCGTTAAACAACAAACAAACAAACAAACAAACACGTAGGTTGCTTGGGATATATATATTCTAACCTGGAATCCCCATGGCTCGACCTAATTTATGATTAGTTATTAAGTCACATCACACATCGTCCAACATTATTTTGATAGTAAACGCAATGAAGATATTGCCCCGAAACCAGCCAAAATGACATATGTTCATATCACATTGAACTGTCATTGTTACCTTATGGGTGTATGGTATTGTAGTTAGAAGGGTCTGACCCTCAGGACTTCTGGTTTGAAAGTTCAAGTTCCATACGACGTAATGCTGGCAGCCACAATAGTTATGCACTACTTATGGTAATGCTCAGTCTGCAGTTTGCATTTGAAAAAGGTGTCAGATTTGTTTCCAGTTATAGATTAGATCTTTATGGGACACGTATTTTTATTACAATCAAAAGCACCACACCAAAAATGACTGTGTTACAGTAGATTTAGCGCTAAGATCTTAAATTCAAGTGTAACCTCGTTATACCACATTTACGTTTACATTTGAAGGAGTGAGTATTGTCTTACGCCACATTCCAGCAATATCAAGACGAGGAACATCATGACTATGTTTCACACATTGTACCCAGGTGGGAATCGAAACAGGCTTATGACGAACGCTGTGACCACTATGCTAATCTGCAATATGCTCCTGGGTACGGTTGCCTCAGGCAAAGGCTCTGTATTCTACTGTACAGAAACCCTATGATCGTGGGTTCGAATCCCGGTTCTCCCCGATTATGTGTGTACGTTTGTCAGCACCATACCCGTGCTCGTGGGTTTCACGAAAGTGGTAAACGCATGAGACCTGCATCGCTTCGGGCTTTACTCCCACATTATGTTTGTTTGTTTCTTTATTGTTTAAGGCTGCAAACAATCGAGTCTGGACCAGACAATCCAGTGATTGACATCATGAGCATCGATCCATCCTCCCACATTAAGCTGTCATGCCTCGATAGAACTGTTCAAAGCGGCGTTAAACCCAAATGACTCACTATCACTGACACGTCGTGATATTAATACTGTTAAAGACGGCGTTAAACCCAACTCTCACACTCCAGTTTAATAACGTGAGGACTATTATGTTGAGATATTGCAGCAGAGCAGAAAATGTATTCATTAATAATAATTTTGGACTCATGGCATACGAGGTTTTAGTGATAAGTTCTGAGCCTCAAATAGAAATGCTTGACCTAAGGACATTAAAATGATTTCGTTTTTTCAACATGTTCCCTTTTTACATCGGTACACTTTTGTCAACGATGTTGGAGGGATGTTATTCCCGTTTCGCGGAATCCTTCTCTTGACTGTCTAAAACGTTCTCCACGGCTGCTATGACGTAATCGTTCGAGTCGAAGTGGGTTCCGGCTAGAGCTCTCCTCATGTTTGGGAACAGACAAAAGTCTGACGAAGCCAGGTCAGGAGAAGAAGGTGGGTGCTGAAGGACTTCAAAGCCACACTGACCATGGTGGATTGAAGCCATGGCAATGATTGATTTGTGTACTGCATCAGTGTCCTCGTGGAAGATATTTCAGATATCCTTAATTTTAATTTAATCCAGCAATTGACTCAAAGTTAAAGCATAATATGCTCCGTTTATTGTCCGGCCTTTTGGAGGATAGTCCACCGTGAGGACACCCTCAGCAGCCCAGAACACGGAGGCCATGACCTTTCAAGCTGATGGTGGTGCGGATGTCAAATGATTCTACTGTTTGGGTTACTGTTTGGACACAAGTGGCGGACCAAGGTTTCATCCAGTCACAAATCGTTGCAAAAACCGTTCTGGATGAGCTAAACAGGGCTATATTATCACAAGGCTTGTTGTGCCTGGTGCGTTTTTGATAGATGTCAGAAACTTTGGAATTCACGGAACTTACACCTTCATTGCTTAAGGTTTCTATGATATGCTTACTGAACTCGCTGAGTCATTCGCCGGTCGGTCATCACCGTAGCATGGATTCTCACACGTCGTGACGTTACAGGCTTTCCTAGACTGATGACGTCCACAAGGCTCTTCCTGCCACGACTAACTCTGCTGCCCACCTCTTTACGTTGACATAGTGAGGGGCATCTTCAGTAGACTCAACCTCTATATCTCGCAATGTCTACACCAAAAGATGTCATTTTACACATTTCCTTCAATGTGAGGCTCAGAACTTATCAGTCAACCCTCGTATATGACAACATGTACTTCTAAATGCTAAATAAAGCGACAAAACCTTTTCCATATCCAACAAAAAATCTCTGCATAAAGCATGTGACAAGAGGGCTTTTATTTATTGGCATGTTGTACTATTTAAAAATAATTAATTAACGTAATTAATTAATGTTGACATATTTAACATGACAGATGAAGAGAACTCATCTAAGTCCCTATTGCAACAAGTCGTGTAGTATTTCAAAACCTTCCTTGACGTCATCCTGTAAAGGTCTTTGTTATATCTGATGAAAACAATTAAGAGGTCATTCAGTAGAATATCATAGGGATAGTCGATTAATATGTGTTCTGTGGAATATCCATAGTTTCAATGGTATTTTATAGAACCATCAGTTTTGAAATCTCATTATAAACCTATTCATTGGGATCTCTATTAAGTAAGAGAGTTCTTTCTATAAGCATTAAAAACAATTGTGAGGTTTTACTATCAAAGTAAAACCTATTAAGAGGTTTTACTTTCAAAGTAAAACCTATTAAGAGGTTTTATTTTCGTTATAACGTTAACCATGTTATAAATGTTATAACGAGTATCTATAAATGAGGCGCTTCATTATAGCGCTTCCTTGAAGACGTGATATCATAACTTGCACGTGAAATTCGCTGACTTGCCAGGCGTTCAAGAGCACTTGGATGTGTCAACAACAAAACACAACTAAAATACTTACTTTTAAATGAAAGTGAAATCTTCGGTTTCTAAATGTTTGTGTTGCAATATTCCACTTCTTTTAAACTTTTCAAAACGAACATTCGCAAATTTTAAAGGTGTTTTTTGCTTTACAAGATTTTCGACTTTAAACAATCCAACTGTTACGTGAAGGTAGTTGTGACGTAACGGCTAACAGTTACTGCACGAGCAAATTGTGCAGCATTGATAAGCACTTGTTTAAAAGCACGTGTTTTGAAACCTCGCTGTCCTTTCACCAGAGGTGAGGTGAAATTGGGTTTAACGTCGCGTCCAAGATTATTGCACTTATATAGCGACGTGCATGCATTTTGTGTGTGTGTCTGCTTGTACTAGAACGGACTGATGCCGATTTTATAGTGCTAGCCCACTGAGATACCATGCCGCAGTTTAACATGAATACCCCACTCAGACAGTATACTGACTCCGAGACGACCAGTCCTTGCTTTAACCCCTTAATGCCGAGCGCCAGTCAGGGTAACAACAAGTACCATCTTTTAACGTCTTTTGGTATGACGCGGCCGGGGATCGAACCCCGGACCTTCTGCTCTCCGGGCGGACGCTCTACCACTAGACCACGGAGGCGGTTCTTTCACCAGAGACTCTGAAGTGATGTCACTTTTAAATGTCCACGCGGAGTTGTACACATGACATTCAATTTTAATTGAATTAAAATTTTGAATTGCTACTTGTTGTCATTTTTTCAGTTACTTGGTTAAACCTGGGATTTGAGGTTTTACATTCAAAATAAAACCTCATAATAGGTTTTACTTTGAAAGTAAAACCTCTTAATAGGTTTAAATGCTCATAGAAAGAACCTTCTTACTTCATAGAGATCCCATTGAATAGGTTTATAAGTATGGAAAAACACTTTCCCTCGGTTTTGGTAGACAGAGCATGCCCTGGGGGTCGGGAAAAACCGCGGGGGCTTCGGCCCCTTGGTTTTTCCCTCTCCCCAGGGCATGCTCTGTCTACCAAAACCTCATAAGCGTGTTTTCTCCAATACATAGAACTTACGAACATGAAAGATACGTGAACCAATAATAATAGTAATACAGTTTTTTGTTGCCATATGTCATGTCTAGAGGACACAATGCCGATCCCACACATCCACCATCTGACCCAGGCGGTACCCCTGGCGCTTCTCTTCCTCCTGCTGCTGTTCGTGGCCGCCTTCCTGGTGTACAAGTACAGCATGTTCTCGGGGAGCAAGGCCAAGTAGACACCTGCACACGACGTTCTCTCATGGTGAGCTGCCATTTTTCTACTCTTCTAGTGACTCATTTAATTTTTAGAATGTTCTAAAGTTATATTTGAATATAACATTAACTCTGACAAAAATGATTGCCAAGCTTGAAGGTATTTGGGTAGATATCCGATCTGCTATTTCAGGCAGGCAGAGTCCTTTTTAGTTTTGTAAAAAATCATTTTCTGAAAACGTTACAACACAGACAATAACATAGATTAGATTTGTTTTAGTTGGCTGTTATATTTGACGTTATATGTATACCTATTTCAGATGACTTATTGCACAAAAGACGGTCAGCCTTGACCCGAGGTTTCCCCCTATTCGGACACGTTCAGGAAACACCAGCGACAGAATTGCAGTGCTGTACATATAATGTCGATATGATCAATCCGGTTTGCGTGGCTCTCACAGCATACAATGATGAAATGCAGAGTGATATCTATAATGTAATTCACGGAATATAAAAGCAAGATGTGGAAATGATTAATTTCGTGCATTTGTTTTTCAAAACAAGTATGCTCGTGTCATACAAAGGTCCAAACGACAGGTTCCCTCCTTAAAAGAACCCGTAAGTAAAGAACTGATTGACACACGTGATAAAAATAATGTTTAATTACATCCTACACGGATGGATTATACATACTCATGTTTACATCATAGCGTAGGTTTGACTCCCATGTAGATGACAAACTCCACAATACTACATACCAGTATACTACCATCTTCCTAAGGCAAGGGAGTTAACTGACTCTAAAAGTCCAGTTTCCATCCTCGCCGAACTAGGCTGGCCTCAATCGGAGCGCCACCAGTGGCTATTACGAGTTATGTCCCTTCTATGTCTCTCCTATTGAGCAATCAGATTCCACCTCCCATATCACTTATTATTTGCTTCAAACAAAATGGCGGCGCCCAGTCCAGACGGTCTGATCGATTATCAAGATATACTAGCATATTGTAATAAAACGTGTCTTATCTCGCGAAGTGCATCAAATCAAGAGAAATATTTGGAAAATGTCTGTCGAGGCCAAGTTGACGGTACACATCTTTTGCAAATCCTGCAATCGACCGAAATCTCTGGGTTGAAATCCATGTTGTTTACGAACCAGATGTCGATTTCGTTTCACGATTTTGATTTGACTTTGCATAGACTCGTTAGTCCAGCCAAAATATAACTCCATAATTGCAGTCTAGTTCGGCAAGGGGGAAAACTGGACTTTTATAGTCAGTTAACTCACTTGCCTCGGGAAGATGTTTGATGTTAAGACCGATTCTTTTAACTAGTATAACAAATATAGCATAAAAGGAAAACTAATGGATTATATGGTCTCCGGGACTGGTCATTCATCATAGGGGAGGGGAGGGAGGGGAGGGGTTTGCGATGTGAGACACACACACACACACACACACACACACACACACACACACACACACATGTATATTTGGGCACATTTTATGCTTCTAAGTACATTAATTCCTCTGAACAATGTCACCAGTATGTATGTCATGTACTGCATAACACGCTTCCTTAACCTTTTATGAACGTCTGTTGTCGTACACTTACTGAAACAGCTGCTGGAAGTACATACTAATGACATGGTCCTTATCTCATACATTGGCACGTGGACCGATTTCGTTATCTCACTACACGTAACTATCCAGGTAGGACCTAGACACGGACGTACTTTCTGCAGGATGTCAGATTCCAGTATTGACCATCACCTATTTCTTCTTCTGATACTCGCTTTCCCCGTGGTTCACTGTCCTATCACATCTGTCATTAACGCCAACGGAGACACCGTAGTTGACTTGAGTATCATCACCTCCCACATCACCCATCTTGAAAAGCAGGTGTCTTCGCTACAGCACCAGTTCGAGTCCGACCTCAAGTCGACCATGACGGACCTGGTTAGCGTCAGAAGCGAACTGAAGGCGAGCCGAGAAGAACATGATCAACTCAGAGAAGATCTGAATGCCAAGTGTCAAATATTGAAGCTTGCGTCTGACGAGTTGAATGTCACGAGATCAGAAATATCACGTTTGAAGGAAGAAAGTCGGGAAGTAAAGACTGCTTGTGTTGCTAATGTTCACTCACTGACGAATGTGTTGGAAATAGTTGGTAAGTGCGATTTCAGTGTAAAATTAAAGGCATGTGTAAGGTGAGTATGGTTGGGGTTGGTGGAGATTAAGCAGTCGGATTAATCACAATGAACAGGGCTTAACGTGGATGATAGAGACATTTGGCTGAAAGAAACAGGAAATGTTTCTCAGGCATCGGCGCGTCACTTCAAATCCTGGCATTTTTATTGCCAAGAAAAAGGTGTATCTGCCAAGGCCAGGTATGATTGTTGGAAGTCTTGATGAAAGTCTTTTGAGGAAAATGTACCCGAGAAACCGTACAATTTTTTATGCACTGCAGCGAACAATACATACCGTAACAATAAGGTTCAAATCTTTATGACTTTAGAAATAATGATACGAGCATATATATTGGCACAAAGCACACTGCACTAAGTTATTATTAATTGGGTTTCTACGATATTGTTTGTGTTTTTCCTGTTACCTGTTACATATCTTAATGTTTTAGATGACATTTGTAAGTGTTGTCAGTAAGGAAATATCTGCAAATATTCGAACGCTTATGAGATGAATATTGCTGAAAATCTAAAAGGGGTGTAACGTTTGATTAATTCTTTTATCCAACCTTCAAGAGCCCCTATGAGAAATACAAACTAGTCAGGTATCACAACCTTACCATTTTCTTCGCAGGTGCAATCACCACAAACATTTCATTCGAGGTTTCCTTGTCACACCCCCTGCACTCTGTAGGTGACAAAGACACCCTCAAATTTGACAAAGTTCGTGTGAACTCTGGCCACCATTACCATAAGGACACAGGAGCTTTCACTGCACCGGTCAGTGGTTCATATATGTTATGGGCAAGTATTAGGCTGACAGAACCCAACAGCTTCATCAACATTTACGTCCACAGTCACAACAAAGTAATTGGTCATGGCCACGCGGAAACGTCAACGTCTACACCGAGTGTTGCCACGTTACTGACAGTGACGTTCCTGAGGGTAGACGACAAAGTGTGGTTCACCAAGCACTCTGGATCTACAGTTATTCATGGAGACATACATACATCTGTGACATCGATTTATGGTGGCGCTTTGTTGCGTCCACACTAGCACAAGATCTAATAAACCATTTTCATGACATTTCGAAGCAACAGGCAATCATTACACACATAAGGACTGTTGAATCAGAAATATTATTCAAATACGTTTTCCTTATTATTATACTTCAGAGAATTTATACTCACACATGAGAATGCTGACATACTGCCTATGATCAACACTCAGGAGATTATATATGTATTTTGTGACAGGTTTGCTTAACTTTAAAGCATTCACTATATACAACTGTCCTATCTTCAACGTGGTAACACATGTCTATAATAAGATCCGGCACTACAACACGCGACGCATGATCTGAACATGTATGGGATGGGACGATGGCAGGGGGTGGAATCTGTTTCGGCAGATAATCGAGACTGGTTAATCTCTGTTTTTATATGTGTTGACCTGATTGCATCAGGGGTTTGCTTCACGACATACATGCATGAACACCTATTATGACTTGTTATTACTTCAGAGATCCCTTCTTCTAGGTGATCTGTTTCTCTTTGCATACTGATCGGATTGACTTCTTTAGTAAATTGAAAGTTTCAGATGACATTTGATTAATTTCTTTCTACAAATGTCAAGATAAATGAGTGTCCTCACCTTATACGTCCACCTAAGTTGGCAATCAAAGACACAACTGAGACACCTTATTCAGTGTCTTGTATGGACCTGTGCATAACATTTAAAATGAGGAATTGATTGACAGGCATTTCTTAGAAGTAGACAAGACATTGTGGTTTACAACTTCTTTATTAGCGACGTTTCGGTATAGATCGTTATACTGTTGTCAAAGAATTCTGTAATACTAGAGCGCCTCCGTGGTATAGTGGTAGAGCGTCCGCCCGGAGAGCGGAAGGTCCGGGGTTCGATCCCCAAGCGCGTCATACCAAAAGACGTTAAAAGATGGTACTTGTTGTTACCCTGTCTGGCGCTCGGCATTAAGGGGCTAAAACAAGGACTGGTCGGCTCGGAGTCAGTATACTGTGTCTGAGTGGGGTATTCATGTTAAACTGCGGCATGGTATCTCAGTGTGCTAGCACTATGAATCGGCATCCGTCCGGACTATAGTACAAGCAGCCACACAAACACACACACGTACATGCACGTCGCTATATAAGTGCAATAATCTTGGACGCGACGTTAGTAAGTATTATATTATCACCTGTAATACTATAACAGGGACGTCGCTATTACTGTATAATATTACAGTCACTCACCCAGCTGGACAACAAAAGGAATGATTTCGATTTTCCATCGTGAATTGTGTCTACATATTGAGCAGTATGCCATCGCTCCAGCTAATAGTGTCTTATGTACCAATCATGGCTTAAGTACTACGTATAAATCAAATTTCATTGAAACACACATTATTCTTACAGCTAAGCCTTTCAATTTAAGGGTTTTACAATCAAAGTCCCGATTAAGTACCTCCAGAAATTGTATGGTAGACATTCAGTGTTTCTTTGTTGAAAGTAGCTGATTATTCAAAACAAACCTACCTTACATCCTTATCTGATCAGCATCGGTACAATAGAAAATGTGTGACTCGTGGTGTACAAGGAATACAAGAACACACTTGTCGTTGTATTGACTTTGCTAGAAAATCAAACTTTATTGAAAAAGGGATTGAAATAACTTGGACAGAAAATGAAACTTTCCATCTAGGAGACATGTTCATAATGACTATCGAAAAAATAAGACATTGAAACACCTTGAGCAAAAACAACCTTAACAACAATAAAATGACCGTATCTCTTAGTGAACTGCATCCATGAATGGTCTGCGTTCCTGTAATAGTCATAACATTGGTATTATTTTGGACACAGACAACGGTGTATTTTGATGATTTTCTTTTGGCATACACGCAGTAAACTTACCATAGCGTGCCAAAAGCGTATGACGGCGGGTTCAAATCTCGGTTCGCCCAGATTATGTTTCTAGGTTTGTCAGCACCAAACTCCTTCTTGTGTTTTCTATAAAGTGGTAAACGTCTGAGACCTGCATCAGTTCGGGCTTTCCACCCACACGAAGCTGACCCGCCGTGATACAACTGAAATAACTCAATCCTTCTCTAACCCTTTAATTTATAATGAAACATGTCAACGTCTTCCCAAAACGTGACAAATTAGCACTCACCAGATAGATTCAAAGTAGGTTTAAATATCATAATGTGTTGAAATGTTTCGCTATAAAATTAGTGTAATCAATTTGATCTACGAGACATTATGATGGTAGGAATATTCTTGCACACTATCAAGATCCGGGTCAGAATAGGTCTTCAGCAACCCATGCTTGCCATAAAAGGCGGCTATGCTTGTCGTTAGAGGCGACTAACGGGATAGGATGGTCAGACTCGGTGACTTGGTTGATACATGTCATCGCATCCCAATTGCATGGATCGATGATCATGATGTCAATCACTGGATTGTCTGATCAAGACTCGATTATTTTTCGACCACCGTTATATAGCTGGAATATTGCTGAGTGTGGCTTTAAACAACAAACAAATAAACAAACTGTCATGGACACCTGTCCATGATATAGTTGGAACCATGGAATAGACTTTTATCAGACTTAATTGTCTTATTATTGAAACTTTTAAGGGTTTTTGTCACTTCTATAAAAAGTATTTTGTGTCTTGTAGACTTTTGGCAATCACGGCGGGGGACACCAGAAATAGGCTTCACACATTGTACCCATGTCGGGAATCAAACCCGGGTCTTCGGCGTGACGAACGAACGTTTTAACTACCAGGCTACCCGGCCGCCCCTAAAGACTTCATGAAATAAGGTCACATGACCTGCGGATTCTGTCCCGGCCACTGATGTTTACGTCTTAGCTGTGTTGTTTCAAGAAGCCATTCTTCTTACTGTTTTGAAGTTTTATTTGAAGTATTTGTCCAGTGTATACTATATTTCCTTTGAATGTCCATTCAACATGAAACTTGACGCAAGATTGCATCTTAGGCCTTGAGGTATTCAGTAAATCCTATGTAGTTGGCTTAATGAAATTCAATATTAGCTTGGTCACGATATCTCTCTTTAAGTCAAAATAATACAGGGAACGTTATTCAAAATAAGCTGACGTATGCCTCCTTTCGACATGGGAATACACAAAGTAAGGCGTTTATTATACAGTACAAATAATCTCGTGATCAGTTGAAATTTGCGTCCCTTGTGTATGCCAGAAACCTGTGGTTCTCCCTGTTTCTAGGTTTGTCACCAGAAACCTGTGGTTCTCCCTGTTTCTAGGTTTGTCACCTGAAACCCGTGGTTCTCCCTGTTTCTAGATTTGTCACCTGAAACCTGTGGTTCCCCCTCTTTCTAGGTTTGTCACTCGAAACCTGTGGTTCTCCCTGTTTCTAGGTTTGTCACCTGAAACCTGTGGTTCTCCCTGTTTCTAGGTTTGTCACTTGAAACCTGTGGTTCTCCCTGTTTCTAGGTTTGTCACCTGAAACCTGTGGTTCTCCCTGTTTCTAGGTTTGTCACCTGAAACCTGTGGTTCTCCCTGTTTCTAGGTTTGTCACCTGAAACCTGTGGTTCTCCCTGTTTCTAGGTTTGTCACCTGAAACCTGTGGTTCTCCCTGTTTCTAGGTTTGTCACCTGAAACCTGTGGTTCTCCCTGTTTCTAGGTTTGTCACCTGAAACCTGTGGTTCTCCCTGTTTCTAGGTTTGTCACCAGAAACCTGTGGTTCTCCCTGTTTCTAGGTTTGTCACCTGAAACCTGTGGTTCTCCCTGTTTCTAGGTTTGTCACTTGAAACCTGTGGTTCTCCCTGTTTCTAGGTTTGTCACCAGAAACCTGTGGTTCTCCCTGTTTCTAGGTTTGTCACCTGAAACCTTTGGTTCTCCCTGTTTCTAGGTTTGTCACCTGAAACCTGTGGTTATCCCTGTTTCTAGGTTTGTCACCTGAAACCTGTGGTTCTCCCTGTTTCTAGGTTTGTCACCTGAAACCTTTGGTTCTCCCTGTTTCTAGGTTTGTCACCTGAAACCTGTGGTTATCCCTGTTTCTAGGTTTGTCACCTGAAACCTGTGGTTCTCCCTGTTTCTAGGTTTGTCATCTGAAACCTGTGGTTCGCCCTGTTTCTAGGTTTGTCACCTGAAACCTGTGGTTCGCCCTGTTTCTAGGTTTGTCACCTGAAACCTGTGGTTCTCCCTGTTTCTAGGTTTGTCACCAGAAACCTGTGGTTCTCCCTGTTTCTAGGTTTGTCACCAGAAACCTGTGGTTCTCCCTGTTTCTAGGTTTGTCACCTGAAACCTGTGGTTCTCCCTGTTTCTAGGTTTGTCACCAGAAACCTGTGGTTCTCCCTGTTTTTAGGTTTGTCACCCCCGTACCGTAGTCGTGGGTTTCACCAAAGTAGTAAACGTCTGCGACGTGCATCACTTTGGGCTTTCCTACCATATTATATAACTGTCAAAGGGGCGTTTAACCCAACTCACTCATTCATCAGTTGAAGTTATTTATACTTAAACCGCGAAGATTATAAGGAAATCTAATATATATTTTAATTATTAGCTTTGATAATGTTTTAAATCTTAAATGCTCAAATAGGGCTTAATAAAGGTTCACGACGGAGAATGAAGTCTTGGTGAGAGCAGTAAGAGTGAGTGATCGAGTGAATGAGTGAGTATGGTTTTACGCCGCTTTTAGCAATATTCCAGCAATATCACGGCGGGGGACACCAGAAATGGGCTTCGCACATTGTACCCATGTCGGGAATCGAACCCGGGTTTTCGGCGTGACGAGCGAACGCTTTAACCACCAGGCTACCCGACCGCACCGAGAGCAGTAAGAGATGAGACAGGTCGGAATACAGGAACTGTGGACGATAGCCCCGAGGTCTTACTTCTCTACCTATCCCTCGAAGGTTCTTTACCACTCTCCCCAAGACAAAATTCGAGGTCGTGAACCTTTATTAAGCCGTATTTGAGCATTTAAGATTTAAAACATTATCAAAGCTTATAATTAAAATATACATTAGATTTCCTTATAATCCTATGAACCGCAGCACAAACCATGTACATGTACTCCGTGAACCTTGACTTCATCACGTGACCCGGGTGCTCAGTGGGAAACTAAAATGCTGATTTAAACACCACCCTGAACAAGTTACAGATATATTCCCTTATCGAATTTGTAAATTAACGGAAGGACGAAGCCAAGGACTTCATGTAATGAGGTCACTTGAACCTTCAGATTCTGTCCTGGCTGCTGATGTTTACATGCACAATTGTGTTTTCTTTGGAAGCATCTCTCTAGAGTATATTACATTTCCTAAGAAATCATTACCAATGGCATTTGGCATTAGCTTTAATCTTACAACTTTATTATTAATTTGGTCAGGATAACTCACTTAAGGTATTAGTTTTAGTATATATTAATTAAAAGCGACAAAACCCTTTCCATATCCATAAGAATAGTCGATTG